GATAGTTTAATCGATTCTGATTGGTCAAGAGTCTGTGCGCCCGCGGCTCGCCACGCGCGCGACAAGTCCTCATCACAAGATTCTTTTGGACAATGTGCACGTACAAGGAATATACCATAAAATGGACAGGGGCATTCGCCAAAAGGAAAGTAAAATTCTAGAACAAAATTGCTGGAAATCCATCCTATAGGCAGAAACAGAGTAGGAACCACATTTTGTATTCGAGCCCTTTCGAGTCCTACACGTATATCATAAAATGAAGTGGTGCACTGGGGAATAAATTCAATTTAACTGAAAGCAGAACTTTACGGAAATACGAAAAATTTCAATGTTGGTGATGATGGCCTAACTGGTAAGAAGTAGTGGCATATGATTGCAGTATAATGTGAAATTCTAATTCCAGTCAGCTGAAAAAGACGCGTTGTCGGCCGGGAAGCGAAAGAAGGGCAAATCTCATATGGGCGGGTAAAGATCATACTTTCAAAGCGCGGTGTTGCTGTTGACCAATATGCTTATTTATACTGGGCGCGTGCAATCCATGATTGATGGTGCTCAAACACGCCTGCAGGCAGACTGGAACACCTGGTTAATGCAAATTCCACACAGTGGCAGATGTAAAAAGCAGCCCTGCATTGCGGCAGATCGCGTGTCACGAGTCAGCATAAAATCAAATGCTGAAATATGTAGAATGCTCGTTTCCCGTCTGACGAATGTCAGCCATTGTGAAAGACATATTCATCCTGAGAAGGATGAAATGGAAAATCTCACCTTGTGTCTCCATTGGAATCAGGAGTAAAACTTGCAGCTCTGAAGAGTTGATGAATAATAATGACGAATGATAAATCATGATGAACAGCAGCCGTTGCAAATTGCAATTACGCGGAAAAGGAACTGTTTGTTTGGTATGGATTGGTTTTTGTTAGTTTTTTGTTTCAGCTTTATATTTGTTTTTGGTATGTTTTTATATTTTGGCCGGGGTTGTGTGTTTGTTTGATTGGGTAGTTTCCTTCATAAGTGTGTTTGTTTTACTTTCGAAACGTACTCACATGAAAAGCACCTAACCATTTCAATAAAAGTGTGTGTTTATGTTTATGATATTTTTGATATTTGTGTAAAACTTTATAGCTAGCTCTAAACGGAATCAAGGAAAATGACTCAACAACCTTCAACATTTTCCCAGGGCATATCCTTGATTTCGGTCCCCTTCACGCCTTACTCAATCTCCTTGATGTAAACCCCTGTTTCGTGAAAGCTATAGACGTTGACACCAAGCATGCAGATATTGCAAATGTTTTAATATTCAACGCCACGGTTATAACCTCTAATAATTTGTTGCTCAGATTGTTTGCAATAAAGTGGAAAGAGTAGATATGTCCCCTGTGGTTACAGCATCTCTCCTCGTGGCAAGGGGGAGTTCATTTTCTTCATCCGCATTTATAGCCAACATCCGGCCTTCAAGCTGCGGGCCATAAAAACGAACGCGCGCAAGAATATCGTGAACGATCCCAGCCTCGACGGAAATTGGACTGAGCATGGTACTGTTTCTCCCGTCAGTCGCTGAATTCCTGCCCATTGTCACGGAAGTGCTCCATGCAGTATTCTGTTCCGGAAATTGAGCCTCCTTTTCGGAGTGTCTTGCATTTTCACTGACTGGCAGATATTATGAGCAAGTCCAGACAGCGGATACCTGATGAAGTCGCAATGGGCGACTGGTTTGTTTACACCAATCTCGTCAGGACAGGGTAAACATTTCCGAGTTCGGCTGGTCATGTTCAATCTATGATTGAAGTCTGTTTGGTGGGGCGGACACGTGGGATGCGTCAGTGAGTCAACTAATCGACAAGGCGAATCTTTGATCCTTCGGTTGGGTGCGTGCGAGTGTCTTCAACCGTGGAGGTATACAAGCTACTCCAGCCCAACAATCCCCACACTCGCTTCCAAGTTACACCCAGCACACGCGGCAATCCTAGGTCGTGGTTGTGCCAGTGAAGCCATCCAAATACACCAACTATACAGTTATACCACAGGTCGACCACCTTGAATTGAAATCGAAGCTACACTGTATTGTTTTAAACAAACAGGGAAAAATAAATAACGACATTAATTTAAATTATGAGTAAAAGGATAAGAGCAGGAAAAATAATCAAGTTCTTGGAAGCAAGGTTATTGGACATTTTTGTAAGTATTTTAAAGTCAATTTTGATGATGATTGCTGCGGTTATCGAAACCCTGAAGTACTCTATGAAATTCCCACACCACTGAATTTATACGCACGTAGATTAATCTAAAGGCAGCATTCCTGTTTTCCAGTGTAATATTGGCTGTGTTCATTCCTTGTGTCCATTTTTTCCCTCTTCGAGCCCCAATTTCCCTTACCCTCGCTGTCTGTCTCTGCACAAAGAAAAGGCTTAATCTTTATTCTCAACGGCGCCGATCTTCTTCCTCACAGCTCTTCAGACGAGCTGATCCTTCACGATGTTCCGCCCTCATCACATGGGCTTGCGGCGAAAAGAAGCCTGGAAATTGTCACGGGCGATTTTTTGGCCAGTCGATCACAGACAAGCATTATTCCAATGTATGAGACCTCGAGCTCTACGGCAAAACGAGCTATGGCGACTGAAATACGTCGAATGTGATGGGACAAGGTAGAAGTCGGTGTATGCAATAACGCGAGCAACGGCTGTATTTACAGAGGCGATGTAGAAAAGTAGTTAAATGTGATAGACCAGGATTGCCAACTGAGTCGTTCAGAATTCGTGACGAGCCGATTCTGGACATGCAAGAAGGTATTATCTCATTAGTGTCACAGGTTTAATGTCACCGCGAGTATAGTAAATGACGGGAGGGATGCTGAAGGCATTAAATAACGGACTTATCCATATCTATAATATTCCTCGCAGGCGTTGACGCCACACGACATTAAGCGCATGAGGATATCTTGTTCTGGAACCATTCTTTCGAGAGCGGGGGAGGGGTCCTGGCGACTGCATGCGCACTGGCGACGGTGCATTACTGACAGACGAAATAACCCATAATGGACAGACACCTGTGGCCGACTGCCAGGGCGTTTCCCGTTTCAACAATACGACTTTTGCCCCGTTTTAAGTTCAGTTGTTGTTGGGACACTACAAGATAGCAGTCGATATCATAGATAAAACACTAAATGTAATAACCACATATTATTATTATTATTATTATTTTGTACAATTCATAACTGATCTATTTTCACTATCCCTGGTGTGCATGTATGATGTACTTTACTGTTCCGGTTTTGGTATACTATGTGCTGTCGTGGTTTCTCTTTCACTAAGTCTCAACCCGTGTTCTACCACTCTCTCCGCCGCTACTGCCTTTGAGGTAAGGACACCGACACAGTACGTTTAAAATGCTGTAATTCTGCGCGAAATGTGTTCAGAATCCCAACATCTGCAGCTGTACCTCCAACGCTCCGTGTGTTTCTGGGATTGAAACAACTCTCTTCGGTGACCTACAATAGAGCATTCGGAAGTTTTAATGACTCGAGTCAGTGACAACTCAAGTCAAAATTTCTGGCGACCCCTACTCAAATCCCGTCGGGTAAATAACACGGCTAGACTTGATTCACTGCGAGCAAATAACTCGGCTCGAGTCCCTCATCAGAAACTGGAATCGAGTGAAAAGTAATAGGATCAAGTTCTGATATAAAAAACAAGCTTTGCAAGAAATGTTTTCTAATTTCTCATGATGCCCGTTCATTGTATACACATCTCGAGAATACCACATGCTATATAGACCCATAACCTACATTGCCCTTCTTCTATGGTGCAGCGAATATGTCACGGACTCCCACTTTGTGGTTCTGTAGCGTGTAATGCTAGCCCGGAACAACAGTAAAATGTATTTCTCAATTCGTGGTTTCATCTTTGTCTTAGGGATAGCCTATAGCTAAATTTATGCCCTAATTTCTCAAAAAATAGCTTTTGATTTCAAAACGCAAATTGACTGAGGTTCACATTTACATATTAAGAATCATAATTGCATCGTATTACAATTCGGTTGTCGTGTTGTTTTCATGGATCAAATTTTGCCTCCTTCACTGGAGGGAAATCACTGGCACCCTTTTTATTTCCATGAAGAGTGAGATGTGATGTCATCCATATGTGAATAAAAAGGCCAAAAATCACTGCTTCTCGTTTGCTTATTGTTGCATTGTGTTCAATTATTAGTGACTCCAACAGACTAGCTGAGCTGAATACTGGACTCGATTCGACAGCAAAATGATTCGAATAACTGCCTTTTTTATGACTCAACTCAACTTGAGTCATAAAATTTACCGACTCGTACGACTATTGCGCATTCCTTCCCTCCCTCATGTTTATTTTTTTCTGGAAAACGAAGATCATACACCTCCATCTCAAACCACTGGGCATGCTCTAATATACATCCCAGTCCCTTTTGGCACAAGCTGGGGAGGGGGTTAAGCATCGTGAGCTATCCGGAGGGTGTAAATAATCGACCCCCCCCTCACACACACACACACACCCACGCAAACAAAATCCTGGGTACGCCACTGAGGCCCCGCAGCCTTGTAATGCTCTCAACTATGACAGTCAGACTCGTTTCGAGCTCCATCTCTCTCAATCAGATCCCACATTTCAACGTTTCCGTGGCTCAGACCGACGCCGATAGGCGTCAAGTGTTCCTTCGAAAGCGTGAAGTTGGGACACGGGAAACCAAGTACGAAGCGATAGCTTTCGAAAGGGTTTTCAGTTGAGCACGTTAAGCCTTCTAAAACATGAAAACAGAAACAAACCAACACTATCCTTACGGGTATACCATTACGATCACTGCGATATTAATCGCGTTAATCTGTAAATATTTTGTAGCTGGCACCGTGTACACGACTTGGTAATGATTGTGTAAACATTTATCATTCCAAAATATCTGCGGTATAAAATGTTTTGAGGGTGTATCAACCAAACACGCTATTTAAGAAACAGCCAAGCTCGATGCTCGAAACGAAAAGCCATGTCCGTTGAACTATTTATTTACAGTACATTCAGCTATTAACGTGCACTTTTGTGATCCCGATGATGAATGAAAATGAAAGCTTCTTCACTCCATGAAATTGATTCCTGTATCAGCTGCACAAACCCTGTTCATTTAAAAAAAAAACACAACGAAGGCTTAAGCAACAAGGTGCTAAACGTGAATGAAAAACACAGTCATGCGTGATTATGCACGGGAATTGTGTCACATTTCCTGCACACATTATGGCGAACCGGAAAATTTCTGGGCGACCTTTCGCAGCACCGCGGAGCGGGAGAAAATTTCACCCATTCAAGCGCCACCATAAATTGATATATAACGCGCCATTATCGATCGAGCGTCTTGAGTATAACCTGCCTGGCTTTCCTGATTATTGTCAAGGTCTTCCGTGCTCCATCAATAATAACGGAGTGGAAATTGCGAATTGAAAGGGGCGCTAAGTGTATTAAACTGACCTCACAATGCTGACTGGAGAAAAAAAAAATAAACGTTGGTGTGAGTTTATTGTTCATGTATTCTCTTAGCAAATTATTCATAGTCCATGCACCATCGAGTTTGGATAATGTAGGCCTACAATGTGCATAGCTATTCGTAAAGATGTTTTATTTTTTGATATCTGACCTTAAGTGTCGCTTTTATTTATTTCAAGGAATTTATATGATTATCTTTTAGATTAACAAAGGCCTGTGGAATAGTTTAAAATTTTGTTCACACAAAAAGCCCTGCATGGCACCGTATCAAATTTCAAAACTAATTTCACGAAAGATTGTACACAAATCATGCTGTCTGACGATGCCGGTGTTGGGTAGCTTTGATTTTCATGCAGGATTTCTTCCTGGTGTTGTGGTTGTGAAATAATAGAAGTCATTTCCTCGGGCTAGCAAAGGTGACCTTGTGGCTCGAGTTTCTGCAAAAGCAAAAGGAGATGCATGGAATGCAATTCTCTGACTTTTTTTTGCTTTTGGGTTGTGTGTAAAATGAAATTCACAGTCAAAATGTATTCCGTGCACTAGTGATGTCACCGGAAGGTCTGACACCAGAGCCCATCAAAGCTTCAGCGTTGGCTACTTTTTACGAGGATGATAATTAATTGGTGAATACCGCGCGGTCTGGAGAAGCTGCACGCAGTTTTTAGTAACCAAAATGTCGCCTTTGGGCCAACCAGAGAACACTGAGAACATGCTATGAACCTGCGATAACTGTTTCCCTACGTTTCACGAGACAAAAGGATGCCGAGTGAATTTCCTGGTTTTAATACGTGTGTAGCGCTGCCATCAAAAACGTTGCGCATAAGCCTATACGACGGATACCGCAGGAGGGCGCTATTTGGTTTGGATAAAAGCTTTTGTGCTTACTCCAAATTCATTCACCTCAAATAATGCCCTCTGAAGGTGTCCGTCATGCTTCAAAAAGGCTGAAACAGACGAGCGAACAAATAAACAAATTGCCACAGTAATTTGGTTTATAAAGGGAAAAAAGCTAGATGAACTGCATTTGGCGGCAGAACTACTAGAGTGCATAGGCCTATAGGCGTGAAAGGGAGATTCGAAATGATTCCCAAACGGTATCCACACGCCTGGAATAAGTTACCTGTCCAATACTGTCTCCATTTCCTCATCTTTCTTGCTGGTGGTACCGATTTTGCTCAGCCTTTCCTTAGCAACCTTCGCCATAATGGCGTGCATTTCGGGATTTTCATCCAGAACTTTAAAAATAGAACAATACACATTCTTTGCGTAAGCTTATAAGTATCCTTGCCTTTCTCAAAAAAATAATAATAATAATAAATAAATAAAACAAAAAATCCTGGGGGAAACATAAACACTGATAATCAAAAATGAGATTTTAGTGTAGACTCTCAGTATATACAGGATCCATTAAACACAATTAAGTACCATCTTGGAAGTCTTCCTTGGCGAGTCTGTAAAGGTCACAGGTCGAGGCAGCCACTACAGATGCAACACGCCGCTCATCAATCAACAAGGAGATCTCTAGAGAAACAACCAGGGATAAAAAACATCTCCGATCGTTGAAAACCCCACAAAGATACACCTATTGCTGGTTGGTCTCGAGCTGTGAAAAATATGAGGATGGACGTTAGTGGGGAAGGAGATGCAGGGACTTAACCCAAAACGGGGGCGGGGTCAACCCTTCCCGCTCTGTCTCCCTCAGTAAAAAAAAAGATGAGATAACAATGCAATACTCGTAAACAAAGATGGCATCCTATACTCTATAAATATCAGTGCACCATAAACAATTTAACGCATTAACTATGCATTCGTCTGCCCAAATCAATCGGACATAAAGAAAAAAAAATCTTACAAGCCTCACGCCCCTGGCAAAATTCTTGGAGGCCCCTATCCGCCCTAAGATGAAGCGGATTCTCGAGGCCGAAAATCTAAATGTTTCTTCCCAGTCCCGATAAATTAAAATGTCGACAGCTGATATGATCCTGCTTTTAATTATAGTATAGAGTGTGCATTTTTTTAAACGAACCTCCAAAGTGGTCGCCGTCCTGCAGAGTACCCACTACTCGTTCGTTTATACATATCTTCACTGTCCCGTGCTCTATGAAGTACATGGCGTTGCCGCGGGTGCCGGCCTTTATGATGACGTCACCAGCCAAATATACCTCGAAGTGGAGCTTCTCAATAATGTCGATGACGAAGCCGGGACTGCCTTTGCTGAGGAATTCCGCTTTCTTGACGAGCGATCGTAAGTGGTGTTGAACAATCTCCTATTTTCGACACCGTTTACGGAAACTTGCTTAATTAAATACCTTTCGGCGAGAGAGCGCGTGAACTAACAACCTCAGAAATCACGTGATCTGATTGTTCTACCAACTGCCATGCATCACCTGATTGAACTCCAGTGACTTCTCCTAACTTTTCCCCTCCTACTTTTTGAGAGAGTGTCAATCATGGTCTCGCCCTGGCAGTGACTGAAACGGGGGGGGCATAACCATCTTCATATGTTTGTGCACAAAACACTACTAAATATACATGTACATGTATGTTAATACACGCAATACCTACTCCCCTCTAAACTACTCCTTCCTCCTTTGCAAATATAGCTGGCCACTGTCCAGGATAATTGCCAATGCGGGAAGCCAGCACTGTGAACAGATACAGCGTAAGCCCCTGTGATTGATAGGGCCGAGGCTGGGTCAGGAGAGGCTGGCCACGTGGAATTATTTACACTGTCTAGGCCCAGCTGAAGTGCATTATTTGCCTTGGATGAGTGAGTCATGTTTCAAGCATGTATAGGGAATCTTTCCGTGTATTTTTAGTATTGCCGATGTATTTCAGTTTTGTTGAATTCAGCGTCCCCCCACTGCAGACAACGCCCCTCAAGGGGCACTTCCTTCACAAAACATACTAGGAAGTCTGCCCAGGAAGGCCTCCGTCCGATTTGATATTGTTTTCAGATCATACCAAGCACCATCGGTGGCATGAATATTCAACTTCCTATACTACAGTGGCGTTTTAAGGATGCAGCTTAGCTGCGAAAAATTACGGCGATGATCTTGGGGTACAAAGGGGGTTTACGGTGGTGAAACACAGGTGATGTGTAGCAAGCTTTCGCTGTGCTCTGGTTATGGACATTCTGGACATGCCAGAAAGCAGTGATTTTCCAGATGTTATAGCCCGGGCAGTTCACTTCGCTGCATGGTTCACAAACGACTACGAAATGCACGCATTGCGTGCGTGTTGCTACCGATAAAAAAAACGCTCCCGACCAGCATGGATCTCCTCAACTGGTGATGGGGTGCTTCTGCTCAAAACGGACAGTACAACTCAAGCAATATCTTCTCCTTCCACTGTGCAACTTCGGAAATTACACTCTCGGGAAAGTATGTGTCTGAACGGCAACGACAGACTGGTCGCATCTTTTTAGGACAATCAACCCTGCACGTACCTTTCTCAGTGGTGCCGACTGCTCTCGCAATATGGTGTCCTCGTCGAAATATTTTCGCTGGTAACGATGCTCGTAGTACCTTAGGACGCGCTTCTGCGTGCTGGCTGGTATCTTTCGGTAGCGCATGTACTCCTTCACTTGGCTTATCTGTCGGTTTCCATCGTAATTGCGCAATTAGTAAGCAAAGGTTAAAGTCACTCATGCGTAAGTCCATAAGCCCACCCCAAAAAGGAAGCATTCTTCTAAAGAGCCAAAACTCCAAACAAACCTTATCCTTGGACTACGCATTTCAGATACATGTACATGTAGAGTTGTTTGAGAGATCCAAATAAAATGTTCCTGGAAGTAATTCAAAGAACTTGCCATATGAGTGCAGCGTAGAACCATTCTTAGATAATGGCTTCTCACCTTGTGTAATCAATTTTCGTACACAAATTTGACATTTCTGAACGTTCGTCCTACTTTTTCGTTGTAAATGCGGCCGGACGCGTCGATGGACAACAGCAGTGTGGACATGTGGCCAATAAAGAGCGCATAGAAGGTTGCTCCCAGCATCATACTTAGCGTGGCACACCACATCTCTGTCAGGTTCTGAGGGGGATGCTGCCCGAAGCCAATGCTCAGCATGTGACAGATGGCCTTGAAGAAAGACCAGGAATACTGCTCCCACTTGCTAGCATTCTGACAATGATTCCAATGGCAGAAAATGTAGAATATATGCATTGTATTTAGGAAATGCTAAGGAAAAAAAATAATTCGTACGTACAGAAAACTATATTGCATGTACGGATTAGTATTTCGAACATACGAGTTACTAAACCGTACCTTCGGATTACTACGCACGAGTTACTAAACCGTACCTTCGGATTACTACGCACGAGTTACTAAACCGTACCTTCCGATTACTAAACTATTATCTATTGGTCATCCGTATGTTGCAGTGCATGACTGTTGGGCCCCAAGCGGATCCAAAAGAGGGCGTGATTTTCTTGCAACGAGATTGCATCGACGGTCGATTAACTGGGTTGCCGTGTGAGCATTGTGGACTTTGTTAATGGAATCCGGAGTGAAAATTCACAACAGATTCTTATGAAACGTTTACACCATGACTGGCAGTTTAATCTTGTTGGTCTTTGTAGCAATTCAATATACGCCATTGCCGTATGTAGGAGTCCAAGTTAAACTGCAGTAGACCGTAGCGTGTATAACTCACTCAAGTAAATGCAGTGGCGCGCCGGTGTCGCTGGAAGGGGCTGGTTTACACAATTTATTTAGTCCCTACTCATGAGCTCATGATGCTCATATAAAAGCCCCCCCCCCCGGTTACGCCACAGGGGACTGGGATGTACGGCTGTATCAGAGCTAGTAGATGATAGTAGATGTTAGTAATAGATGTAGCAGTTTATTAATTGTACCTTTGTTTGGAGGGCAAAATTAAAAACTCTTGTGAGAGGATTCACCCGCACCCTCTTTCTTTATAGACATTTGCATGCAACGCCCGTCTATGAGTTGATATTTAAATTTATTGACAATGGACGCCAACAAGATCTACTCCCGTATCACAATGAAACAAAAGCATAGGATAACCGCGCAAAGGATCTTTTTATCAGATTGAGCCATCTTGAAAATAGATTGAGCCAGTTTGGTATTTCAAAAAGGCGAGGCCATTCACAAAGCACGCGCGGGCGGTTCATGGCCGCGCTGATTGGGCAGACAGTAGCGCGCGCGTATTGCTGTTCCCGAATGAAATCGGACGGGCTTCCTTTGGGGCATGCGCTGTTGGAATAACAAACTGACGTTTTGGGGATATTGCCTGGTTGGGCACGACCTATTCAGAAAGAGTATGAGGTAAAACTATTGTGTGTCACTGACCTCGAGCCCACTGATAACGACCCAACTGTCCCGCGGAAAACCCTGAAAGAATGGAACCAGGAACTGCACGCATCCATTCCAGTGGATCATCACCAGCACGACGAGAACGAGGTTTGTTATACGAATCACTTCGCCTTCCACATTCAGTATCTGAAAGGAGGTATTTGCATTTGAACGTCTGGTCAAGTTATTTCGAGATGTCCCAATTTAGTCATCGAGATTGCAATTTCTTCAGAAAAAGAAAATCTGTAAAATGGTTTTGTACCTAAAGCGAGCTGTACCGAGTAAATACGGACCAATGGGCCGTCCTGCACGGAGCAATGTCAAAATCAGAAACGCAAAAGTTGGGGGGGGGGGTTCTACACACGAGACAGCGTTTCCTGGGAATCTTTGGACGCCAGCTCCAGCATAGTTGTGCAACATACTGATCACATCCACAGCCAACACGAGTATTGGGGATTTACTTCATGAAATTAAGATGGAGAAAGGGGTAATGTTTTGAAATTGCATAAAATCACCGCGACTGCTTTATAAAAATAACAATTTCCCTTCCAAAAGGTGACAGTACAGGCCCTGATTCATTTCGAAAGGCCAGAGTTTGTTTTTCTGGCTCGTTCCCTTCGGCAAATACATGTGGTGTGTTCTCTAAAACAAATCACAAAGCAGATCTGCCTAATAGAACTTATTATTATGCAGCGCGTCCTCTCCATACGCTGCACTTGCTTACGTTGCGGAATTTGGTCGCGTTAAAGATGCCGATGTAAAAAATTTTAATCAGGTGAATACATGATAACATTGGACGCAAAACAAGATGCACGTCTTATTTTGTAGGGAAAGTATTTTCTGCACAGAAATTAAGAAACTCTGTGGGGTCTATTTGTACCTCTTCAAGACGATGGATGTAGCGCAACAGACGGGTAAGACGCAGCAGTCGAAAGACACTCAAGATTTTCGCCAGCCTGGTTGGAAAAACAGACCAAATCAGTACGTTTTCTATCATCAAGACAGTTTTGAGAGCTCTTGGAACCATGGAACCATTTTCATGAACACGAACACGGAGCAAGGCATTGTCATTTTGTATTCATGTGAAAAAAAGGTAGCATGTCACTTGCGCTTTTGAAAAACTAAGTGAGCTTCTTTTATTGAAAAAAAGTCATATTTTTACGTGGGGCCTGCTTGATAACAAGTTCAGAACATCATCCATTTTAGACATTTGTGCGACAAGCTTCCTACTTGATTGCCCGATATTTGAGCGCAGTTTCGTCGAAGTCCGAATCCCCTCTGAAGAGCAGGTAGAAATAATCCATAGGGAAGGACGACGGAAGATCAACCAAGAACCATCCGCGCAGGTAGTTGCTTGCGATCGCTTTACGATCTAAGATGACCTGCGGAGACAGTCGAAATAGTGGCGTTGTGGGAAGTTATGTATGGCGCAGTAACTGTATCGATCGACGACGATCTGGCAGTACTTTGGTATTTGATGTTCCCCATGACGTCCTTACAAAACGCTGGGATGAGTCACTGCCCCTCAAGCTTGCGAGGCAAGTACGTCATATGGAAGAGTGAAGCACCACAGGCTGGTTACTGCCTTTTAATATACATTCAGCGCGCATGTGCCACGCCGAAAATTCCGACCTATTTTGTTTAAACGAATTCTATCCAACGTTTTACGATCTAAGATGATCCGCTGGAAATGATGATGTTGTAGCACAGAACAATTCAATCTGCTTTCGCCCTGCCCACTATGCGCCGGCATTCATGTTTCACGCTAAACTAAAGCTTAGAATTATACCAATATTACATTATCCGCCTCGATCAGACGCAAAGCCTAGCGTTAAAAGAGCCATGTTGGTCGGAAGTGTTTGTTTGTCGGTAGCAATGTGATCGTAACGCGTGCACTTCATACTTGTTCGTAAACCAGCAAAGTTTAGTTCTGACCAAAGGAGCCTCCGTTGTTCAAGAAATTGCACCCTCTCTTGGTCCAGCTTGAGCCTTATACATGTATCGGCAACCACATACGTGCATGCTAATGTGAGCAGGCTAAAAAAAATGCTACCTCCTCGTTCTGGTGGTGAATGATTCCGGTGAAGAAGTTGAGCACGATGTCTGCCATAAAGAAGCTGTCGGTAATGCAGTTGGTGATGCTCCACTGCAAGGATATTTGCTCACTGAAGAAGGCGATGTTGATGGGGAGAATGACCAGGGTGATTGCCATCAGCAGGATCATCCAGAGGTCCCAGTACCATCTGGAATAAGGAACGGCAAGTTCAGTGTAACCGCTGACTGTCTTACAGTCTTATTCCAACACTGTTACTGGCGATTCACAACACAGTGCACTACCAACAGGTTGGAACGGAAAGGCTATTTGGTCTACAAATTTATTCCAGCAGCTGTGCGAGGGAAACTGGAATTATTTTCCCAACGCTTTTTTTGTCAGGGAAGAATGCCTTTTAAAAATTAATCTTTTAGTCTTTCTATTGCATGAGATGTCCCAATCTGTAAAATAACTTCTCAAAGTTATCAACTGACAAAATAAAGCAAATTGCGGGGACATGGTCATGTTTTTATCGACCATAAAATTGCCAGGGGCCCTTTCCGTGGCAACCTCTCGGTGGGGCACTTTCCCCCATTCACGACTTTTGAACCTGCACCAAGGTTTAAACACAGACCTCCATACCGACGTAGACCTACAGTTACTACAGTAAAAGTAGTATGAATTCTCAATGTGCTTTATAAAAAACGTACAGCAAACAGCTTGCTGGCAACAGTGACCTAAAATATACCAGGGTCTGACATCTCGATCCCGTCAGTACCTTTCTTCTTCCATCTGGTCTTGGAAATGATTCTGCTAGGGGTCAAAATTTCAGGCCTGGTAATATTTATATAATCAGAAATATCTTACAAGAAAGACTGTCGCTGGGCGTAAATTTCCTCATGGAATAAAATGAAACTTTTCCGATCAAATGTGTGAAAGTAGTCGACTAGCATTGTCCCGAATTCTATGCGCTTTTATAACCCTCTGTGGGAACACAATGCCACGAGAATGATGTTTTATTAAACGAAGTGAAGTGATCTAATGATCGTTCAGTCTCTGGCATAAGTCGAGTACCTGAAGTTACTAAACGGGTGGATAACGAAGCTCTTGATGTGCTGCTGTCTCTGTTGCTCCTCTTTTAGCGCCTTTTCGCTGCGGTAAATCTTCTTGACAAAGTCTTTCTCTGCGGCATGGAAGAGATTCTCCCGGGTGAAGGCGGCGCCGATGGTTTCTGACACGGAGGACCGGCGTGGTTTTGGCTTGGGGGACACGGTGGTAGTGAGAGATTGAAGCACGTCCAACTCGCTCTTTGCCCGTTCCGCTGGCAAACGAATTTCACTCAGAATAAATTACATCGAAATAGCTGAGAAACATACTAATGATTTTGACTTCAGTTGTTTTTCTAGTTGAAAATGTAAACACATTCCAGGAATACGAACGTTAGAAACAGTTCTGGACACAATATCATTAACCTTACCTTTGCGGTATCGCTTTGAAAAAATATTTTAATTAAAGCAAGTAAAAATATCGTAAACGTAGACGAATCTCATAGGAAGTATCTTCACGTTGAAGTTACGAAGACCAGAGAGAACACTTAATACTCTTGACACCAAATATTGATATAGGCCTACATGCAACGACCGACGTTCGGTCACACTCTTGCTTGCTTTCTCACTTCGCTGTTTTAGTTAATTTTTTCAGGGGGGTTCTTTGATGCATTTTGGCTTCATTTAGAAACAAGACCGCGTTTTTCACAAACCATACCCGGTAGATCCCGTTCAACCTCTAGCACATGACGGTCCGATGTCTCACCGTCAGCGTTTTTTAATCCTTCCTCGGTTACCGTCTCCAGGGGCGAAACCTTGTTGATGACAAACACAGGCCGGCTCGCGAAAGACATTTCTATCTATCCACGCCTGTCCCGTGCCTGCAAAGCAATCAGGACAGTGATGTGTTCAAAGGCACAGGACTTTGCATGATGGTACACCGCGTCTTGTTTCAGGACAGAAATACTGACTATAGGCAATCTGGGCTTCTTTGAGTTAACTCTTGATCAGAGTTATCCCTTCCCAATCTTGGATGACAACCTAAATGACGCATATTATCAGTGGTTTATTTTTTTTTAAGATAAATCATTCACGTTGTCATAGGCGACGTCATATCTGGTTTGTAAGTGTGACGTCACTTCAGATTAAACCACGCCCACTGCACATACACCATACATAAAGTTACATGCATTGATCACCGTTTACATGGAACCATGGAACCGGAAGTTAACGCGCAGTTTCAGCGACTGTCCAATGGGAGCCAGCAAATCGTGGCGCGTCTGCCTTTGTGACAAAATACCTTACTAGCCGGATTGTCTCCAGGATCGTTTTAGACGTCACAATCAAAGCGCGTCCTGTGACGCTTTCAAACTCGGCAAGGCTCTACACATGCGCAGCAGTTGTTTAGGTATTGGGCATTGACCTCCATTACAGTACAACGGAGATCAATTCCAAGGACGCGATGTACAATATGAATAGATTGATCTCAATTCAGAAAATGAGATAAGTGACAGATATCTCCTGATATTAATTATCACACGAGTGCGAGTGGAACACCAAATAATGTTGTGCGCGCCTATGTCCTTAAATTATTGTGTTCTCCACGAGCGCTAGCGCGAGCATGGTAACGAATTTATCGTCAAACAAAATAACAGAGAGAGTTTGCACGGGGAAACAAACATCGGCCCGTCTAAAACAGTAACAGGGATGTAGCACAGTTTTGAAAGACTCGTTCGCAACAATATTATTAACACGGGCGTTTCACAATAGAGCGCCTCCAAGAATTTGCATCGCGTTGGCCAATCACAATGCGCGAAATCTGTCGACCCAGTGCGTGTTCAGATATATTATACGTTATATTAGCTTAAATTAACCACTTACAACATGAGATTTGAATTTTAATAGCACTGCAGAGTATTGGCGGAAGCAATGGAAATCACTTCTTAAGCGGCTGTAAACAGGTGTTTAATGTCCCGACGATAAACACTTTTTATGTTAAACATGTTCTAGTCCTAACACACGGCATGTTCAAAAGTTTAACATGTTTAGTATTCATTCATTAGAATCAAACTGTTTTTCATGTGGATGAGCGATGCGAAAGAGCATGAAAAAAATACTTATTGAGTCCGTGATAGAATGACTGCAGACCGATCGATGGGATCAATGCTGATCAGTCAGGGCCTATCTACTGCTATCGAAAATACTACCTTCTCAATCAAATCTGATCCAAAGCCTTTCGAGCTGATCCATATCTCTCAAAGACTTCAGATCCATGGGATTTTAAGAACATTGTGACCCTGCTTTTTTGAGAAAACGAAAAAAAGATGTTCAAAATTGGAGCTTAGTCCTCCACAATGATGCTTCTACCCACCCCGGCCCCGGCCATTCTCCTCGCCACAATGATCTAGACACAGCGTTCGCCTTCCAAGCATCCCAAATACTACCCAGGTGTCAGGTGGCAACTGGATGAATCCTGATGAATGCTCGTCCCCCTCACAGCTTTAAAGCGCAATGCAAAGCGGGCACCCGCCATTAACAGTCCGAAGCCGCACATAAGGCGGTCATGCACACTGTACATTTTTCATGTAAATTTTCACTGTACTTTACTGGCAGCACGGGCGCCAGTAGAATACTGTTAATGATTTACATTATTTTCTTACGGTAGATCGCCGTCATTTATTGGTCAGTAATTAACCGTAAAAATAACAGTATAAGAAGTAAGAAAGAGACATTATAAACACAGCAAGTTACCGTTTTTATTGTTTATGGGTTCCATTCTACATGTGTATTTAGGTATAAATTTTGTTGATAAAGGATTCTCAAAATTCACGTTAATTTTAACACTGCAAATATAATGACGTAATGAGGTACGCGGAACACTGTCGACTTATACACCTTTTTAATACCACACAACGCTAATGTTGATAAATGTTATAAGCACTCAGATGATGTGCTAGCTGCAGCTTAGAACGATTGTTATATATACTTAAGCCCTCTGTAAGACCAGTTTTTTATCTGTCTTGGATTTCAAGCGTATGTTCGTCTTTTCTATTCTTAATTTTGCCAATAGAAGGTCAGTCAAATTACACTGGTGTGGACTTTTATGCCAACGTCCCGCTTTCACCGTTGAAAAGGCAAACAAAATGTGTTATGTCCCAACGGTGCGTTCCATTTACATTAGCCTCAATACATTATTTCTATCCTTAGAACGCTGAGCAGAACGGCCAACTCAGCAGACTTTACGCCCATCAAACTCAATTAGCTTGGAATAACTGAAATATTCCCAAAAGAAGGCATGAGCCTGCTTCCTATTTCTCGAAGGCACTTTTTACACTTCACTGCGCCACTCCCTGCACGAAGTTGGTCTCTTTATCGAGCATCATCAGTCTGAAAATTGTTCAAATCCAGAGACTGCGGTGTCATTGGCAAAAAGATTACTTCTAATTTCCACGGAAGAACTTTACAGATATTTTTAATAGGCACTGACATGGTATATAAAGATTATGTGCATTGTTTGGCTCCCAAGTGCAATCATGTTTGGAACATGAACAAGTAAGATTTTTCATGTTTGATTTAGTTTTTTAGGCAATGGTTCCCATTTACGTGTAAAACTACATCCAAAAGCACAAATAATTGTCAGACTAATGGTAAGTACTTGTGTGGAATGGAAAACCTCTGAATTACTTTGGCAAAAGTAGCAACGCCCTATATGTGCCATTATGCACATTGAGGTCAAAGCTTAGGCCTATACCGTAAAACATTACTGTTATACAGTATTGTACAGTTAGGTTGACTGGCTTTCTGGCTTAGATTACCAGTGTAGGCGGCATATTCGCGCCCATGACGTTCAAGCCGTTTCATCATCATGGGCCTATTTCATAGGGGTTTATGTGATAGACATTTCCAAAGCTGCTTGTTGGAAGACCCCTACCATATTCACCTCCTGTTATATCTCAACGATGTTTTGAAGGAGGACCAGATATACGGACTGGCTATATTCCGGACGGTATTGCAGTAGTTAATCTGCTGGCCGTCCTCTGCCCTTGCAAGAGGAGGCACTGAAGCATTTTTTTTAACGTTCAGTTGGTTCGTGCTCTTGTAATCCTGATAACATGCGCTGTCATTGTTAGGTACAAGTGTATGTATTAACCTACTTTGCCTCCTTTATGGTGGAAAGAGTTTAGTGGTGCTTTCTCGCCTTAGTTCCCACCATCCACGAGTTTGGTGCTACTCTGCATGGATATATGGTAATCTAGGTTACTCTCCCCCACCTACTGGTAGAGTGGGTTGAGTCGCTACTGCTACCAGATTACCAGTCTCCCCCCTTTCTTCCCACGCGGCCTTGGTGCACTTTGCGCATCGAAAAAAAGGAAGAACATGGTGACCGCCCTTGCGGGGGTTCAAGCGAGTCAAGGGGCACTACTGGTGATTGAGAATTTAGCAAATGGAAGTATTGGACTAGGAAATAAAGCATAGGTAGGTATCTGGTAGGTATGCAGTAGTAGACTTAACCCACTCTAGGTGGGGGAGAAATTGGTGTTAAAATGACCACAAGATGTCAGTGGAAAAAAAAGCTCTTTCAGACGTATGTCGCATGATAAAGCAAAAAAAAAATGGAAACGGTATATGGAATTTAAGTTTCTTTCTAAAATATAGAGTTACATGTTTATAATGCAACAAAGCAAGGAAAATACCAAATTGTACCAGGGTAACGTGTCTGTTTTTCTAATGGTATACACGTATTTGAACTTCTTTACAATGTCATACATACTAGACACAAATCCATTTTTGGTATTCTTAACCCTGTCCATTTCAATATGACAAATGTACATTAAGTCTCATTTTAATAACTATTCAATAATGCATTGCCACGTTTTGGTTCCATGAATCCTACGAAAATCTTTCACAGAATTTTTGTTTCAAAGAAATTTATGTTTGGCTGCACATTTCACAATGGCTTTGAATACATGGTACACGTTTTGCCAAATAAATTGCATTTTGCTTTTAGGATTGAATGTCCATCTGAAAGCAGTACATTAGTACTTCAAACAAGAATATAATTGTTTCTATGCTTACAGTCACCTGTACTGATAGGCCTTTGCCAATACGAGATGAACCCTGTGAAGGCCGTGAAATTCTTGTGCATCGGATTGTTTATTGCCTGCATAGTGTAAATGTCTTTTTAAATTCTGAAACCTGATATTCACAGCTTTGTATAGTACACTTACATGTTTGCCTTTTCCAACTTTTGTGTTTACCTCATAGGTACAAAATACACGCATACAATGAATACACAAATTATTCTACCTAAAGTACATTTGAACATATAGTCATCACACTTTTCCTACTGAAATGTGGTGTGCTCTTAACTTCATTCGGTGTGTTAAAATGTTCCTGCAGTGAAACAACTGCCGAGAAGAAAACTAGTGATGAAAATTTTCCATAGATGTGTTCATTGCAAGTAAGAAGTTTTTCTGGAGAAAGTTGTCTGGTATATACATACATGTGCAGATATGCAAGTGGAACTCTTAAAATTAAATGTACGGGCACAGTGCTTTGATCTCAGTTCGATTTAATTAAACAATACATTTATCTCTCTGATGTATGAAACTGAACAACAAAATTCAAATTACACTCGCGTGAAGTGTGTCCCGTTACTCGGTCAAAAACTTTACACTGTCTCTTCTCTGATAATAAAAATAAGTTGTGTAACACAGATCTCTTAATCTTGTCACGTTTGCATTAATTGCTGCCATATCAATGCATTTGTGTCCCTTTTCGTCAACATGCAGGCCATGTACAATATCTGTGCAATAGTGCACAGTTACGTGTACAGTATATGTACCGGTATGTACATGTACAGTACGTCTTTTTCAGCACTATTAGAAGCAAGGCTCTGAGTACATGCAGAGGGAACCGGTGTCTTGAAACTTGGTCGGATCATCAGAGCGAGTGGCATTATTTAATTGGCACATTTTCTGTCCTCCTTGCATCTTGACATTGAAGGAGTAGCATCTTGGCTCCCTTAGGCAAGCTAGTCCACCGTTGGTAATGGTCCCGCAGACAAATTCCCTGATGAGGTGGCCAACAAGGCATTTTGAGTTGGAAATGCGTCCATGGGCGTCAGTTAAGAAACAGTATCTGGAGAGTTTTCTTTTTGAAGGGCATGCACAAAGTGCCTTTCGGTTTTTGCAACATTTTCTGTCGTTCCATTTTCCGGATGTGAGGATTTCCGTACAGTCTTCTTCATTACCTGCATTGTTGGGCTCGTTGGTCTTCCAGTTGGAGAATTGGTCAACCTGTCCTTGCCCTTCACACATCCACGTCCCTTCTATTTCTTGGTCAGTGCAGCCAATCCACAGTTTCTTATCTGGCATCATCTTCCTCAAGAACTCATTTTCATAGGGTGAGTGTGGAACAGCCATCCAGCCACCTATGTCTTGGCAAGCCCGTTTGGAGTCATTCCAGGTAGCAGCCTCTTGTGTAAGACGATAGCAAGAGCCCCGCCAGAATGTCCACTCTGGAGGGCAAGGCTGCTCCTGAGCGGCTGTCGGTGATGGGCAAAAGTCTGAAGCCAGTGTAAATGCAACGATGACGTTAAAAAGGCCAGCAAATTTGATCAAGAACATCGTGTCAAATTGCAAAATGTTACGGTTAAAAACTCTCAAGTGGCTTCAGCTCAGTAAATTACAGTCAAGTACAAGTACACCAGAAACGTATCAATAGTTTCTTTTCTTCGCTCTCCCAAGCCTTGGTAGTTACATGGTTCGGTTTGGATAGACGATGACAACAGACTATTGCCACCTGATGCTTGCAGCGGATCATGTACAGCTCCTGAACTGAGCAGCTCAATAGAATGCCTGGCCTTGCTACAACATGTACCCCGGTTGGCATTGTCCTTTCTTCCATGTCATCTTATCTTTATGTGTGCGATGTGCCTATGATGGATGGTACCCCATAAATGTTGAATTCCGCAATTAATGAGGCATGGCCTCTGGCTTTTAACAGAGTCTACCTATTATTTAAAAATCATCATATTAGTAAACAAAAGCGGCTACCTGTGGTATACAGTGTTTTACAACCAGTACAATGCACCTATATGTACATGTACTGTAAAGACATATATACCCTATATGTAAGTATTTTTATTTTCACTTTTTACCGTGTATGTGCGTGTACAACTATCGTTTAGCTGTAGTTAATTTGTGGAGTTATCAAATTGTTTTCTAGAGTTGTATGGACCCTGAAAAAACACCCTTATAGGAAAGATTATCATTTTTTGTTATATTTATTGATTTTTTTACTATTTTATTTAATCAGGGAAGCCTCGTCAGTACGTCTTACTGCTCTTAATGAGGTCCCTAAACATAAAAAAAATCTACAAAAGTTAATCAAAAATAAGAAAAGATAAGAAATAAACAAAAACTACTTTGTAAAACGAGAAAAACATGAAGTTTAATGGCATATGCATATATGATACACACATTTTGTACAAAAGAGAATTGGATTTACGAAAGCAGTTGCTGAGTTACTCACAATACGGTGTGCCCCATTGTTCAACCCCCCCCCACATGCTTTACATACATACATGTACATGTCTACAAATATCATCCTGCCTCAGGGATGTACATGTACAAGTGACCAAGGCTACCATACTTGCTTTGAATGTATCCATCGAGCACAGGTTTGAATTATACCCAATACGGACAATTTGCAAAATTGGCCTGCAAAATCACGGGGAAATATGCAAGGTGTAATGGTCGTCACGTTCGTCAACATGTCTGCACATAAATTATGGGTAAAATAATACGAGTGATTCACAATACAGCGCGCCATCAAGAGTTTGCCGCAGAACACACCGCCTCTTCAAGTTAACGGTTGACATACTGCCGCCATTAAGTGCAATTAGAACATAACCTGGGGACATTTGACTGATGGAGGTGTGCACCACACTAAACCATCATTTTGATTACCTAAACAAATCTCCTCTTCCACGGATCTCGACACATTGGTTACTCAGTACGGGCAAACTCTCAGAGATTTGGTTAATAAGCACTCACCCCTACAAAAACATCAAATCAGAGCCCGTCCTTTTGCACCCTGGTTTAGCAATGACATTAATTTGGCCAAGCGTGAGCTGAGTTGTCATGAGCGACGTTGGAAATCGTCGAAGTTGGAGGTTCATAGGCAGATTTTCAAAGAGCAGTGTCGTCGCTATAACAACTGATATCTGCTACAAAATCTAACTAACATAGGAGTGAAAAGTGCGACTCAAAACGACTGTTTTAAATTATCAATACAATAAGTACACCGACATCATCATAGCAAATTCTCCCCTCAGACTCAACGTCTGAACTGTTACCTGGTAATTTCGCAAACTTTTTCTCAGACAAAATAGAAGTCCTGAGAAATGAACTTGACAACTCAGATACAAATTCTGCTCCTGTCCATGATCCTGGTCCCAGTGCATCAGTTTGCCAACTCAGCACGTTGTCTGAGAATATAGTGAGACAACTAACCATGAACTCAAAATCCAAATCATGCAATCTCGATCCTGTACCTACCTGGTTGGGTCGCTACCTGACGCCTGCGTAATGTGATGCATACGAAGTGCTGGGTATGTTTGGGTCGTTGTCGCTAGGTTGTGCGGTGAGTAAAAACTTTCCCCGTAAAGTACCGGTAATTTGTCCTTAAACTCTAGGTCCAACGTTATAGGGATAAGGATAAGTTCAGAAGACTTTTGTTTGGGAGGGGGAATCGAGTGAGAAAGTGAAATTTTTGATTGCAGTAAAATGTACCGTGATCAGCATCGACATGATCAAACTGGGCTGTGTTCAAAACCCCATAGCGTTACGAACACACGGAATGTGCCTTTGGGTCCAGAAGTTTCCCAAAGGCTACCATGAATTACCATTTTCACATGATTCAAGGGACGATTTGTCACATCACGTTTTATTCCTCCATGATCACGCTGACTGAACATCGACAAAAGTGCGTACACAGAACCTGCTAAGGATCATTGTGTGTACTTGAATGTGTGCGGCTGGCATGAACAATTAACCAAGAGGAATACGCCATGCATAAAGCGGTACATCGCACGTGCAAGCTTTAGGTTACCTCACATTTTAGTGGTCGGAACAATGAACGAGAGCCCACGAGTTGGCCTATATGCAACGTACTGAAATAGGTTTGGTCGCTGTGTGGCAACAGATAAACTCAGGTGTGATTTTTTTTCCTTTTTTTTTTCTTTTCTTTTTTATTCACCACTAATGTGATGGGTCGATACTTCAGAGTCAACGATAAAGTACATCTGTGTAAAAATTATGTAAGTAGTCATGTCTAGGTTGAACATTCATTTATGAACAGGTATAGGGATAACGTATACCTGTATAAACATCTAGATCAGATAACATGTAAATGTATCAGCCTCTTCTCTTCCTTGAACATTTCTACATTTGCACCTGCATGCTCATATTTGGTAGTTTTATTCTTATTCGATTTTTCAATTTAACACTTGTCTATGAATTTTCTATCAAATGTATTGTCCTCAAACCTGATGTAAGCAGAATCTGCCTTGGTATTTTCATGTTGATGTGAGTTAATCTACTAATACCCCTAGTTTACATTATTCAGAAAGGTAATGATGCCTCCTGTTTGTATTTTACTTACAGGATGAAGCAAATTTACACTATACGGTAAAGCATTCTGATAAATAACACTGAACAGTTTACTTGTATCTCTTTGGTGGACTGATATCATCTACATTTTGTGCATATAACTAACTAACGCCTCCTGGGTGTTTTACGTTTGTATTTTGTGACTTTGTGTGTTTGTCATTTGTATATTATATAATATGTTTGTTTTTATTTATAATTTTGTTGTCTTTTTTGCACCAATGGCCGCCCATACCTGAGCCTAGCTATTTTACATTCACATTTGTAGAACACGAAGTCCTAACTATGTATCGTAAATGCAACGCTCAAGTACCATACAGCATTCACAAATAATGCTTATAGGCCGTTTAGAATATGTCATTTAGAATAAGAAACCAAAATACATGTATTTACTCTTTTAACATTGAGAACACTTCACAGTGTGTTTAGATTTTTTGGCGTATCTGCTTTGTAGACGCGTCCTTTCAAAGCAAAAGGGCAGGTATGCAAAAAGGTGCAAAAAACTCTGCAAAATGTCAAGTCTTCCATATGTTTGAGCACAAACCATAGAAGTTACATATTTCTATGGCACAAACATAGTTGCACCCAACTCTATTTACACATCCAGTTCAGCTCCAGTAATTATATTTTATTAGCTCTTTGAGTTTGTGTCACTTTGCTCGGAGCTTTATCCACTAACCCGCATTAGTATTGTTAGTCTTTCAGAAGGGGTTAGTTTGTGACCATTTTCAAGGAAGTTGTGCCAGCCTGTGGTTTATATGTATATCTACGACTTATGTTTCATTCCACACACAAGTCAATTTGTCAAAACTTAACAGACGCTTTTTCGCATAAGTTTTATTTTTCACGTGTCAGTGAATGCAGATTTAAATAGTCATGCATCATCAAGTCGGTAATTTGCCGGCTGTTGTCAGAGTGCAACGCCGTGTATGTATACCTCAATGGGTCCAAGTGTAGAGTGCGATATCAGAACACCAGGGAACCTTCAGTGCAACCTTGGTCCTAAGATGGTCCTACCGATTCCCGGACCATGTCGTTAAATGGAGAACATAGCATTGACATTAACCCCCCCCCATAGGGTGTATGTAAAATCATATTGAAACTGGAGGATTTGAGGGGTTGTTGTAATGCCAGAGCGCTAGTTCAACAAGACAAACACTTGTTCTGGCGACTGGATTATTTCTTTATTAAGGCCATGCAAACAAAAATTGGTGATTATCCTTTTTGCCCATAAAGTGAGGGTATGTGGGGTGTTAAAATTTTCATTTTCTGGTAAGAAATTTCCACATGTGTTTAAACGACAGCAAGTTTATGTAGGATGTTGGTACAACACCAGATCTGAATACCCTCCGCTACTTATAAGCGAGGCCTGTGCAGCAAAATAGCCTGCAAGAACTGTGATGGTAATATATTATCGTATGATGCAATACAGTGCCACTCTTATAAGTGAGGCTAGTCAGCGTCAAAAAAGTTGGAAGCAGAAAGCTCGAACAAGCCTCACTTATAAGTGTGCCTACTGTATTGCATCATACGATAATAAATTAGCACCGCAGCTAGTGCATGGCTATTTAGCTGCACAGGCCCCACTTATGAGTAGCGGTGGGTAGTCGGATCAGGTGAGTACAATCGAACCCTGCTCGCTTTTTCCATATTTTTGTGCATGCAGCCGCAGCCGCAGCCAATAATTCGGATGCGGCCGTGTCTGATTAGTCAGTGGTGCTGTTCCGTTCACCTCCCTTTCCTTAAATTGAATGGAGCCTTTGCCTGTTCCTAGCTTGCGTATCCGTAGATGGAACAGCCTCCGAAAGAGAATGTCTTGCGCTAATTCTCAGACCAAAGGGTCTGTGTGGGGGAAAATAAAAAATATAAATAATAAAAGAGTCTGAAGGGTCGGGCGGGGATAATCACCAATCTTTTTTTTTAACTTGGCCTAATACCAGCCCAACATGTTGCTGGTACATTTTGATCACAGTCTTTTGTCCATGCTCAGTGTCATAGAATGTCCACCAAACGTCACTCAAGTGCACAATAACCACGGCGCCGACAATGCACGTCATGTGTGCATATATTCTATTGATAACTTATCTGGATTTCTGCAGTTAGAATAGTACATTTACACGGTATCGGAGGAAGAGGCTGGAACGCTGGAATGGAAGAACATATTTCACCAAACAGCCACTTGGTTGAACCCTTGTCGGTCAGCAGGCGAGGCTCTCTGTGCAGGAGCTTTCTGGACAGCATCAAGCGAAATGACGTCGACGCTGTGCGGTCCCTGGCCGGAGAGAATAAACCGGAGGACCCCCTCGCCTGTGACGAGCTGGGACGAACCGCGTTGGTTGTGGCTATCGACAAACACAGCTACGGTGAGTAAAAGACATGGAATGAAAATGGCAAAGGGGGTAAAAGCGACAAACAAAGGAGAGGAAAAATGGAAATCGCCAATGGCATCGACCCTCAGGCTGGTGTGTTGATGACGACTGTCAACCCCCCTCCCCGCCTCCCAAAGAGCTTTTACCCTCATGATAAACCCTCTTGGGGGTAAATCCCGGGAGGATGGGGATAAATGTACATTTACATACTCCCAAGGCCTACTGCTGGATTAGGGGATGGGCCATTGAATCAACCCCTAGTTTTCATTGGTGAGAAAGTGAAGAATTTTGTTGGAGCCAATTCCTAACAACCGAAATTTATTCACTAGAAAAGGAATTAAGAACAATAAAAACTATAAATAAGCGTTCTGAAGTATGATTCTGCATGAATGTAAATACGTACCGGATTAAAGATATGGGCCTAGTATCTGCATTGTGAACATTGCCCCATAGCGCCATACAGTACCCCCATTGTTCTCAAAACGTGGGCAAACCAATTCCCTCCACACAGTTCGAAATTTTTGAAAAGAAACTCGTTTTGTTCAAAAGTTCCCTTTGTCCTTCGCCAGCACTATCGATGTTGTGAGCAATAGTTAACAAAACGCCCGCGCAATTAATGGTCCCCGCACGTTTTGTTCATTCGTTTTTCAATTTGAAAACGAAAATGAAAACAAACAAACCCCCCCCAAAAAATGTGTTTCTGTTTTTTTATTTGAAAACGACACTTGAAAATCGAAAACTGAATCGTGTTTTGTTTCTTGGTATAAAAAATTCAAAACAGAGAAACAAGCCCTTTCTCGTCTTTTATTTAAAAACGAAAAACGGCAATCACGTCATTTTTCGTTTTTAATGTGACAACGACTAACGTCGTAATTTGATCCAATTTTTGAAGAAAGAAACACAGGGTTGTTTTTCATTTGTAATGCAAGAAACGTCTTTTTAACCAACCAAATCAAACATGGCTGAACTAGAATACAGGAATTTGTGGCTTGTAAAGTATAAAAGACAGAGCAACCTGCGAGGAAATTTCTCACATTCTCAAAGGCAACATTCTTCTTGAGACCCCCAGAGCGCCAAGGCGGTCAACTGTCATTTCAACCATTCAGTCCAGTCGCTGCTAAGAATTGCACACACACACATACGGAAAGCGGCTGCAGCCAATTTCCATGTCTTGTGTATCGATCGCAGCCGTAGTCAACCATTTGGTCGCGGCTCGTCTTCGCAAGTACATGAAGTGCATGACTCTTGGACGCTGATTGGGAAATATTTGCACTTTTATGGGGGGGGGAGCAAATCGGCATGGTTTCAGCCGGTTTTTTCTTGGTACAAACTACAATGGTATGTAAGCGACCATACATAGAACTCTTGGGCAAAATAGAGCAGCATTTCTATGGGTACACAACTAAAATATAATCCCTGTTCCTGCCCTGTTACACGTCATGTATGGCGAAAAAGGCTCATTTTCTGCCGGGTTGATGGGAGCAGGGCGGACCACGGACCCCACAGTTCTGGGGATGGAGGTGGGGGTAGACTAAATTGTTTGATGCCATAGGAACCAGAGATAAATGTACACCTGATGAGCCAAATGGTTCAGAGACTTTGGTTGCTTTATTTACATGTACATGTACAATTGTACATGTGTGATTTACACAACAGATGTGATCAAGTGTCTCCTTGAGCTACAGTATGACATTGGGGATGCCTTATTCCATGCTGTTAACATTCAGAATGCCACCGCTGTGCGCACAATCTGCAAGAGTCTCCCAGAATCAGTAAGTGACCAGTTTCCTAATTAGGGAACTCGTGCCTAATTGGGCACAAATGTCAGTATCAAATAGCATGCAGAATCCATTGCATGTTTTTAAACATGAAAAACAAAATCACTAGTTCATAAACATGCAGATCAAACCAGGTTCAAATCTCAGCTCAGTTTGCTGTACACTCTAGGAAAAAAACAACTAAAGAGAGAGAGTAGTCATCGAAACTCCCTTTGTAACGGATTAGTACTTATATCATGGCAAGGTACATGGATAGAAATTGTCTTTGTTGAAAAAAAAATGAAACTCTATTTTGATTCACTTCTTGAACTGCCCCTAGACCCAAACGTCTCCAGTGGTCCCAGGAAGATTTTGGACCCCAATCCTTGTGCATCTTTAAACAAAAAGATACAACAGGCATGATCTGACCACTCCCGGGCCTTGTATTGCTTCATGTTTCATTTGCAACACATAGCCTTAGCGACAGTTGAAAAGTTAATTTGCTCTCCCTGAACTGTCATATGTCAGATGATTATTACAAGTACTTCACTGTAAATCCAGAAGACGTCGATGGAAATTGACAATGAAGATGCTTTCCTCCTCTTTCATAAGTGCTTTGTTGAATGTCATGCTAGTTCCACATACGTGCATGTTCACATAATATCCAGGATGTGCCTTCCTTTCTTGTGTAAACAAAGTTGATGTAGATAAAAAGTGGATACTAGTATTGTGATATTAAAAAAAAAAAATTGGCAGATATCTGCAAAGAGAAGCAATTATGCAGTATTTTCTGGTCTTAAAGGTAATAAATGAAGATCAATGAAAGACGTTAAAGGAAATCTTCAGAAACAGGAGGTGAGGGTGGTGCACTGGCTACATGTACAAGAACTAGAGCTTTAACAACAAACTTGTACATGTATCTGTTGGCCTGGGAGCCAGACGTTTGAATGTCAAGGTCTGTGTTGTTTTCCCTCCACCATTAGTGCAAGCTGGATGCCATCAATGAATTTCCATCTGGCAACCATTACCCAGCTGTCACGACTCCCTTGCTGCTCGCTGGCAGAACAAACAACTTTGAAATTATCAAGGTATAGTGCCTTAATTGACAAGGAATCCATTGATTTTTCTGATCTTGTTCACTGAATCTGTTTCATTAATTGAAAACCCAGGCTATTGAACGGTATTGTACCTGATTTTTGTAAATGTGCCTCAAAACACTAAAGGTACACTTGCTTGTTCAAAATTTAAAATTACGTGTACCACTGTACACTTGTACCAGCTGATTTGTTGCGAACATGTAAGTTCACTTTGTCACTTTCGTTCTGTTTCCCAATAAAATCACTATTATTATCACGATATGCCTATACAATTTCTCCATTTTCTCTCTCTTTATTGGTAGACTTTAATTGATCTGCACTATTGCGTGTAAAAGATGATAAAGACAACAGAAAAAGACAGCAGAAACATTGTTACTTTACCTCATATTTGGAACGATTATATGAACGAGCATGTATCAGATCTGCTGGTTTCCATGTTTTGTTTCGTTTTTCCCTATACATGTACATCTCATGCTTATGTGTGACACTGGGAATTTACAGTTACCCGAGGCAGACGTTTTTGTGGAGTTCGGAAATGTTCATGCTTTCTCTTAGTTGCGAATTGCCTGCGTGAGGGGTAGGCTAGGGGTGATTGAATCATTGAAGAACAACCTCCTGTCTCCGATCCAAACGTTCTCTTTTTAAGCCGTGCATGTACCTAGTATACATGAATAATGTACATGGAGATCATTTTGTGCAGTGTATCCACATTTTTGTAACTACATACAGTTGTTGTACGTGTGTTATTTTATTATAAATTTTGAAAGGAATTTTGTTTTCCAAGAGCTTCTCCCGGGCAGATTTTAATAAGGAAAAACTGTCGCTTGATAGGATAACCATCCTACAAACTGTACCTAACCATCCTACAAACTGTAATTTGAGTTCCTCATCAAAACGGGCATGGCGTTATTATTTTTAAAATCCCATCTCCCAAGATTGTGGTGCAAGGAACCACCCCGAATCCTTTACAGTCTCCCACCGTAGAGGAACGCAGAGACACATTTGTTGCAATTTGCAGGTAACTTTCGAAATGAGCCTCGAATTTCAAAATCCTACAAAACAATACCGAAAGACTGTAAAAGATCCAGGAGCAAAAGATGCCTTCCATTCTTCTGCACAACAGGTTCTCCTCAAGCACGGTGCCACGATGCCCGACCTTAACGACCTCATCCGCCGGGCAAAGAGTGACCCGTACCTGAGATTCCTAGCAGCGCTCTATTGGTATGAAGCAGCCAGCAGCGAAGCTTACATCCTGCTTACCTCAGACGACCCCCTGGACACCATCTTCAGACTGGGGAGGTCATTGCAAGAGGCAGAGGAAGCGTTGAATGTGAGCCAATACATACACGCATCAGATTCCATTACACCTGCTGGCGTAACTATGCACCGTGTTTAGCTGCGCAATGTACATGTACATGTACTTGCTTAGCTGCGCACAATGTTAAATGTATATGATTCAATATCTTGGACAAGGACGATCACAGCTTTATTTAATGGATGACCCTTTTCAGTATAAAGCAGTCATGAAACTGTTATTCCAGTTTAAATTGACTCGGCTTATCATTTTGGAAAAGTTTTTGTCTTGTCATTGTCATAACTGGGCAGAAAATGTCGAAGTTCTCTCATAGTCGAACAAGTTTTATGTAAATTATAGCTAAACATGATTTAGTAAAACCTTTCTTTTCCAATTTGTTCATTAAAACATAAAGCCGCTTGAAATGATCGCCCACAAAGTAACGCAAAATGTGTTGTCCCAGTAACTTTTGTGAAGTGCATCTCAATTTACAATATACAATTTGGTGTTGAAGTTACACGATTCCGTATTAAAGATATGCATGCACATACGGCAGTCTACCCCACAGGTGTGTATAGGCTGTGACTTGCCTTTGCGGGGCAATATTGACGGTTAAACGGTTGGGTCGATTCACTCTTTGAACTTAATTCCATGTATACAACATGTATTTTTATTCCCCATGAGATTTTTCCCCTGTGCTCTATGCCCCTAAAATCAGGTTCCCCTGTTCAACATCGAGAGCGAGAGGATCCAAGGTAAGCTGGTGGACCTAAGTACCAAGTTGCTGAGCCTGGCCAGGGACAATGACGAGATTGGGGTGCTACTGCGTGGTGGAGAAAAGGGCACGCCCAGCCCCCAGGTGCCTCTCCGGATCCAGCAAGCGTTAGACATGGACAGCTTCAAACAGGTTTCTACCGTTCATTTTCACTTTCCACTCAAAGCCCGTATGCATGAATTGGATGTGAAAATCCTCACAGTGTGGCTTAGGTCGTGTCCGAAACGGGCTTCCAGAGCTAGGTCTATTGTCTATGCATCTCCACGCATTTCCAATGGAGCGAAGACCTAGACCTAGTTCTAGACAAGAGATTCGGATTCAGCCTTAGACTAGTGTTTTCAGATGCTGTACGTGTCAAACTCATGCAAGTGACTGCATGTAAGTAGAAATAAAAGGGAAATGCTGTACGTGTCAAACTCATGCAAGTGACTGCATGTAAGTAGAAATAAAAGGGAAATATCTGCTTCACGAGATGCAGATTGCTTAGCAGCCCTTGATGGTATGCAATTACAGAAATGCTTAATTGCAACTGACACTGATGCGGATGTTTGGCAAGGTTACCTGTAGATCATATTCCACTTCGATGAATGTCTGTTTTTGGCAGAGTAGGCCCATGCTTACACACACGTTGGCCTGACAGGTGTAGAACAATATCCCTCTCGCTTGAGTACCACGTATTTTGCCCATTTGGGCCTATTCCTTCTGACAAATATTTCGATTCCACTTGTCAACAAGAGAACTGACCACAAATGTGGTACCAGTTTTGATTCAAGAAATGGTGTAACTATGTTAAAGATGGACTTCACTAGAAAATATTCTAGTGATGCGGATATTTGGCAAGGTTACCTGTAGATCATATTCCACTTCGATGAATGTCTGTTTTTGGCAGAGTAGGCCCATGCTTACACACACGTTGGCCTGACAGGTGTAGAACAATATCCCTCTCGCTTGAGTACCACGTATTTTGCCCATTTGGGCCTATTCCTTCTGACAAATATTTCGATTCCACTTGTCAACAAGAGAACTGACCACAAATGTGGTACCAGTTTTGATTCAAGAAAAAGTGTAACTATGTTAAAGATGGACTTCACTAGAAAATATATGACGTTCATGATGCCACTGTGTACAATTTGTTTGTCAGATGACATCACACGCCATCTCTTCCATCACTGTCTCCATCTTGACATCTTGGGTGCTGTCAGCATTCATGGTTATGACCGTGTGGAAGCTGACTGTGGGTCAAACAAACTGAAGCCGTGTTTACAGGGGCTTGTCCTCTTCACTTGTTGTCAAGACAATTTCATTGTTTCTCAACCCATCTTGACCGTCTGTAGTTTGTGTGCCACCCAAGTAGTCAGGCCTACATGTGCGCCCAGTGGGAAATTCACCATCCCCGTTGGTTTTCCAAGAAGCCACAACTTGTCCGTTCGTACCTCTTCAACATCGCAGTTGTACTGCTTTACCCTGTCCTGTGCGTCGCCTACATCTTGTTCCCACAGACGACTTCGCCAATTATGAAGAGACCGTAAGTTGACCATGCGCTACGATCAGTCATACCTGTGCTGTATCGCAGTATCCAGTAGCTACGTGGATAGGTTCTCTGAGTCGGCGATGGCATAGTGGATTCAGCAAATCCGGTCACTAAATGTGATTGTACAAATGCCGCCATAACAAACACGACGGGACCCACGCAAATGTTCGGATAAGGGAAGCGGTTATTATGTGTGGCAGTTTTGCAGTCACAAGTGTACCCCTTCCTGGCTCTGGCCCATTCAATCATGTAGCCACATGATTGAATGGGCCAGATTGAATGGGCCTGCCTCAGTGTGCGGCATAAGTGAAAAAGGAAATTTGGGAGCCAAGTTCGATGTAACCTATTGTTTGGTACAGCGATATTGTACTGCAGTTATGGTCTAGAGAGAGCAAGCTCAGTTCTGTTTTGAGATCTCCCAGACAGGGTTCTGATGCTGACTTTGTACCACACAAGATTCTTTTTACCCTCAATTCAAAAGTTTCTCAGGCAGCTTGTAACACTTTTGGTTGGGTTAGGTTGCAAATAGTAAGTTCAAAGTGCTACATGTGGAAGTTTGTTGTATATTATTATTGTACATGTACCTGTACATGCGATTGCTCCACAAATAAGAAAGAAAACAATTTAGAAAAGAGTTGCGAATGTTTCTAGTGCCATGTGAGTTGAGTTTTGTACTTATAAATGTTTGTAAAGTAATGTTAGTATTCATGCTCAGTATAGATAAAAATAAACTTGTTCCTGTAAAAATTTTGCAAATTGCTGACCTTTGTAAGATAAGATTTCAGAAACTACTGCAGCAGTAAAAACCTGAACATTGAGTTTGTTGTCTGCCCTCCCAGGAAAATCCGGTTCTTGATTCATGCTGGCTCGCGGTTGACATTGCTGGCCATACTTATAGTCTCCACCAGGAGTCAGTGGGTGGAGGAGGTGGTGAGTGAAGATAACAGCAAAGCATCCAACAGAGAGCTCCTCCGTTTGTACATTCTGTATTCTGAACATCGGCTTTCGCTGGTGAATGCGTTCACAGTGATGTGGATTCTGGGTAAGCTTGTAAGATACACATGCATTCTTTAGCTTGACGTGCATGCGCATTTGGCAAACCACGGCACCCTATTGGTCAAAGAGGCATGTCACTTGCCTACCATGCTTGTACCTGTCTACGAGTATTGTGCCACGCAGAAAGTGTTTCTAATTCTGGTTGTTACACTGTACAGTATATGTCATGATACAGATATGACATAATTATTAACATCACATGTCATATACTGTATGCCATAAGTAAAATACTGGTGGTCTAGCGTACAGGTCCCTGACTATAGAGTCACAGTGTGCATCATGTTCCGATTGGAATGCTCAGCGTTCGACTGAGAGAGTTAGCGCACCACTCTTGCGAGAGCCTTCCAACTTTTGACATGCTCTTTTATGCTGTGCTTGTCTCTGTCCTGTAGGTATGACAGTCAGAGCTGTCAAACAGCTGTGGACCCAGGGTGCACCTTTCTACTTCAAGAATGGCTGGAATATCATGGATTTCTTGCAGCTCATCTTGTACTGGATTTTTCTCATTGCTGCTTTTGTCGCATTTGTTAAGGTGCGTATGCAGTATGTAGTACAGGTATTTTATGAATTCAAAAATACCTCAGTTTAATTTCCTATTGTTTAAAAGTTGGTCTTGTTGATTAGTTTAAGAAGCTGGTAAATTAAATTCAGAACTGTTTTTCAACACTTGATCTGTTTCTCACTGTATTTCTCCCCTGTTGTACACGTATAGACTCAAACACTGACCTTGTTATCATCTCACACATACGTGTTTACACAAGCCTTTTATGCACAGTACAACCAGTAAGTCTGTGTATGCACACTCACATACATGTATTTCTGGAAGATTAATTTCCGCTGTGCGCCAACATTGGTTTGTCTTCGCCATGTACCACTACAGCACGCACAATAAAGGTACACACTTTGTTATTTCATTGTTAATGGTTTATTTGATTGTACGTGTATTATCGCTGCCAGCAGCAGTGGAATTAAAACACAATTTACTTCATGAAGTTCATAAGTGTACATCAAAGACTTAAATTGAAGATGGGGAAGGATGAGGAAGTGGGGAGATGAAAGGTGCAAGGTTAAAGGGAGGGAACAACAAGGGTAAAACAATCAGGACTTGAAGAAATTCTGATTCTAAGATAAACTTTAAAATGTTTAGAGAATGGGTAGAAGAGGGACAAAGGGCAGGAAGAAAACGATGGAGCTTGGAGGAAAGACGGGCAATTCAAAACAAAGGGGCAAGGTGGAAGGAAAGGCTAAAAGAAACGGGGAAGGAAGGGCAAACAGGACAAGAAAACCATTTAAAAATAAATAAGAACTGATATTGAAATGTAACACTCAAAAATTAAACCCCCCAATACATGAACTTAGAAATGCAGGGTAAAACCATTCATCCGTTCATTCATTAGGGTCAGCATGAACTTTTCAATAGCCATACCTACAGTATGGCAAGGGGCTAAATGCATTTGAGAAGACACGAGGTCAAATTATTTTTAAAAATCGTTTGAAAAAAAATTGTGTTTATTAACTGGATGTGTGTTCAGAAAAATAGCATTGGAAAAGAGGTAGAGTATGATTGAGTGGTTTTAAACAAGTACATGTAAAACTGATTTTATTATGCTGGTGCCGGTGATGGACTGAGTTCAGAAACCAACATCTTGTCCTAATATTCTCCATTTTGATCTACAAGTATTTATCAGCCTTGCAATTTGTACATGTATGCATGGTAATGTACTGTCGAATCTCGCTAATAAGAGGTCCTTTGGACTATAAACAGGAACCATGTACAGGTACTTACAATTTTTCCTTATAATAAGCAGGGTTATTCCTAACAGTCCCAAATCCTCCGATTTCAGTATGATTTTGCATACACCCTAGGGGTTTATTGGGGTTAACGGTGTTTTTATTAACAGAGTTTGACGGTATAATCCCATGCATTGTAGGCCTACATGTGTTTATTGTAGAGCTAGCCCCAGGCTCCTCTTCTTTCTCTCAGCAGGTTTTACATGTTGCACAGTATTGCTTTATATAGGCTAGACGGCCTAAAACTGCCCTTAGTTACAGTCTCAGACATTCCTGTAATTATGATGTACGTAATATGCTAATGAGAAAACAGGCTAGTGGCACCAGTTGATGCACGGCACCATTTCTTTTTCCATTTGCTAGTCCCTTGTGGTAGCTGAAGCAGGAGGCATTTTGGAAAGTCATGGTGATGTAGAGCAAGCCCCGTCAAACGTTGTCAACCTCAGCACTAGGTGAGCGCATAGCCAAAAGTTCTTTTGTTTGTTTGGTTTACACATGCACATTGTTTGAAATGAAGTGTCACAAAAGAGTGTTGTTCTAGTACTTATCCTATTTTTGCAGACGTCAGTGCCTCTTAACTGTTGTAAAAAATAGAATACTTCTTTTATATCACTTTAAAAGAGCACATCTTTTATTGTTAGTGCCACACCATTTTATAGCATCATACTAGAGATATTACACTGTTGCCTGAGGAACAATTGATGTTGATGGGGGTGCACACTGTATGTAGTTCAGGAATATTGTGTCCAAATTATATAGACCTAGAAGTTATATTTTGTGCATGAAAATGCACATGTATTTGTACATTTGGATATTTTATTTTCTCTCTTTATTTTAATAGAACATACCTACCCACCACTGAAAGTACCAGTAGGGTTTCAATTCCTTATGGAGCAGTAGAGGCTCCTGCTAATGGTGAGATGTTGGAAATCATACTATTTCGATACATGCAGTGATATTGACACATCTTCATTACCTCCAGTCCAATGGATTTGAATAGTTTTGCTGGAAGTTTTAATGGTCGTTGTCCAAAAGGTCTCAGTGGTTTTGGTTGGAACAGTCACCACGGTCTGGCCGCTTTGCCATTAATTATAGAAACCGTTCCATTTCACTAAGTGAAGACACAAGTTGAAGAAAATGATACCTGTCAGATCATTGCTGTCGCGATGTTGATGTCATAAATTATGCATAACACGATGACCATAGAGAATGCAGACATTCTGGACGCTCAAGGATTTCCCCAAGTAAATGTATTCTGAAAATATTCATGGTATTATGTAAGTGGATCAAGTGCAATTGCTAATATTTTTCATTTAATTTGTTCCGTTACTTTTAATTAAACAAGTTATTTTATATTACTTCAAGATATACCTTGTACTTTTCATCAGGGAGATGTTGACTTTTGTTGATTTTGAAAAATAAATTTAGTGACCTATCTCAGTCTTGTACTCAATTCTCGTCCACTTTGCCTCGAAAATATCACAAAATTAATCCTCCAAACAGAGCATTATTTGCTAACCAAACTTACGTAGACTAGTACCACGAGCTAATGACATTGCTATTCACGGAAGGGTGTATCCCATTCCGTGTAGGCAAAGTACGCAATACGGACGCTCGAACATGTCGCCAAAGTGAATTGGATCACATCATTACGGTGTGAGGATGTACCCTAAAAACATTTTACCAGCAATCCATACGTTTTATAATACTTTGAAAATTAAAATGAATAAAATTTGATATATTGATACAAAAACGATGTATTGGTATCGGTCAAAATACGATATCGACGATGCCTAGCTTGGTGCTGTTGCAGAATGAACTCGGATGCCTTTCAGTTTGGCCGTGGCTGTTGAATTAATACCGAGATGGCTCATTGAGTGCGAGTCATTTCACATAAATTGTCATCCTTTTTTTGTAAAACACTTTCAGCAGAATAGAGGTCAACATCATCATATTATTAAGCACAACTTTAGTGCTGATGGGTGTTTTGATTGAATTGAAGAAGAAAAAAAAAACAATTCCGTGGTTGAGGCTAATGTTGCCTCTCCTTTGCAGTGTTCTCTTTACGCTAACCTCCTCCTCCTCGCCTACTCGCAGGATCGCATCGAGTCTGGCATGGCTGGCAGGAGTTCCAGGCCCAGCTAATCTCGCAGGGGGCCTTCGCCCTGGCTAACATGCTCAGCTTCCTTCACATTCTGCACCACCTGCTTGCCTTTGCTCTGCTGGGCCCCCTGCTGGTTTCCTTCATCGGTATGACCCGCGATGTCCTCAAGTTCTTTGCCATCTTTGGCTGCCTGCTGGTCACCTTCTCCATCGGAATGACCCAGCTCTACCACAAGTTTGAGGCCCTAGATGTCCACTTCTGCAACCGTGACGGGGAGCCCTGCCAGGACACGCCATTTCTTACGTAAGTGTAATTTTTATTAGAGGCTTAATTCTCTTTTTTCCTGTTCTTTTGCCTGCGCAACAATTTCCATTTATTTTACCTTATCAACAAATATTCAGTCAAATGTGTTTTGGGAAAGTAGGGAAAAAGTTTCTATTGCAATTCCTGTAAAATTATAATGTCCAAGAACCTTGCTACATGCATGTATTTATACATGTACATGTGGATAGCATTCCTCACTGGCAGTGGGGTACAGTGACTCCAGCATTTTGGAAGGAATCTTATTAGTACATTCAGTACTCATCGATCGGAAAATAAAGCAAAACCACCATTTCCCATGGGCGTCTCGGGAGGGACACGTACTCCCTTGGAAAATAACATAAAAATTAAAAAGGGAACAAAATAAAAAGAACTTTTAAAAAAGATGACACTTTGGATTGAAATTACCAGTTTCATTTAAAATAACTGCAAATTTATCTTCTTGCTATGTTTATCAGTTGGCTAAAAACTAAAAATACCCCTGTAGGCCCAAGTTTTGTTTGTTACCGTGTGTGGGCTTAAGTACATGTAGGCTAGATGCTGTTCCTCTGCATTGCATGTAGGTTGTTCATTTCATCCATAGTATAAAGGTGTTAAAATAATACTAAAATAATTTCATTGAAACTTGATACAGTAAAGCTAAGATTTCTACATGTAGTAGTATAGGCCTACATGTACCTTTTTTTTCAATTTTTTGTGTACAACTCTGCAATATGCACACATCTTTACACAAAGTAGTCTACAATGTACATAGTCATCACATGTACCGGTATACACATACACACATATACATTTACTACTAAAATGTGGTGTGAAATTAATGTACATGTACGCGTGCATTAAAATGTACTGTGAGAAGATTTTCTGAAGAAAGTTGTCTTAAATAAATGTATACTCTTACATAATCTATTGAAATATGTGAAATTGTGCAGGAACAAGTGCAACTCTTAATACTATAGTGAAAAGTGGGGCCCCTCACACACAATTGGAACAGTCAAGCCAGTTTTCCCACCCTAAAGAAGACGTGGACTAGTCCAGGCCACCCAGTCACCACCTTTTTTTTGGGGGGGGGTTGTTTTTTTTTTGTTACCTCGATATCATTTTCATTAAACCCTTTTCAACCGTGCCCATTCTTCAGAAGGTAAGGAATGTTTATTTTACATGTACATATATAGCCTTTGAATGTGTTCTGGGCTGAGACCCCACCCAGGTTTCAAGGCTTGGGTGCCTGGAATCTGAGGTTGAGCGCTCTCGCAGGTTTTTCTGGGTACTCCGTTTTCTTCTTGTCTCTAAAACTGGACGTTCTTCCAAACTCTGTAATGTGATGCTGATTAATACAGGTTATGAATAAACATATAGTTATTGGCGCAAACAGCCTGAGTAGCTGAAAGTGCAATTAAGACAACAACATCTGAGGTTGAGTCCAGCATTTGAGTTCAGGAGGAACACATCTGTTATGGAGGGCGTGGCTCTCGGCACCGACAGATTTAGAGACAGCATACTTGTACATTTTTCTTATGTGCTGTTGTTCTGTTGGCAAAACTGGCGTGGGTAATTTTTCACACTTGTATTTCTAAAAACTTGCAACCTCTGTACAAGTCATTTATGTACCCGTCACTGAATCTTGACTTAAGAACTGCCCTAGTCTCAGCATTGTAAAAAATGTAATTCTTGTTTGCAAACTATTTTGATTTAAAGCCATTTGATAATTTGTTTTGGCAGAACATGTTTTGTCAAATTCTTGACTCTTATTATTTCTCTGTGCCCTATCTACGCTAAAATAAATGTACAGTGCTGCGATTTCGGTGCAGTTAAAAAAAAAACCAGACGATACAGGGTACATTTATCTCTTTGATATGTAAAATTGACCAACAAAACTAAAATTACACATACCTAACGGGTGTACATATACAAGTGAAGTGTGCGTCCTTCATCAGTCCAGCTTTTCACACAAACAGTCTCTATAAACACTGCTTCTCTGATGATAAAATCAAGTTGTGTCAAACAAAATCTCTTAATCTTGTCGCATTTTGCATCGCTACAGTATCAAATCATTTTTGTCCTCTTTTTCTTCAGTATCCAGACAATTGTGAGACAATGATTGCATGCTTGATCAGATACTATACATATACATGCAGTACATGGACAGGTTTGTACTGTAGGGTGCTTGCGTTCAGGGCTGTTAGAAGCAAGGCTCTGCATACATGCAGAGGAAACCGGTGTCTCGAAACTTGGTCGGATCATCAGAGCCCTTGGCATTGTTTAATTGGCACACTTTCCGTCCTCCTTGCATCTTGACATTGAAGGAGTAGCACCTTGGCTCCTTTAGACATGCTGATCCACAGTTGGTAACGGCCCTGCAGACAGATTCTCTGATGAGGTGGCCAACAAGGCATTTTGAGTTGGAAATGCGTCTACGGGCGTCAGTATAGAAACAGTATCTGGGTTGTTTTGGAGAGGGACGTGCGCATATGGCTTTTCGCTGGCTTTGACATTTTTTGTCGTTCCACGTGCCGGATTTCCAAATTTCTACACAGTCTTCTTCATTATTGTGATCGTTAGGCTCATGGTTATGCCAGTTGAGGAAAGGTTTGCCCTGTCCTTGCCCTTCACACACCCATACCCCCTCCTGTTCTTGCTGTCTGCAGCCAATCCAAACTTCTGTGGTGTTAATTCCAACTTCTGCCAGCTGCACTATGAACTCATTTTCGACCGGTGAGTGTGGAGCAGCCATCCGCCCACCCATGTCTTGACAAGCCAGTCTGGAGTTCTCCCAGCTAGCAGCCTCTTTTGTAAGACGATAGCATGAGCCTCGCCAGAAAGTCCACTCTGGGGGGCAAGGCTGCTCTGGAGCGGCTGTCGGTGATGGGCAAAAGTCTGATGCCAGTACAGATGCAATTATACCGGCAAAAAGACCAGGAAATTTGAACAAGAACATCGTGTCAAGTTAAAGACAAAGGTGCAGCTGTGCCAGCGATATAGTCAAATGCAGATTTGTATTGTACATGTACTGCATATGAAGAAAGTCCAGTGCAGATACACCCACAAGGAATGGTCCAACTACTTCTATTCTTTGCTTTTATTCTCAAGCCTGTAGGCAGTTCTGGTCCCGTTTGGATAGCTAATGATAACTGACCCAGAAGATGCATGCAGCTAGATGACAGTAATCATCTGTTAAATTTCTTATCAGCTCAATAGAGCGCCCGCCTTTGTTACGGTCTCAGTCGTCACGGCCCATTTCTTTTCACTTCAATTCTAATTGTTACCTTGCGTGAGATGGTACCACTGAAATTTATTAAATTCTGTAGATTTAACTGAAGCATAGCCTGTGACCGTTACTGGCGTCTGCTTAACCTTTTAGCTTTTAAATGGTGGAGCTCCAACGTATTGCGAACTATTGACAACTTTTGAAAAAATCTCATTCTCCTGCAGTATCTACAAAACATTTAGTGCACAAAAAAGATTAAGAACAAACTTTTTTTTCATTTTCCAAATGAACATTTATAATAAAATAAGGTTCGAGTGGATTAAAAAACAAAATGTTTATTAATTACAAAAATAAATTGGAACATATCAATACATTTTTGGACAATTGATGAGTAGATAAATAGCTTGTAATTTGTGAGAGTCATCAGAATGAAAATCGAAACGAACATTGAATTATTTCAAGCCATCGTCAAACTCACGGCTCTTCTGGCAGCGAAGACGGATGGCAACCAATACATTTATATTAAGTAAACACAAAACAGGAAAGGCAACTTCAAATCAGCCAGATAATTTTGTTATCTGCGAATGTGAACAGGGTATTATTATGGTCGCACTTGTTTAAAAACGAACCAACGTTGTGTTTCGTCGAAAGTAGTGGAAGTCAATCAAAATTTTACTTTTGGTACGATATTTCCACACAATGACGGGATCGGCGGATGATCGATGTCTGGAGGGAAGTGGACAGTGAGTGGAATTTCCCAAAAAGCTGGGATGTTCTGCAGATTGCATTGCAAGGGTAGCAGACCGGAACGGTTAAAGGACTACCGGAAAACTGCGTAAGAGAAGTTGTGTCCTTGAGTTCCGAGCACAGAAGCCTGTTTGAGGACCTTCGCAGTGGGTTTTCTGGTTGGATGTCTTCCAGTCATTTCCATCTTCCGGAGGAAAGGTCGAGCAGGTCTTTGTTGACCGAAGACGGGGACAAAGGAGATGGTCTCTTTACCGGCACATTTAAATCTAACTTTTTCTACAACGTTGAGCGGTTTCCGGTAAAGTCTACAACAGTCTACAAAAGCAACCACAAAAAATAAAGGACCAAACTTGGTCTCTTACACAGTGAAAAACTGACATGAAACGAGAGCCCCAAAATTGCACCGCCTTCAAACAACAAACAAACAATAACCCAACAAACAAACAAACAAACAACCCCAACACCCCCAACAAACAAACAAACAAATAAACAAACAACCCAACTAACAAACCAACTTTCCCAAATGTTTACAAAGAAAATGATCTGCTCTCCGGTCCATACAACTTTAGAAAACCATGTGAAGCCACACAACCTGTACATGTACGGTATATGGACATGTACATTGTACTGCTAGATGGTACATGGACGTTTACTGGTATATGTTAAAATTGCCACGTGTTAAAGTAACTGTTGAAGTAAAATAAGAATTAATCATTATTCCGAAAAGTTAATTAGTCCCTATACCGACAGCCAGTAGAATTACACTGATCGTCTCAATTGAAATGGCCATTCTGCTGTGTTTCAATGAATGCATCCACCTCAGGAATGATGATGAGGTGTCATTTGCTACGGTAGTTGATATCTCTTTATGCGTTGGATTAACCACGAACAAAAGGCAGACTTATGAGGCTGCTTCTGGCAAATTCTAGTCCTGCAACAAATGATGGCGTTGTATGTATTTGACAACTTAACAAATTGGAGACAGTAATGGCAGGATAACAAATGACTCAGTACAATGTCAGTATACAAATTTAGTTTATCCTTTGAAATTTTGTGAAAAGATTGCCTCACGTCTGCATGTTTTATTGAAAGCTCTGTAATAAATGATCTTTACTTTTAACGCAGAAAAGTATAATTCCTTAATCTATTCCGGATTTTGGACTTCTTCCTCATGTGTTGCCCGTTTTCTTCCCGTACATTATTTGTTTTAAAGGGGAACGTACCCCCGGGCCGGTAAATGCACTTGATGCACTATACCTTAAGTTGAATTTTATTTTGTCTTTTACTTGTGACATGGATAATTTCATCAGATGAAAAATTCAGTTTTGTTCCATGAAGTTGGCAAAGGGTGAAATGAACATGCACGTCTACATGTCACTTGTATGTACGTTTTTATACGTTTATTAATTTTGGCAAACCTTTTGAGGGAATTGCAAATCTTTATGGTTATCAGATTCATTTAAAAATTAATCCCATTGTTTCTCGAACAGCGCTGCTATTCTTTTGCTAGCAGAGCAATATTTCTACATGTATATTTGCGTCATGTCCATGAACAGTTCGTGTGTCTGATTACTTGCATGTGTATTTTTGTATATTTACCCTACATATTGGATCGAAATGCACATTTGCCAGAACATCACATTTTTTTGTTTCGAAATTTTTCCACATACACTGTAGCTGCACTTTACACTGAGAAACAAACAGAATGACAAGCACTTTGCTTTCAGCAGCTCTCTTATCACTGTTCTACTGCTCCAAAGAATGAAGGCCTACCAGTTTTTGGTCGCTTTCACGGATCAGAACATGCATAACCCTGTATCTGCAATGTTTTCTTCTCTGCTATGAATTTGATCATAGAATTCAACATCATGTACATGCATCATTTGTGCAATCTTTCCGCTGTCGTGTGAATTTCTCCCTCAATTAAACATCAAATCACAACTCACTACTCAGTCAGTAGATACATATTGAATGGTGTATGGGATTATATTCTTTAGAAAAGGAGATAAATTCCAATTCTTAGCATTGCATAAATATTGACACACTAAGTTTGCATTTGTTTTTACATTTTCTATGCTGTATTTAAACCTTAATGTTGGCATATTTATAACTTTATACAATTCAAATTCAGACTCCTTGCACTGACCACGCATAATTTCACCAAAATTATTTGTTAAAATTTTAAGTATGAAGATGGAGCAGTTTCAGGTAAAGCCCATTTCTTTGTTGAGAATTGCATCACTATTGCATTGCAGTGGATCGACCTGTGATGTCGATTCGGGGGTACAGGCACAGTTAGCCCACGCAGAATGAGGTTCAGTTCCTCGGTAAGAAAGGCCAGTCTTAACAACAACAAGAAAGATTGTATTGTGATGTCATGCAGTATCTCTATCTATCCCGGTACATAACCAAAAAAAAATCCTAAATAGAAATGGCAACGTTTTACAAAACAGTTTACCACAATCAATATAATAATCATCACAAAATCAAATATAAATTAATCTCATTAGATGATAATGTACTGTATGTCCATGAAACTCAACCGGCACCCCATCTTGACAGGCGCTGACCGGAAGATTACACGTGTTATCTATAATAGAACATTGCAGTTATTGAGCGTATGAAATACATCAGCATGCACCGTGGTGCTGCTGCATGCATGCACACACAATGATATACATGTGAGTGGTAGAAATCACGTGGGCAACTAATGATTTGAGTCACAAGGAAGGCAAAGAAAAGTTCAATGTTTTCATATGAAAACAACTGGACAATAATCATAAAAGGAATTACTAACACATTTGGTAGTAAGGCGATGCATGGCAGAATATCTTCCCTCTTACTGTCGAGGCCAAAATCCAACCAAAACAGAAAGAATGGTGGACGGCTGGCGTACACGCGCCCATGTTTGCTGAAAGAACGTGAAGAAAGGGCGGAGAGCCTGAAGACGCAAATCTTTATTCGTGAATCCCTACATTATATTCAGGTACACATGGTTTTTAGTTGGCAGTGTAATTTTTTTTAATCACAGTTTCATGAAGTCCATGGGCTCCCTCTTCTGGTCGTTATTCAACATGATGGACTTGACGAATCTTCAGATTGGGAAGGGCCTTGCCTTGACCGAGTCCATTGGCCTTGTCATGTATGCCAGCTTCATGCTGATTGGGTCCATTGTCTTGCTGAACGCGCTCATTGCAATGATGAGCAACACATACACAAGGGTAGAGGTAGGTACCAGGCCCTTTTAAAATTTCATCGTTACAGCAATGTAATTATTGATTAATGTAGGAAGTTTCCTTGTGATACCTTGGATATTGATGTGGTGATGATACATTTAAAATAGAAAGTGAAGATTGAAGAGGTAGAAATTTTTGTTGAGAGTATAAATGTCGATATTATTTGAACACTGATGAATGTTTATCCATTCAATGATAAGAATTGACAGATCTCATGTTGTTCGAAACAGTTCATCTTTCACTAAATCTCCTGACAATTGCGTGAAAGCGAACAATTCATTGTCGATCGATTATACCTAATCACTGATAACTCCCGGACAAATCCTCGCAACCACCTGATCAAATGTTTACGAATTTTAGGGTTTGATCAGACAGCATTGGATCCTACATGTACACATACAGCGCATGGCGTGACTGCTCAGGTGGATGAATGATTAAGCATTCAGGTCAGTTCATCAGCAAAATGGAACATTCCCGTAGTTCTGAGGCAACCGTACTGTGCATTGGGTCTGTGTCCGTCCTCTGACAGGGTCAACAATCCACCAATTACGTGAGGAATTGATGCAGGTGCCGTACGATGCAATATATTCGCAATTGTCTATTTTCCCTTCATTCAGGAAAATTCTGAAGTGGAGTGGAAGGTGGCGCGTACTCGGATCATGGTGGAGTACATAAGCGAGAGTGCTTCCTTACCCCCTCCTTTCAACCTTGTACCCACCGTCAAGTTCATGCTCTGGCTGTTCAGGTGTCTCCGCCGTAAGTGCCGCCGGTCCAGCGACTCGGGCTCTGAGGTTTGTACATGTACACACACCGTACATGTTAAAATATTTGCAAAGTATTTGAACGCTTGGCTATATTAGGTATCTTAGTTGTTTGTGATGAAATGGCAAATAATATACCCATCAATTGTTTCGTACATGTGCTCATAAACTACATAATTATTTGAACACTTGGCAGGTTGAGACTGAAATAAACCACTTTACCAATGTTTGCAAATTGTCGGAACGTTTTATCCAGACAACCCTATAGGCCTAGTAACAAGCTTTTTGTGATATCTCTTGCTTGTTATTCTGTAGTTCTTTGTCCAAATAGATTACGGTGCTCCTTGTATATATGTACATAAAGGGTCAATTCGGTGATCTTACACTTTACCTTGTAAAAATTAGATTGGCGTATAGAAAATGCAGTTCAACATTGATACATAGATATGTGTAATATTGAGTCTTGACTGTGGATGTTATCAGTTGTGCTAAATGTATATGACCTTTTTTGTCTTCCAGCCGCCACCTAATCGAAAAGCACATGACCAGCAAGATAGCTCATACAAGGTAGGGCTGAGCTGAATACTTGAGCATAAGGTTGAACATGAAACAGCTGCATAATGTTATTTTTGGAATCAACCATCTTGTTGATGAACAGAGCCTGCGTTTGAAATATCAAGTTCCATGAGACACATCTGATGACTGCTCATAACCACACAACTCACAAAAGAGAATATGCTTCTGTGTAATTCTACCCATTATTGTACATGTGTAGATATGTACCACAAGTCTCATCAAATATTTGGAGATGGAAAACAATGAACTGCCAGTGGACCATGTCAGTCGGAAGGCAGTAATAGAGCTAAACCCATGGGATTAGGCTATGGATAGGCCTAACAATGAAGCAAAACCCCACTTCTTACCGATGCACCTTATTTTGTGTGGCCCCACTTTCCATTCCACATTTGTATCTTACACAGATAAGACGTTACACTGTAATTTCTATTTTAAAAAGTTGTTTCTGAACAGTTTTCATGTTTAAAATTATGCCATTGCTGTTTGTGTTTGCTTTCCAATATGTGAACCGCACTGTGATAATGAGTCTCAAATCGCCAGAGCCACAGAAGGCAATTAAAACGAATCTTGCAAAATGTTAAACACTAGGAGTCATCAACTTTTGAAAATTATCATGTACAACATACGTTGTCATCAGGTCACCAAGCTGAATAAAACATCAAAACAAGTGTAAACAGTTCATTTCAAACATTATATTATATCATATGTACATGTAGTACATGTAATGGCTTAACACTCCAAAAATCTTAATATTTTATTGCTTGTGGGCATTTTATGGTTGAAATTAGCTTTGCGTTCTGACATTTGGTATAGTGCATCGATAGAGTTCTCAATCAGTTCAAAGGCACTGGTGATACCTATTGCTTGCTGGCTTTTGTTGATTATTTTGAAATTGCCAAAATAATCTCTGTTTAATTTCTTACTTCATGACGTGCTTTCTTTTGCCGTAATTGCTTGCCTTTTGCTTTGGCACAAACAGATAGTATTATTTATGTTTTGTTAATTTTTTACTACCTTGGATCCTCATTTATATTCACAATGCATTAGCGACTTTCCTGGAGTTGGCCTTTTCATGATTAATAACTGCACTTAAATACAGGCATTTTTTTGCTGACTCCATGGATTTCTGCTGTTTGTTTGATCAATGGATTGTTAGTTATTCAGGTTGCCCAGAGAGGTTTTTTTTTTATACTGGTTGAATTATTAAATTGATTCCTTTAATCTTGTTTGCTAGCAAAATTGCTGACTGGTTGGAAGGACAAATGCTGGTGGTTTTATAAAATGTAATCATAGGCCTAATGCTCCCACTGGTTCTAAGATCTCAAATTTTCCGGAGAAGAGCTTGAACACTGGCTCCCCTTTGAGGGTTTATTGAATTGTATTCAGATATGGTAGCTTGCAGGCATGAATGGCCAACTGCCCTAATTATACTAATAATTTATTTTTACATAACGCAATTGCATTAATAAATGCACAAGCACTCCATCTCAATGCGCTTTACAGATTAAAACAGCAGGAAATAGACCTATAATGATTCCCTGTCACACAATACATGAAACATAAGTTACAATTAACACACAGGATTATAGAACAATCATTTATAAGCCTGAAAATGTGTTTCAGGGCTGCCTTAAAAGTGGAAAATGATACCAAATTGCGAATATAATATGGTAGTCTATTCGACACACAACGTGCTGATACAGAAAAGGCACGCCTGCCATCGGTCGTTATTTTTTTCTATTTGGTCCTTGCTTTCCTAGAAATTACATGTAGCTTGTTGTCTTGTTTCCACTCAGCTCATCTCGCTAATGGAATGTGCATGGACATTGGTTCTTAATTCCCTTTATCCAATTTTTACTGTACTTGTCTGCACTGTGTTCCCCATCCCCTCCAAGTCCATGGACTGTGGGGAATAGGTTATCACGGTATGACTGACTAATGTCACTCCATTTTCTGTGAGTACACATCCTCTTCAAAATCATTTACATTACAGTTAGGTTGATTACCACAGGGCAGGCTCATCATGTGGATCGCTCATTTGCCGACTGCTTTACTTGTTGGTGTTTCTCTGAAGTATTTTTGTGAAGCGTTTTGATGTTTCAGTGTAAATTGCTGTGTTAAGAATTGCCAGTACTGACTGACCGTCACCTGCCAGGCTGGTATAAATTTATTTGTGCACAAAATTCATATGTAGAGTAGATATCTGGCTACCTTGCTGATAATGCTTCAGAGCTGACTTGATTGAAATTAGGCTGAGTGCTGTGCTGGTCAGTTTAGCTTCTTATTTCACTGCTTGTTCACTGATAAGCAGTGCACTAAGTGCCCGGTGCTTGATTTAAATGCAATTTTTGTTTTACACTTTAAAAGGAGGTGAGTCGCATTTTGGGAGAGCGTTGCCTACTGTTAATGGACATGGAGAGAGGGCAGTCCAAGACAAGCAGTGACATCAAAACCCTCAAGAATTCAGTCGAAAAACTCAGGTGAGGAGTGGCAATGACTTGTACTACATTACTACAAAGCACGATTCTCTGCTTAGACATCATTTTGGTTTCTTCTATTCATCACATCAGAATTGCGAAGCTCAGTGCGCTTTGAATTGTGGCCATGCAGGTGGTAGTTGAAACTAACTTGCCAGTTAGTCATGTTAGCAGGCAATCTGTGCATTTTACATGGACACCGCAGAGTCCATCAGCTTGTGATGAAAGTACGTGACAGCACAGATTTTTCTTGACCGTGATGCAGCTTGGAGGGAAACCATCGGCATACATGGTATACATGCAGTAGTTATTGAAATCTGTGGCTTTCAGATTTGATGAAAGCATTCATCTCATAATTCATGTAATTTATATTTAGTAATTTTATTGTTTAGTCAAAGAGACCCTGCTGGTAATACTGGAAATCTAAATCTGGTTTTGGAGAGTCACATATAAAGACAGTCTGATTGTTAACTGTTTCATCTGTGATTTGGATATGTGAACTCATTCAGGGATTTTGTCCCACGAATACTCACTTACAGCTGCGAGGTTCTAGGAATCCAAAGGCAGCTTAAAACCATCTTGGGACTTCTTAACCAGAAGAAAGGAGTAGGCAAGGGAGGAGACCGCCGCCAAGGCGAGATGGAAAATTAAGACAGGAACGTCTTAAGTAAAACCAGCAGACTTTCTCCCAGAAAATTCATGTTATGTGGCTTACTGCATGTTTGTGTGTATAAATGTGGTGGCTGAGACAGTTTTTAAAGGGATCAGAGACATTCAAGGTCAACATTTCATTCCATTTCTTTTTCGCGGGGGGGGGCAGAAGGCAAGATGACATCATATGGAAAAGTCAAAGGTCTTATTTGAGTGATAAACTAAGATTCACAAAACTCAATCTGAAAAAGTCGTTTTCGGAAGTATTTATCATTAAAGTGAAGGGATTGTTTTCCAGTTGACCTTTGTATGGAGCGAAAAGCTGCTGAAATGTAACAATTATGGCCCAGCGGGATGATCCGTCTACAGGTTGGAAATGAATGTCAGTCTTTGCTATAGCAGACAGAAAATGATAGCTGAATATAAACGAAATCCACGCGTAGGCAGTGATAGCCACTGGGTGGGACGCAGCACGCAAACTAAAGAGGGGATAACACGACAAGGCAAACCAGTCTTGCTCAGGTCCGGTTTTGGTAGTGCAGAAATATATTTTATTCCGCACTGGGATCATGTTACTCGCATGTAGTATACAGATGCATGCCTACCTTTTAAAAGATACCACATGAGGCTTTCATTTGATACACCTAATGTTAAAATATCGCCGAGGAAAGTTTCATTTGAACATTTTACAGATGTGCAGGGTTTAGCTTAACATTTTATGATCCACAAGGTTTAAACTATATCTGTCAACCTAAAAGCATGTTTTTGATGAAATCAATTTATATTTGATGTATATGCACGTAAACTCTTGCGCCGAGCGTTGTGTGGCTGAACGCAACGCATACGTGTGCTATATTACGTTAAAAAAATAATGGAGTCAATCTGGATGGCTATGAAAGTGAAACGAATGAACGCATCATGTACGCAACGCACCCCAATAACATACATGTACATATTGAAAGGCGCCTTTAGGCTACTCGTTTGCTAAAGTGTTTATGTATTGTTTTTCTTGTACGTTTGGAAGACTTGAAACTTATTACAATGAATTGGATGAATTATTGACTACGCTGAAGAATTGTGAAAGGCAGACTGACATGCAAAGATACCGAAGAATTGTAGGCCCTACATAATCTTATCTCTACAATTTACCTCACTTTTCCTTTTTAAATTTGGCTGAGCGAATCACGCCCTTGCCAAGAGATTGGACGAACTGGTCACAGACTATAGAAATAGTCAGTGATAAGTTTCTTTTTACTACTTTGAAAACAGACGAAAACTCCATAATTTTTGTTCCGTAGACATTTAAAACGTTTCTGATTGGGTGGTTGTTTTGACACGTACATGTAGCGGGGATGTGATTTTTCAGGACTTTAGCAGATTTAAGTTTTCTTAAATCCAAAAATCTTATTTATGCTGACTCAATCCTTCAGGCTTTACCACCTTTACGTACCGTATAATTATGAAGGTTAAGGTTCACATCCTGGCAGGAGAGCAACAACTCAGGCCAGGTTTAGGGTTTACAAAGCTCTGAAAAACCCACGGTACTTTTTGCTGGTAACCCTTGTGCTGGATATTTCATGGATTTCTTGTCAACCCCTGAAGCACTGATGCTGCAGTACTTTTAAAACATTCCATTGAAACTATTGTTGCAATTTATGTTATCTTATCGTCACCATTCCTACTTATTATATTCAAGATGGCTTCCATCATGCTACTTGTATACTAGTTGTCATATTTTAACATGTACATCTTGTACAAATTTTGGGAAATTTCTACATATTTACAGTACGAACGGGTCAAGGGAATAGTGTTGATAGGTTTTGGGTTTTGGTGTAATAACATTTGTATGGAGTAACCATTATTTCCTAATTCATTTAAAAGACTTTTACAAAATGTCAATAAAATGTAAGCTTATTAAAAAACTTTGATGTTTTAATCGAAAAAGAAGGAATCTGTTCAGTTGAAAATTTCTGTTCCATCTAGGAGATGATGGGGGAACCGGGGTTTTTGACTTTAGGTGCATGCTGCGGCATTAAGTTTCTGTTTAGACAAGAGAAACATTGTTGGTATGGCCGTACATTGAATGTTAAGGAAAAGCGACGCTGAAAAAGGTCTAATAATGGTTTGCAATAATGCGCACAACAGCGGCTAAATACAGGGATGTTGACGCGTGCGCCTCCGTTCCTCGGCGGGATGACTGTATGCCGTGTAGGCTGCACAATAGCGGAGTGATGTGTGACGCAGCAAGAAGCGCCGCAGCGAGTACCGACTTTAGGTTAGGCCTAAGATTTTATTCTTTAATCGTCCTGTTGACACACTTACTTATGAAAAAACAAATCACTGAGAACAGATCACAAAAGATTAAACTTTGACCATAATGCATGGGCTGCGCTTGATATTTTGAAGAATGGCGGACAGTATAGGATGACACTTAAAAGCGAACACAAAAGATTTTACCCCAACCAATCATCGCCCTCCTATTGCATCCACCATAATGATGCGCCAGGGAGTCATGACTAATGTTTATAAAACTTGCACTGCCGTGTGGGCCCATATGACACGCTGCCTTGAAAACACATATATGTGCAGTCGTGTGTATTGTGTAGATGGACAGTGCGTACTGTGACACGCCAAACATTCAGGCAAGAACAGGGAGACCTTCCCCCCGACGTCACATCTTTTTGCCTGTCGAATGTCGATGGCTGCTAAATTACATGGCTTGCTGTAAATATCAATTTAAAGCGAAAGAACATTATTCATAGAAATTTAAGCAAAGCGCACGCAGCTCTTCCACTAGATGGGGTTCTACTGAAACAACTCCCCTCTTCTGAAGTACATGTACATGCATACAGCAATCAACAGTTCTACACTAGGGGAACCTTGCATCAACTGTACAGGTGGTAGTTTTTACATGGTTTGCGTGAATACAATATGGGAAAAAATGATTATTTGTGAGAAGAAATTCTCCTATAATAATAAACGATCAAATTTTTGTCATGCGAGAAAAATCTGCGCAGTAATAACACAGAGTTAAATGCATCCTTGTATCGAAACTTATAAACAAAGTTTAGGCTTAAAAATTTAAGTCATGACCGTGTGTGAATTGCATGTACCTGTGCCATTAAATTGACCATAGCAGTTTAGTGAGAATGTTACTGGGTCAGTGACACTTATAATTCAAACGATGATTTCATGCATTTTTAAAACACTGCTTGAGCCACTGTATCACTTGAATGTGTCTTAGTACAACAGGCACAGCCCATACAGCTGCTTAGGCGTGCCGTACTAAGATATGTTATAATATAGAAAAATAAAAACAGAAAAAGCAAGTCTTCTTGATTTTTATGGTTTTTAAATTGGTATAAAAATAATCCCATCTTTAGCCTACTCTAGTACAAGTTTCCAAAACTTTGATAAACAAAATGAATATACGTCCCGCGTACCCAACACTTAAGGTTTGCCGCTCGAAGGTGTATCAGCTAAAGTTGGGGAAACACGCCTTGCCTATCGTCCGTTGTTACTAGCCTAATCATTCTGTGGCATACCTTGGATATTCGAATGCCATCAAATATACAGTTTCAACAAGTCAAAAGGGTTTGTTTAATAACGAGAGATACAAGCAAATTAACCAAAGTGCTTCGGGCGCGCAAGCCGTGTGTCTGCCCGGTTTGCCCTTTACATGGAGCTTGTTCCGTCCTCGAGGGTTTCCGGTAATGGTCTGTTGTGAGTTTCGGGGAGAGTAAAAACGAGCAGGCCGGCTACCAGTGAAGTCGCACCGAAGACGACCAGCGGAATAGAGCTATGGAGTACGGTCTGAAATCCAAGCAAATAAGAAAATGCTCCTTAATTTTGCCGAGGAGGAACACTGCAGGCTATATACATGTACTGGGGTGGAAACGATGCAACATCTCTGCAGCACCCAAGGGTGTGAAAATGGAAAGATGAAAGAAACGAGAATGAAGAAGGAAATCACTAGTTTGCCCCTCACCCCCCCCCCCAAAAAAAATAAAATAGACCCCTGCCCATCGCAACAGTGGTTAATGAGTTCTGTGCTAATGAGTGCCTTGTCCCTGCCCCTGGAAATCCTCCTTTCGTGGGGAAAAAAAGTGCTTCCCCATTTTGCGGGTAATTCATTCTGTACTCCATGCAGGCTCACTAATTAATTCTGTTTCAGTTGACTTACTAAGTAGACAACAAACGGAGCGACGATCCCACCAACGCGGCCGAAGAGAGATGCACACCCTGCACCAATGTTCCTAGACGTGAAAAATAAGGAATGAAGATATATGTACATGCTGTGTTATAACAGAGGTTTTCCTAGCCAATTTCAGCTAAACAACGTTCGATTAATTTAACCCCAGGCCCGTTGAAATTCGTTTTAAAATGACTGCTTTTCCAAACAAGCATTCTAAAATTAAAAAAGGCATTGCAGTTTATTTGAAGATTCTTTCGAGAAATACGTTCATTCGGATTCAAATATAGTCCTTTTGTTCTTTCAAATAGTCCCTTCGTTAATTCAAATTCGTCAAAGGTCTTCGAATGTCATAGAACAAAAATTTGTTTCAGTCAATAGGGAAACATTTTTCACATGTGAATTCAAATTAGTGGGCTACGCGCTTTCTGACTCAAATATTTGCCTATACAAATTTGGAGAAGATAACTTCGACGGTGGATTTCGGTACAGCTCTCTGTTCATGTGAAGGCTTTACACAAAATAATGGCGGCCAGTGGTCCCTACAGAAACGGGAGCAATGTAGGGAGGGAGAGGCCTTAACGCTTTTCAGGGCATGCAATAACGCAGACTACCTTTCAGTATAACAGACACACTTTACATCAACAGAAATACCGCAAGATCTATCGTGGCCACATTAATCTGCGAACAGGTCATCACTAAAGGTTGCCTACAGGATAATCTCAACAATACTAAAGTGGATCAAGAAATGCGAGATGAGTTAGAAAACCTGCTAAATGAAAACCCAATTCTTACAGAAAAGCATTGAAAAATTGCCTGGGTTAACTGTTACCCTAAGGGAGGGTGAAAACTGCAACTACCCAATAGTTTAGGTTGTTTCAACCCAATTTAGGTGATTGAAATTAATTTCTGGTTTGTTTTTAACCAAACAATGGTTAATATCCACTTACTTTGTTGGTGAAAAATGAAACAGAAAGTAATTCCCATTCCAAAATTGGGTTAACACAGCTCATATTTGGGTAGTTGCAGTTTTCACCATTCATTGGGTTAAAATTTAACACAGGCATTTTTCGGTGAAGATGCTCTGTAGCAAGCTCTCCCAGAAAAAAGCGGCAGTTTCTACAAACTCCATCGCAAGAACCCTAGATGGCATGCTCATGACCCTTAAGCTCACAGAAGACGTGCTTGATGCTCGAAACACAACACGGGTACTTAATGTGCGCGAACAGTATGTACATTGGTTCATTAGGCACGGAATCGTCGCTCACTGCGTCTTCATTGGTGAAACTAGCTACATTTGGACCAGGCGGTCTTTCAGGGAGAGTTCCTCGAGGTATTCAAGCAAGGCACGTCGTCCCCGCACAGCGCAGACGCAATTACAACGTAACCTTCTGCTACTTCTGGGAAAATTGGACTCGTGAACCACATGCACGACAGCCTTTGAGACTGTGACGAGGGCCATAATTATTTGAACAGTTTCTGGCCGACACAGCCCACGAGTGTAAGAATATGTTTCCTCCACAGGAGCCAGTGTTTGTTGTGCGTGACAATGCAAGACCCTACATGCGCGCCTGTCTCCCACCAGTTATCAACAAACAGATTCATTTCAAATTTCTCCCGACATACTCGCCATTCTTGAATATGACTGAATTGGCTGATTTGGTATTAAGGTTGGCGTTAAAAGAGATCTGGCCCTCTCAGAATGGCAGCGTCGATCAGGCGACCAAGAGGCAGCACATGATGCAGGCATCAATCTTCAACAGTGGAGAGGACGACTCACGATCGAAGTTGCTCAAGAAAATGTTGGAGAAATAACTCTTGATAAGTGCATGAGATGGTTCAACCAAAGTCAGACCTACATGGCAAGATGCCTTGCACGTCAGGACATAGAGGGTCAATCAAAAAAAACAAACTGCCGAGAAATAAATGAAAGACAGAAAAGAACCTGGAGAAAAGTCACAGGGAAACAAAAACATGATATTCTTATGTTCATGAGAAATAACATTAATCTTAATTTTGATTTTAAAACTTGTTGTAACACTTAATTTGAAATGGTCTGGATAAGTGAAATGTATGAGTCGAAGAGTGTCCGTATATATGGAAATGAGCAAACACGAAAAACCTCCTGATTTGATTTCATGTGACTCAAGAGACAGGTGTGGGCACAAACTGAAGATCAAGGGAATTAATTATTTATATCAAGAATATGATCAAGGAGCAAACATATACAACAACAACGAAAGACAGCCATATAACTACTCCGGTGATGCTATTCAGTCACATCTAAACTGAACATTTAGAGTGTGAAACAGATCTGCCATAAATTAAAAAGAAAAGCACGCGCGCACCTAAAAGATCCATAAGGCTTCGAAGACTTACAATTTGATTGCACCAATTGTAAAAAGACAGCAATGTATGATAAAACTTAAGAATGCTTAAACTATACTCTTGAATGCCTATTAGCAAAGTAGAACGGCTTGAACTTGACAAAAACGAAATTGAATCCTATTTTAAGGGGAAAAAATTCAGTATGGACAAAATTGAAATGTTCAAATTTGAATTTGTGTTCGCAAAAATGAACCTTGTTTTGCTGAAATCGACTGGGAGAACCTTTATCAAAGTAAAGTCATCACAGCGTCTGTAATGCTCCTTTTGTTTCTGTGTTTTTAAGGAGCAGTCAACTACACATTATATTTGGGTAAACTGTTAATCGTGTGCAAGTTTCTAATTCTATGCGTTGATAACCAGCTTGTATATGTCTACAGATACGTGTATCTGTCAAAACGGCCCTGGTTAGAGTTTGGTGGTGACCGTGTAGTCTACAGTGTATGTCCTACCTCAAAACAGTGGGGAAAACTTCTGTTGTGACCAGATATGTTACATCAAATGCAGCAGTGATGAAAAACTTGCCGATGATTGCCACAACTACAATCAGAACTGTCAGGTCGACTTCCAAAACTGTAGAAGAAAGAGGCGTTGTTCTGCTTCTTCAAATAGGGTTAGAATATCAAGATGTTTTCTTTGCGATTTGAAATGGTATTAATTGGAATATATATCCGTGGGATTTTTTCGACTGCTGTTTCCTACTGGTTATCACCATTGGTTGTTGTCAGCCTTTACTGCAATGTCGTGTGTGTGGAGAGACAATTTAAGTGCAGCTTTAAGGACCCTTTTTTAAGGCGACCTACGACAAAGAGACCAGGCCCTGATTCCGTTGCTTTAATTTTTGCGTGCGTTGCTGGTCGACTCCTTTGTAACTTTACCAACACTACTGACAAAATTTAACTGTGACCATTTTACCAACGTATTATGCACAAGTGCATTGCCGTACATGGAAACGCTTGTTACCTGTCTGCTTTGGTATGAATGCAGTCAGAAGACAGGCTACTCCACAAAGCTCGAAGAAGACTATCAGGGGTCGTCTGCGCCCGAATCTGAAGTAAAGTAGGGATTAGCAATCAACAAATGATATAGAAGAATGCTGTTGTCATTATCAACCACTGGGTATCGATCCTAGAAATGAGAAAATACGTATTTGACAGCATTTTCGCTACCTAATCTGTTGCGTGCGCTTTCAGCCTCACGTACGAATCTCGAAAGAAATCGAAATAAGATCAAAATATAGTTGTGTGTACGATTTTCTTTCAGACTATGTCTCACTTACTACCAGCTGCGTACAAGAATCTGTTTTATAATAAATTGAAACGAAATAAGTTCAAACCTCAGGATGACGAAGAAATCGAAAATGAAGCAGGGTATCTCAGTCAGCGACATCAGGAAAAAATTCAGGTACTTGTTCCCTGCCAAATTAGCTACGTTAAGCGTGAAACCATAATAGACAAAGTTACTGGTGAACCTATAGAGATAGTGGAAAATGAAAAAAAGAAACAAGATTTTCACTCAGTCACAAAGTAATGAACATTTTGTGAAACCGATGGCGTTATCTCAGGGACTTCGTGAAGGAAGTGGCGGGAAAATGTATCACACCAAGTTAAATAAATTTAATCCTGTCGTTATTGTTTCCATTGCAATGGAACGAATCGAGAAGGTAAGGCGAAATCATTCCTTGAAATTGTCGCAGACGGACTTCCCATAATGATTTGTAATAGGCCCTAAGCATGCACGATCGATTTTCCATAGAAGAGTACACATGGAAATATTAAAAAAAAAGGAAATGAAAGTAGTGTCCATTAGGTTTTGAACGTCAGTATGTAATTGTTGGCATGTCAGTGACGTTCATCCTGACAACTGCATGATCTTTGCACCATATATTTCATTTTGTTACCAAAGGATATCATTTGAAATTGGTTCACAACTTTGGTTCCACAAACCCCAGTTCCTGTGTTTTTTCCTCAATAAAATGTACGACGTAAAATGGCCTGTCAAGAAGTATCCTTATCGGTCATTCATTTGCGTGACCCGCATCACCCATTGGCTCAGTGCGTGTTAGTGTCTCCATGTCACTGCTGCAGTGTCACTGAAGTAGCATCGACGACACTTTCATTGTGTCTGTATTGCTGTGAATCGTACAATATGCCAGAATCTACGGCAGTCTGCATTTTGCCTGCTCAAATCATTGGTGTCAGCATTTTGACAAAACTCTGAGTGTTTTGGCCAGTTGTTACGCACGGATCTGGATGACAATCAGTGACCCCAAAGCTGGCATTAGTAAGCAACTTTGTATCACTGATCACAATTTGGATATGAAGTGAAATGTGACTGGTTTGGAGGCATTTTTTTTCTCATTTAGTTTTCTCCTTCCCGTGATGTTTGTAAATGCTCACCAGCAGTAGAACACCACCAAAGAGCGAAAGATAAGCTGCCGCGTCTTGAACAGATCAAGGGCGGTGTACCGCTGTTGAGTACGTTTGGCCCCACGTGTTTGGCTGTCGTTGCCTGTTTCACCTTTGCCCTGAGGTGGTGGAAACTCTTTGGGTCCTGTGTCACTCCCGGGCGGAGCTTCGTCCTGGTCTGGATGATCGTAGACAGAAAGTGAGAAATATGCGCCGGCATCAAGCTGTCGGTGGGTACTCTGCGGTTGGTCAATACTTTTGGAGGCAGCTATTCTCCGGAGTATGCGCTGTGCCTCTGTCACCCGACCCTTTTGGACCAGCCAGCGAACGGATTCATATGAATACCTTTACAAAGGACAACAATGGTTTAATTGAACATATTCATAAGTCGGCAATATAATTCAAAGTGAAGTTAATCTGCTTTTTTGGGGGGGGACCTAAGAAGAAAAATGAAAGCAGTGAATTAAAGTTGTTTACAGATTAAGTTTGTTTACAATGGTGACTAATTAAAAAAATTGTAATGTTTTAAGTACTACATGAAACAATTTCAAGTGGGGTATGGGACCCTAACGTCTGGCACCATCCCACGAAAGATTACATTGAAAATAATGGATTCAGAGAACATGATCAAACTAGTCTGGTTGATTGAGAATAAGGTCTACTGTGAGGTCTGTCGAATAAGTCACTAATGCTCTTGTACATAGATTATGCGTGCATAATTTATACGAACCAAGTACTGTTAACCGGGTTGACCGCAGTTCTCTGCGCTTTGGCTGCGTACGCACATTTTGGCCTCAAAGAGGGAGGAACAGGATAATTTTAGAGAAGCATTATTTTGTAACTTGTCTCGCGTGAGGAAATTGTGAGCATGACGATTCAGGTCTATTGGACTTACTGGTTAGTGCGTGCAGCGCCCTCACATTATTTCATGGGCCGCTAAAAGCCCTACTAACGTAGCCTACAACACGTAGCTCTTATCTGTGCAAGCGGGGATAATGCTGTTACACATGTTCCAACTCGTCTGCCCAAGCGGGTGGGTCATGCTAATGTTACAACATACGGCAGTTACGGGAAAGTGGCTTGCTTGTGGACATTAATTTACGGTAATGATGCCCCTCTGCTGTTTTGATTACTCCATGTCTATGATGCCCTCTTACCGCATGCTCTACTCGTAATAGACAACCTTTTTACACGTCATGCCAAAAGGAGTAATAACAAGACACAGAATAATTCCGGGGAGCATAATGTGAATGGTAAAATAGCTGCACTTACCATACCAGTGGTATCAGGATGAGACAGGGCAATGTGGCCACTAGCTGGAAGTGGCGCCAGTCAGGCATCAGATAGGCAAATGGGCCGACGAGCACGAGACCAAGACACCACGGCATAGCGCTGAACGTGTGACCGATCAGACGCTGTTTAGGCAGGTACATCTCAATAATGCGCACATATCGGACAACTAGAATTCCCTGGAGCGTTAACATTCCACAGAAAGAAAATGGTAGGAAGGAGATGAACTTTACAAATCAGCAAACATTACTGAGAGACTGTAGTCAAAAGTTCCGGTCAAAAGATTTTTTTTACTACCTTGAATTAAAGAGCCGTCTTCATGCATCGCATCGTATCGTCTGGGGTAAGGACAGTGCTGCCCCCAAAACAAAAAGTGTCACTCCACACCAAAAAGCAACTTTTGGCAAGACTCCAATACCATACAGTTGCAAATTTTGGACCACCAAAGGTGTCACTTTCCATTAGAAAAGTGTCCCTTTCGATTTTAGGTTCCAATGACCCCTGAAAACCTGTCTGCCTTTCAGCACTGATGCTCAGTGCTTTTTTTTTTTGCGCCGTCCCATGGTCCTCCTATGCCACTAATTGGCAATTACGATCACTGATTCTTGTCATGTTAAACAAATATGCAGAGATCTACCAATAGCTGTGTTCAGAAGTTTGATGTTTGCATGTGTCTTAATCCGTTGATGCTTTAAAACCGTACCAGTTTACGTGTTTAACTTTTAAACGTGCGGGGGGGCAGTTCTGATTCATTCTTCTGTCCAGTCGAATTTAAAGTCAGAAAGAGCACCTGTCGAATGTGCGTGAGAGCATGTTAGGAGAACCTTGAAAATCATGTGTGGTTGCTCAAGTGGGAAATATGTGGTATCAGAGATTCTCAGCAGGTTGTCAAGAATGATTAGACCAAATGCCCAACGTATGAAAAAGCTATGGGAAATGCACACGTCACCAATTCAATGAGATTGACCTGACAACGCCTTGCTTACGAGCCTGTATGGGCTCAGCAGATCTCTTGCTTGGGGTATCAGAATTGGCGCTGGGGGGACGAACTGATCAGTCCAAGAACTGGACCTGTCAGCACTTAATGTTGCAAAAAATACACTGATAATCAGTGATATTCAGAGAAGATGGCACGGGGGCAATGTCGACAGATTAAAGGAATTGGCCCAGTCAGCATGTAGCCTCAAGGAAAACACAACACTGATGTCATGAGACAATCAATAGGCCATGCGACGTTCTCAAGACAATACGAAACTACCCGAAATAGTCACGGTTGCCTCGGCTAGTGACCTTTTCCGTCTGTGCGCCGTGCCGTGAAATCCATCAATCTGGGGGCAAGGTGGTTTTAGCTTGACGTTCCTAAATAGTAATGCAGTGGCATATTTTTTTCTTTGATGTGAAGAAACACTGAGGTGGGATTCATGTGGTGGAAACGTGTGAAGCATTCGCTGACACTAAAGAGCCGGTCAAAATCGACGTCAGCAGGGCAATTCAGCTCCAAAATTCAGCTCTATGGACCAATTCGTGGGTCTTATGGAAAATAAGTATCAGCGCCGGGTTTTTCCAGACCACCTCACAGCGGGGTAGGCATTCCTCAAAATCTTGACTGTCTTAAACTCAATTTTAAAGCAGGCATGCATAAGAGACATTCACTATGTCAGTGAGTCCTTTCTGTAAAGTTTCAACTCAATCTGACACTGGGTTTTGGTGTCGTGGTCTTTGTATTGATATGGCTCTTCGCATAATTTATCGTCCGCATACATAAACATCTATGGAAAGATTAACATTTGGCAGACTTCCTTCTAAAAACTAGGTGTTTCTCTAGAACAGTACATACAGTTTCGATGTTACAAAATTTATGTCAACATGATGGTATCGGGTGCGGGAAAACTCCTTGAGGCTCAGCGTGAACAAATGTTTCACGACGAATCGTGAAAATGTCGAGAGGGGATCAATTTCAGCTCTTTGAGCGTTAAATTTTTTCACCGTTCGCTCGGAACAGTAAAAACAGCATTCGCTTTCAGTCCGATTGCAGATGCTGGAAAAGGAAGTTGATTATTGATCAAAAGTTTAACTGCTTTCTTCATAGCAACTGGACTTGTGCATTGATTTAACGCATGCATTGAACATTTCATGACAAGGTATAAAAAGGAACTCACGGGCAAGAAGCCTCCAAGCAGAAATCCCAAAGCAAACATGAGTTCGTAGGACCAGGTGAAGCTCATTGCCGTCCCAAACACAACGATCCCGGTCAGAGAAACAAGGAGTGCTGGACGGCGGCCGAAGGTGTCGGAAATCTGGCCAAAGACGTACGAACCAACCAGAATCCCCAGGGGTATGCTGGACTGCAGGGTTCCTCCCAGGAAAGCGCGCTCACACACCAGATCCAACTAAATGATATAAGTATTCGAGATTTAGGTCAGAGAGGATCATCGATTGTTATTAATTGTAGTATCAAACTTTAGCAGTCCTGTTAAGTCTCCAAAGCCTTATTTCCCCTTAAAGACGACTTACTTCAGAAAAAAATGCTTTGGTAGTATACAATTACCTGTTGTGATTTTTAAGATTTATCTCTATGACTTGGGTGAGCCTGGAGACAAGACCCAATAATGTACATCCGTTTCAAAGGCTGCTTTTTCATATCCCTTTCGTAAATATAAAATATAAAATACAAATACAAAAAATAACCACAAAGTCCTTTTCACTAGCACTGATACTCCAGTCATTTATTCTAATCAGCTCCAATTTAGACCTTCTGTAGATGTTTACAAAATATTAATGCACCTAAGGGAAACCAATCAATCAGTTTGGTGTCTCAAGATGATTCCGTATGGACGAAATTTTAAACAAAACACAAAAACAGAACGCCCAAAACACAATGACTCGATATGAAAAGTAAGCATTCATTAGTTCGCATCACTGCACAAAACGTTCGCTGGGAAAATAGATACATTCTCATATTGAGGTCTAATTATTGAGTCTATTTCCTGCCTAACCATTGTTGAACTGACAATAGGTGTGGCAGCGCTGAATACCACGCGACCTTGTCCCTTTGTTCCGGGTATTTTCTTTGCAAACGCGCAAGCATGCGGTGGCCTTTCATTTACTCGGTTCCCAGCTGTACTTGCACTGCGGCACGAGATCGGCAGTTGGGCTACTGCCAGCAGCCACCCTGGCATCAGGCCAATATCACAAATTGCTTCTTTATTTACAGATTTAATAGGCCTACTCGCAGAAACTTAATCAAGGTTGAGGCCATCGCTGCTTCTTGAGTTACTGCAAAAGCATGCTGTAGTAATGCACTGCATTAGTACTGTTTACAGGTTTTCATTCAATTTATTGCGAGTCAATAAAAACAAATGTGCGGCATGACACGAAAATTGCGGGAATAGAAGTTACTATTTGTACATTGCAGCGAAAAACAAAGGTTTCCAACCAATACCCAGATCGGACTGGAGTACCGAAATCGCACCTCACCAAATAAAATCAACAGCGACTTGGGGTTACCCAAATTGTCAAGCATACTTAAATCAAGTCACGCACAGTACTAAATGACAATAACTATTAAAAAAAAAACTTGTAAAAAGAACTGTATTATCTTTATCCCTGCACTGAAGGGAAATGAAATAAAGTCTTCAGACAAAATGAATCTTCAGACGTTCAGACCAGTGAACTGTCGAACTATTGGATCGTTGAGTGGTTCCTGTTCTGAAGACATTTTTTTCTCAGGAAGATTTTACGTTTTCCAATGATTTGAAGCCAAGAAATCGTTAAAATTAAATGATTTGCAAGGAATTAACTACACCAAGAACTGGAAGACAAAAACGGAATACTGAAAATATATCGAACAGACGACGTTAATGTCACTTTCCTTAATTCTGGCCTTCAATAATCAATAATCTCATGTCTGGACTGAACTTACTGTCATCATAGAACGGGTCTTTACAAAACGGCTAAAGGAAATAATTTATAATATAAAGGGTACATTCAAGCGGTCTCGCATGGTCTGTCCTGTAAACTGTATTAGTCTTTGTACAGTGCATATGGAAACCTGTATGGGGGAAAAACACATTATCTGTACAAATGTAAAGTTTTAACTCAACTTAACCCGACCGTATTTCTGATTTTAAAAACATGAACAAGCACTAAATAAAAGTGCATTACCCTTACACTTTAAGGAACAGGTGCCCCATGGAACAGGTCTCCCAAGTCCTAAGGTTTAATCAATGACATTTCGAAAGGCACCTTAAAATTAAACTGTCTGTCGACGAGTAGACTCAAACCCAAATGCATTTAGTAAAAGAATTGGGTAGCAAGTACAATTTAATCTCTTTAAAAGCACTTACATCTGTCACAACGCTAGTTTCACCATGACTCGTTCGGTACTGCCAACCGTTGTCACACATTGTAGTGTTCTGTGTAACGCTTCCATTCCAGACTTCGTACTCTGTGCATCCATCTAGCTCTGTGTCTTCTTCCACTCCTGTCCAGCCGGGCACCGTCTCGTTCGCCGTGAACCCCGCCGGCGGCCTACAATGATACCCCTCGGGTTGACCCATGGTGAAAACTATCCCCGTCAGTTGGAACGCCGCAGGGAGCACGGTCAGCCCGTAGATCAAGCAGTTGATGTTTTGAAGTCGGCCGAAACTCCCTAGAACTCGGAGGTTGGCGTCTACGTCCATGTTGCTTGCTGGGGCAACTTTGCCGAGCTAAAGTAGGAGCACACACCAGTTCAATGTAGGTGCAAACTTTGACTTTTAAGAAGACTCATCAAGATAGGTCTATGTAAAACGACCACAGATCGCAACCGACAAATGGTCCCGCAAGATGTCAGTAGGGGCTGAGGATAGTAGTCGTGGGTCAAGACGCTCTGGTGAATGTGCGTGATGAGCAGCCAATCCCATCCAGATATGGTGTCGAGCAGCTACATTATATTGTGGGACTGGACATTTGGAAATCCAAAACTACTGCATGCGTATGTTAATGAGGAATCGTCTGGTTTCTGATTATGCCTTCACTCAGCATTCGTTCTAGTAATGCAATGTCTGGAATTAAGACTTCGAGGCATGTATAGTATCGTTGTGCGCAACCGTTTCAGAAAGTTTGTCTCACCCAATCAGCATACAGCATCCATTAAAAACTAATTATAATCAAAATGGAGAAATGATATTGGAAAGTGGATGTATTTCTTCTTCACACAAAACACAAAGACGTAATACATTTTATTTTAAACAACAAATGCACCAGACAAATCATTTGCTCCCTCTTTACTGCATCGATTAAGGACACATTAAGAAGGTTTCTTTCGACGGGTTACCATCAGATCTAGAAACTTAGCTGGAAATAAAGTAACTGCTGGCGGCGAGGTTTGCTAACTCAACTTCCGCCGCTGCGGGGAGGTTACAGCGGTTCGTCGTGTTAACGCCCTCTCTCGGCTTCAGGTTACGCATTGTTAACATTGACAACAACGTGTTGACCAAAAATGAAACTGATTGTGCACTGCATACATGTAATTCCCCTCAAAATACTTTTTCCACTATCAGTGATACTCTGCAACTTCACGCGGCCAAGAACCATGTAATTAACAGCATTCAATAACATTTTGCCCCATTAATTCGAAATATGCATAACACATGCCCCATTTCTGTCATTCCTGGTCCACTACAGTGTGTCAAAATCCAGTGTTTTGAGGACGAACCCGTTAAGACAAACAATTTGCTGTGATGTTCACTTGTGTTTGCTTAGAGCATAACTTGCAAGGTATGTCTTTATTCTAAAATTTATATTTTCTTGGGTGTACAGTGCCCGGAAGCCGTTGTTTTAACATGGAAGGCGCTTTATAAGTAGCCATTATTGTTTATATTTATTGACAATGCCTTTAAGTTCACAGCATAGTGTCAAAAATAGCAGGACAGAGAGAGATCACTGTTGGTTACGATCGATAGGCTGAAAGCATGGTACAAGCCTTACACTCGCTCCCAAAAATTCGCATAAGTGCAAGAAAATGTTTCAGAAAATACTTTTTAGGAAGAAAATATTTCTCAAAATATTGAGCAATTAATACCACGAGATAATTTTTCTTGTTATATGAAACTTATCAGCTTATGTAAGAAAGCAATTCTCGGAGAAAGGAAATTAAATCTTGTTATAAGAAATCAGTTAAGAAAATAAAGTTTTGGCTAGAAAGTATGTTGCGAAATATCGAGCATTTAACACCACGAGTATGTGATTCCTCTTTTATTAAGAAAGTTACTTTTTTGTAATGCATCTTTTCTTTAATTAAATAAAAAATAAATCTGTATTCAAGAAAATGTAGGTTTTCCCGGCCAATTTTGGAAAATGTGTAAATAAATTTGTAATAGCAGCATTCGTTTTCGAGTGAAATGGAGCGAACATTCATAGCCCCATTTCTATATAAGAATAAAAATTCTATTCAGTCGTATAGAGTCAGCGTTCAATTTCCTAATATTGCACTTGTTTAGTATGCTGACGTTAATTTTTGCGCGATATGGAATGCACCTCTGCACAACTGCAATCATCTTAATTTGAACTCAATCTATTTCGGGAAATGTGCAGGCAATTTCGAGTGAAGTGTTACTTGAAGTATGCCAGGTCAAGAATTAGAATACGTTTGCGAACCAACAGAAGTTACATTGTTAGAAGTGTTTAGTTGATTGATTAAATGTTTGAATATTCATTATTGAAATAAACCATTCATGTTGTCATTGGAAATTAACGACTATTGTAAGAAACCTATAAACACTGGCGCTTTTTTTCACAGTTTGATAACAAACACACTATAAACATTAATGAGTAACATGACATTCATTATCAAAGTGGTGCCAAATCATGGCACCACTTTGATAATGAATGTTATCAAAGTGGTGCCATGATTTGGCACCACTTTGATAACGAATGTCATGAACAAATAAGGTTACACATGATTTGTGTAACCTTATTACTATAGCTTACCAGCAAATAAGAATGCACGTTTGTTGTAATGGGCAAGGAATACGTCATCCGAAATCGTAATCACGTATGTGTAACCTCTTTAATGAAACGTGATGCACATTAATTGATTTGAAGGATGCAAAACGAAGTCCAATACTTGTCATTGGGAAAATGAAACAAGGTTCTAAGTCGTTTTCAATCTCTACGCTAAATCCTTGCACGGGAAGACTTATATTCAGACATTTTTACGAAATCGTTTTGGTGGTGTTTCGTGTCGTGTCCGTAGAAGCTCTGCTTTGTATTGTCTACCACTTTTTCGCCAGTTTGTCTCCAGAAGGATCGTGCGTCGAAGTCGAGGAAAAAGAACCGTCTCTGCGCTTCAGTGTCATCATTCCGGTGATGAGTGAATGTCAGTGTGCAAAATTAACATATAAACAAGATTTAACAACTTTGAACTCAAGAACACAACTGGCATGGGCGGATGCACGAATGTTCACAGTGGGGCAGGCTGGGGATTTTTTGTATGGAGTATTTGATTAAGTCAAAGGAATGCTAAGTACTTGGAAAATAAATGTTTGCAAAAAAGACCAACTTCAAATGCGATTTTCTCGAATTTTGTCTCTTCATGAAAACTGTGACGATATATTTGCCCTAATCAGATCGTCAGGAACAGTGGTGTATCTAGCTGGGGGCGGGGGCCAACTTACCCCCCCCCGGCCGGTTTTTCTTTTTTCTCCATTTTTTTAATTTAATTTTTTTTTCAACTCAGAGTACTTCATAGGTGAGTACACGTATAGGTGAGAAACTAATCAGTATATTTAGTTATCAAATAGATTTACATAGGCTACATTTTTCTCCGCCATTGTCATGTTGCATGAGCCCAAAAGTGCATTAGCTTTTCAACCCCCTCCCATACCAAACACTTGAAACGCCACTGTGCAGGAAGCAAATTGACTATCATGGCATGTACTACTACTACTAGTACGCTTCTGAAGTGGCTCAGGCACAATTCCCCTTGCACTGATAATGTAACGCTAATTACCTTGAAATCGCAAACGATTATTTGTGCAGTAGGACTTGAGTTAGCTTGAGTCCGTCACAGGGAAATACCTCAAATACACACGATCCATGTAGCTTTCGAGGCGTATTTTCGACTTCCCCTACACACTGTGTAGTTATTACAGGTTTCCTCGGGCAGAAAACGTTTGCGTTAACCTTTTCCCAAACGTGAGGTGAAACCATGCCTTTATAAGAATAGTGCCAAACACAGACACTTGGATTTTTTTTCAGAGCGTTTTGTCGGATAAAACTACTTGCACACAAAAAAGAACCTTGACAGTAAAATGTGAGGTTTCCAACAATACTCAATACCCAGGCTCAACAGGGAAACAAGAGATTGATGTTAACAATGAGTCGGTAAGCGCGCGAGGGTAGACAAGTGTCACACTTCCACCAGTGTGTGGGCCATCCACGTTGTGGTTGTTAATGCGTACAGCGTTCCACAGTAAGTAATTCCAGGGTTGTTGGAAACTTCAGTGACACATCAAAGCCGCAATCTGTCCTCTGTCTCACACACAAGCTCGCAAAAGACGGATGTTGGAAACAATGCATTACAGACCTGAGTAAGATGTTTTAATAAAATATCTTTGATAAAAAAAGACATGATAATAATATCCACTGCCTGTCATGCTTCGCATTGTTACAGTTAATTATCCCTGTTAAAAGTACTAGTGTGAAAGTGGAACCAGGAGAGCCAATTTCAACACCAGAAAAAGGCAGGATGAAGTTTCGTCTGCCTACCTACGTAAACTAAAACTAATGTGAGTTTTGTCACCAAGACGGTTCTCGAGGACAAGTTTGGTTGTATTAAATCACTCATCTCCTCTGATTTCATGTAATTATTCTGCCAGAGGTATTACAGACCTTTATACAAATCGACCAATATACCAGAAAACCTAGAACCTGGAATAGGTTGTCTTCAAAAACCGTTACGCCGTCAGGCCTCTCCTGTCTGGGAGCTCCAGATATGACTAACATTTTGAACCGATTCTTGGTGCACCGTGACTAGTTTGACTTTGGAGTGGTGATTTCAACTCCAAAAGACATCTGGTTGTGATAGTACCGTAGTACCTGGAACCTTTAACTTCGTATATTTCGGGCCATAAAAAAATAAAATAAAAGAGGTCCAGCAGATCTTTCGATTACGAGATAAAAGTGTTTGTGTCAAAGGAAAAATAACACTCTGGAAGTAATTTTCCACTGATTTTCATATTTGTGTATTGAATTGTTACATGAATTATACATTTCTTGGGAGTACGGGTTGTGTAAGCAAAAAGGGGCTGTAAAATACTGTGAAAATTAGCAATTGCTAAAAACAATAATGCTGAGCTGCAGGTTTTGGGGTATACATCACAGAAACTATTCAGAAGAAGTGTGATTCTGAGAAGAACCAGTGACTTTCAACTCGACGCTTCGGCCAGGATGCTCTGGCCGTCCTCAGGAGAGTTGAAACTCGAAATGTCTACTTGAAACTCAGCAGTTCTTCTCAGAACCACACCTCTTCTGAAGAGATAGTTTCCATGGTGTACCCACAAACCTACGGCTAATGTAATTTCCACCACGCAAAGCTTCAAAGCTTATTTAATGATGATATTAGTAGAGAAACAACATTCAGATTGAGCTTAATTGTACATGCTTTTCAGTGATATTTCACAAAGCCGAACATTTTACGGACGAAACTAATCTCTCTAAAGGCAAAAGAGTGAAAAACTCACTCTTAAAAAGTAAATACTCCAAATAAAAAAATAAAACAAACCTTGAGAGAAAGTGTAAAAAAGAGTGAAAAACACCCCAAAAGAGTGAAATGTCCACTCTGGCCAGAAACCATACCGGTATAAAGAGCAACTTGAAAAAGAGATTATCCTGTTATTGCTCCTCGTGGAGACTGATTTTCACCCTACTGTGACTGGTATTCCCTCTTTTGAAGAAGCTTTATATGAGACTCACTCTTTTTGACAGTGAAGTTTCCTGTCTTTTTCCATTATAAAGCGGCTGCGTTATGAAAACCTGTATTTTTTTTAACTTTTGGTGTGAAGAATGGGGAGACCGCAAGTACTAATTAAATTTTAAAAATACTGTTGACAACAGACGAGTGTTTATTAGAATCTTTTTTTTTAGAAATTAAATTTTACGAAGAAACATAATCCTCTTAAGTAATTGTGGTGTCTGTCTACACACAGTAAAGTAGGGATATTTTAATATGATGGCAAAGAAACGAATATTTACTGATTTCCAACAATGTCCCGTAAAACTTATCGAAATAAGGGGCCTTAATCTTCAGCCCGTATCATAACGGGTATCCTTCTTATTCTATGCGAAAGTACCGATTTTTTCCCTTGAACTGAAGTTCGCGGAAGAGGTTCGTTAATTTGTTTTCAGTAAAATTGTGGATATATTTTACAGTGATGCCACATTCAATTTCCCTGTCTCTTTTGACAATTCGCATCCGTCTTTGTTTTGCACACCTTACATAATTATAGTATGTAAACCCTTGAATCCCTAATTCGTTACAAATCTTTCCATTTACTGAACTGACGATAAACAGGAAAATAAGGCTTTTCGTCTCACTGTATGGGGCATAACTCCCTCTACTTCAACGACTGGCTGTTGGGTAACCGAAACCATGGTTACCTTCCGCTCTCCGGACAATCTGCTCTCTGTTGAAAGTAGCTGCCCGCTCTTTTTCTTATCATGCATCTGGCAAGCTATCGGGAAGAAAATCAAAAAATAAGCATCAGTATACGCTATGTTGATCCCAACTATTAAGCTGAGGGGTTATTGCCAGCCTTCCTGAAAGACACTGACTGCTAATATGCGCATAGTGCTTGCAGTGGTTTGACGTCATACTTATCCAATCAAGTCAAACTGTGAGAGTGTGAGTGACAAGAGTGTTGTTTTTTCAATACCGGACTCGGTGTACTTCACGTTAGGTACTAATATACATAATATGTCATTGTTGTTTTGATTAGAACGTGTGGTTGGAAATTCCAACCCTTTCAATCCCATACAAGTGACTGACGATGCCGCTTGTTTAACCGGGGGATTTGTATTAATCTTTTAACCCCCCCCCCCAAAAAAAAAATGAGACGCCGAAAGTAGTCCTTTACAGCGCAATTGTTTTTTGTCGTTATTGCTACTGTGTGCTATCGTTATTTGCTATAATAGGATTTAAAACAATCAAAACATTTTGTTTTTGGCTCTTAAGTACCCTTTTCACGTGAGATCATTGAAAAGGCCTACAAAATGAATAGTGTCCCGCTGTTAAACCTCTTTTATTTTCTACTAACAACTAAACCTGATCGTTGAAATGGTTCAAAGTAGTTAAAGGTAGGTAAACCGGATCAGTTACAAATTGACTGAGGTAAATAGAACTTGGTCAATTTGCGAGAATGACCACTTTCTGTTTGCATCCCTGTTTTTTCCATTGGGCAACTCACGGTTTTGCCCACATGGCTGTTTACGCAATAAGTGAAGGTCTATTTGTACAAATATAATTTTCTCTATGTAAGGCCACCAAATGAAGCGCAGTATCCGGCAAAGGGGGACCCTTCCATCTATTGTGTGTTCTTTTGTGTTGACAGAATCTTTGGAATTCCTTTCAGATTTCCGAGGGGGATGCAGTGTGCACTATAGCCTTAGGGTATAGAGCTTGCGCATCACATCGGGGGCCTTTACCGGATATTGCGCTGGGTATCGAGGCCACGGTTCAGTTCTCTTACTTATGTCGAAGAATCTTGATCATGGCGGTACGTTCTTAATTGTACATCTCAAATGGCATGTACGTGGTAGTGAATTTTAAAAAATCTTATTTTTGTGTATTTTCCCTGTAAGTTTCATCTTTTCAGGCAAGGGATTGCATTTAGGCATATTTGAAAACCTTCGTCAATAATTACATGCACTTATCAAATTAACGCATAATACTTGTGTTGAGGATGCAGAATGACAAATTCACTGGATGAAAGTAAAGCGATGCATGCATATTAGTGCACGTTACATATGCAGACCCTGGTACATACGAGTTACAAACACGCTCGTTGCCTGTAAATTTCGCTTATAGTGATTATTATTGATACTGTCGTCTTAAAATACAGAACAATACCATACAATGAACAGAAATATCTTACAGTGACAAGATAAACGAAAAAGGAAGGAAATTGACGCGAAACACGAATTAACTTCCAGGAGCCTGTCCCGATAGTCAAGAGGCAACAATTCCACTATCCCACTGGCTTCTGGTCCAATGTTTTCCAAAGCTGTTGCTTGTGATCTTATTTAGTAATTATATCTATGAGGCCAGGGCACAAACACTTCTAATATCAAAGTACCCGCGGCCCACACAGGACCCAAGCCACTGGTGTTGACATTTGAATCTCGGGTTGGCTTTTTCCGCCTTTTTAGTCTGATCACAAGCGAGAAAACTCTCTCCAAAAATGAAAAGAAATCATTGCCACAAAGTCATCATCACATTTGTCAAAGTAATGAGAATCTGTAAGTGTACTTGAAGAAAATCGATCATATGCAGCACTAGAGGTAAAAACGAAAATCTTACAAATAGGTTGCCTTGGTGTAATGAGAATTGTTGATAGAATCTCGACTTTAGACTGCGGAGTACGGGGAATGTGACAGAAGATGTGTAAAGAAAAAAAGAAAAGAAAAAAGAAACTTGCCCGCGGGAGATGGCCAGTTCATTTGTCTAGTCTATTGACATCTGTAGTGGTAAGGAGCAGGTTTCGTTCATTTAAATTAAAACCATTTCTCCCAAGGTTTTGTAAGTATTGACTGTAAATATATTGGACGCCATGACGTCGGCAGATAAAATCCTTACCTGTGAAACTCCTGACAGTGGCGAAGGAGTTAGCCTACAGATGATACTTCAGGAAAATGACTTAACACAAATCGTGCCGGGTGCTATGGTTTGAATGAAGGTGCTCCCTCTCCTTTTTAAGTCTTTCACAGCTATGTTTTACTAACACAGTATTTTATATGAGCGTGAAAGCAATAAGGCTGGATTCAACAACACGTCTTCAGAAGGAAATTCCCGCTCGAAGTGCCCACTGAAATTGAATGCATTTCAGGGTTGCTGTGAAAGATAATTCGAAGTGGTTTGGGGAATCAAGTTAGATTAGGTTTTTTTTGTGGTAAATTTTGATTCACTTTTAGGGGTTAGAATGTAATTGACTTGTGTAGATTTTGGGCCGTTTACCTCTCGAAACTTTGGCTCAGAGCGAACAATTCGCTTCAATTCAGCCCTCAGCATCAGCATGTGATCGCACACCGCTGATGCAAATTCGGATCCAGAACCTACTTTTCACAGCGGGCACAAAATTGCGTTGTATAAGAGGGGGCAATTTTTTTCAGTAAATTTTCTGGCATTCTGAGGTTTGGGGCTAGATTTTGTTCCTTTTTTACACGAGTTTTGAAGGGCGAGAAAGAAAACAGAGTCACAAAATCGCTTAATATCCAATTCACGATATTTGGCTCTTTTGCCGGGTGGGGTGGTCCCCTTTTCCCCCTGCCTTATTCAACCTTTATTTGTTATTCTGCTTATTTGAGTCTCTGACAAGATTTTAATCCGAATTCAACATTGCAAGAGAAAGTTCTTCCAATTAAAACTTAAATCAATCAGTCTGTCCGTCAATCGCCGTATCCGTTATTTTAGTAATCACACTATTAACAATACCATCGCGAGAGTAAGCTTTACCTGTTTTAATACGCACTTTCAGAAATTTGAAGATATGAGAAATTCAGTAACCAGCGCCAGTCCCTATTGCTATATTGCAAGCTTACAGGACAAACCAAAACAGCCATCCGGGCTGCTGAGTTTCTTTTGAGTTGCGTTTGTTACATTTTGCAAATGCTACACATAGACTGCCTTGTGAAAGCAGCCCATACTTACCATAGACAACAGCTCCAGCCTCACGTGACTGTTTGTGCGACGGTTTGACTTCGCTTTACCCAATCAGATAAAGTATGACGTTGATTTCCAGCTTCGCTTCGGTCACATAAACGATGAATTCGTCTGGCAGCATAAAAACGGCCAGTAGTTTGTTTTGTTTTGAGTATATGCTGACGAGGTCTCCGGCTCTTCTGTAAGGCACTGGAAGCAGAGGGCAATTCAAATCGTCAACATGACCACTGCCGACAACCAAAACGTGTTTCTTCCTGGTAGTGGGTTTTGGGCGCTGACCACAGCGATCAACATGATTATTGTCTGCCTCACTTTGCTTGGTAACGGCACCGTCATCGTAGTCATGATAGCCAGACGCCAGAAGTTCAGCTCCTCCACAAATCGTCTGATTCTTCACCAATCTATCATTGATGCCATCTCTGGCCTGATTTTCTTTTTTCTTCGAATAGTGAAGAGCTCAAATCTTCACGTTTCTGAGAGAAGCAACTTCCTAGATCAGCTGGTGTGCCGTTGCTTTGACAAAGATACCCTGTTGTGGTGGGCGTACGGTGCGTCCACGTACAACTTCGTCTTCATCTCACTGGAGAGATTCCTGGCCACTTGCTACCCGGTCAAGCACCGCAACATGGTGAAGAAGCAGAAGTTGAGGATAGCTATCGGCATTGCTTGGGCCATTGGCTTCTTCTTTGCGTTGCCTATGGTGTTCAAGTCGAAGCCCATCGGAGGCCGCTGCCAGCATGTTAACTTTATAGGGGCTATGCAAACTCTTCTGGACTTACTATCGATTATGATCAATTACTTAATTCCCCTAGGTGTCCCTTTCTTCGCTTACGTCAAAATTTTCGTCAAACTCAAGAAGGGGCGTGACCACTCACGGACCAACTGTGGACCAGATCGTCGAAGTCGGGCCAAAAAGAATGTACTAATAACGATGCTGGTGACCAGCATCTTGTTCGTGATCTGCTGGACGCCTCGCTCGTGTGGCGTTATCATCAGGATCCTAACTCGTGGTAGTGGTACAGCCTTTTCGAAGACAGTATACCGAGTAATGACAATGTTGGTCGCTTCTAACATGTTCGTAAATCCCATTGTGTACTGCCTCATGTACAAACATTTTCGAGATCAGCTGAAAGACCTTCTGCTGAAACGACTTCGACGCAACCAGGTGCACAGCGAGCAGGATGCCATGACCGCAGCTTCGCAGTAAAGGGAACCTGTGTAAGCGTACACAATTACAATTTCAAGATAATACTAAGTGCAAAGTATCAGTTGTGTTTAGTGTCACACTCATAACCAATGAACACTGATTAATTTCCGAAATGTTTCTGTTTAACAACTCAAGGTAAAACACTTAAATATTATCTATAGCCTACTGTGCATGAATATTTTATGTTAATCATTTGCTAAAAACAGCTGAATGTTGCTATTGACGTATTTTTCTCTTGGACATGAAACCTGAAGATTCAGTTGTAAACAGTACATTCTCAGCTCATAAGCCTGTCGAAATATTTTGCCTTCTGTAACATCCCCTTCCCGTGTAATTGTGAGTAGTCGCCTGCCACAGCAAGGACTTTCGGATGTATAAACGTTTTCCCCAAGCCAGAATTGTGGTGGTAATTCTGTTGTCTAACAACCAGGGTGACAGGTCTAGAAGTGATTCTGACAGAGAGTATTGTAAAAGCATACTGATCTTGACCTGCAGAGAAAGAAAACGTCCAAAATGCAGACAAAAGGAACGGCGAGGGGGTAAATTTTGTAGGATCATTGTTTACTTTGATTTCTCAACTGCGGAAGCTGATTTTCTAAAGGGCTTTCATATGCTCCCTCCAGTCCGGCGGTTTCCCAGCTAACACTTCGGACACGGCATGGCAACTTCAGGGGGCTTTTCTAAGGAAAAAATGGACATGGTTAGTAAAAATCCACTGCATAAGGCCAAAACTGCGAATATGGTTAAAAGAAAAACCCACAAACCACAAACGGTGGTCAAAACTCATTCCCTCAAGTGCGCTGGTGCCGGCTCTTGTACGTGTCACGTTGATTGGCTACTCGCCACATCAGTGCGAATAGCTTTCATCTGGCCCCTCCTGCTACCACCTTCCTTCTTGAATCACCAACTGAGTAAAAGCTATCGACATAACATGCACGGGTATAATACTTACAAAAATAGGCCGTGCAACTTCACTTTCCAACAGATATCCTCAACAGGACGAATCAGAAGAGAAGTGGATATATTTTGCTATGATGACTTTTCCCATGCAGTATACTGCCCGGCAGTTAATTATATAAACTTTTTCTCCTTGGTAGAGTGTTATAATCGATGCACTTGTGTGCATACTCTTTACGTTTTCGTATGTACCTCAGCAGTCTGATGAAAATGTGTTTCTTAAAAAAAGTTGGGTTTTTTTGGCCACTTATCTGGTATCAACACCATTTCCATAAAAACAATATTCTTCCTATTCTTCCCTAGTAGTCGGTTTTCCCCTTTTCACAAAGTTCACCTGCTATGATATCAAGTTGAATATGCGGGCTGGTGGTTATACTTCTTTTAGACTATTTTCTGAGGCTTTGTGAAATTGTTCTTATTCCTTGCTGGAAAGCATCCCCTTAGACACGATGCCTGGATTGACTAAAAGAGTCTTCATCTTCTGAGCTAATGTTACGTGTACATAGTAAAGATACCTTTGCAAGATATACGTCCCCAAACCACCCACTTATCATCTCATTTTACACGACTTTTCTCTACAGCAACTTAGTTCTAAGCAGTATACATTGAGCAATTTCTAAAAATGTGAGGATGTGTACTGCAGATGGTATTTCAATTGCATACAAACTTGCTATTTTTAAGACCGTGAATGTTGGCACTTGCATTTCCTTGTGGAAATTCACACTTTGAGGATTATATTTAATATCGTGTTTAATGCAATCAACGGTACCGAATCGTATTTATGTTGAAATATTCAAATAGTAATTTGTAATTTATCTTCGGGCGACAATTATAATTGTCCTGACCACCAGAGAGAAAAGAAGTCCATGTTGTGTCAGTTTAAATCCTTAGAAATTTTATCCGAGATTTGGATGAGCTCCAGAGTCTTAAATACAGTCTATTTGTATGATTGGTAATCGGAATTTTAATTTTAGTTTAATTTCTTTACAAATTAAATGAATTTGAAAAAAAGTGAAGTTAGTGACTGAACTTAACTATACCGAATGCCCGAAGAGCATGAGGTTCACTCAAACTGTATACGTATACGGATGAAGCAGTTCAGGGTAGTATATTTGCTGACGATGTACCAATGCCTCCGGTTTCATCTACTCAGCAAGTATGCTGGGGGATGCAGGCCAGAGAAATTTTCTTTTTTCATGTCCGATTGTTGCAGATAGGTGCACAATACAATATGACTTCATTGCTACTGATGCGCTTTCAAATAATAACCCTTGCCCGATGTGTCATAATTTTATTACTACATATGATTGTTATGTTATTCTAATTACTTATTGATTTGTGTGTGTGTCTAAGCAGGGGATTTGAGTCCCCTAATCCGCGCCTGGTACCATTTTGCCGGCTGTCCCAGCAAGTTGTTTTGTTGTCTGAAACGGGCGCTCAGCATCTTTTAGGTTGACTCTTGAATGTGGCTCATTTTTATGAGTGAAATCAATCTGCGGAATCAGGTTTAGACATATTTGGAAGCTGAAAGGTTTTCTTGGACGAAGAAAGTGATGATGCGAACCTGCCATTTTAAGATTTCGATTCACATTATTTATTGTACTCATGGCTGTTTTAATTTAATCCTGGTATAATTAATTTTTTCTTCACCGAGGTATATTTTCTTTCCAAAGTTTCGAAATGGTTCATGGACATTCACACAGAGTTAAGCATAAACTTATTTCTTTTCCATCCTATGAAACTACAATACCAGTAATATACCACAAGACTGGGGCTCAATATTGCCTTAGATCGTGAACGTTGTACCATGGATGTATTTATTTCATAACTCCTTTTATAAGCACTCGGCAGGATTCATGCCTTTGTGAATGCACCTTGAAATATGGTCGCTGGTCGGGCTCCATCAGAAAGAGAAAAGCCAACGGCCCAGGGCACAATAAATGTTGAAATTAAAAGGCCATGAACTCATCAACAATGTCTGTAAGTCCACGCACGATGCTGTATCCCCCAGACCAGACCCACAGTCTTACTGGTCCCTGTACGGAGGAAGTCCAGTAGACTGGTCCAAGTCTGCTGGACTCCCTCCGTAATCAGACATTTTAAAGTTTTCATTATAGGACTTTTCTTCCACACTTTCCCACCTCGGTCTTGCTTATTCCATGGAGGTGCACTTACCACTGGCGAGTGTGCAGGACCACGCCTGGAGTAATATCTCGCTATATACACTAGTTGATCAGAGCTTTATGTATAGAGAGAGTAGGACCAACTTGGAACCAAAATGGCTGTTCATAATCTGAGCAGTACAGTATGCATCTGTTTTGTGCTAATTATTTATGTGGCTTGGCACACAGTCCCACCATGGAAGTTCCAACAATCATTGATACCCTCATGTTGCAACAATCTATAAACAGCTCTCTGGTTGAATGAATGTAATGACTCCACGTTTTTGAACGTTACACGCTTCAAGGACACTGCAAACGCCTGAGATGTAAGCAGTCTGGTCTCGCATTTCACTGACCTTCACTTCATATGCACAGACTTTAAATTTACAAGCAGTTCCTCAAAATTAACACTGAAATAAAAAACAACCACGACACTTGGCAACACGTACCGGTTCGAATCCTGCACCTGCACGTGAGGTAAACTGGCTGCAAGTTACGAGAGAGGGCGCAATTTTCCTGCAAATATAGGCTCCTTTGGTCGGAACTGCCCATCACCGGTTTGCCAACAACTGTGTGAAATGCGTACATTTCGATCGCGCCTCTACCAGCGCTAAATGAACAATTGACCAACATGGCTGTTTTCAGCCAATTAGGGGGTACTTCAACTCAAAGCAGATAGCCCAAAGCGTGACACCATTTTGAACCAGTAATAACAACGCATGAATTTGGTGCAACTGATTCACGCACTGGCTCTCGCTCTGTTCCGCCCTTCTCACTTCGGTACTAAGTAATAATGACAGCAACGGCGGTAGACTGAAACAGCACTCTCAGTCGACTGTTGGAGAAAACAAATATTTTTGTTCTCGAAACAGGTTATTTCACTTCAATATAATATATATCCTGTAGTGTTAACACACAGAAGTTTCTTCCTATCACTACAGTAAGTGGTATCGTATGTCGTAGGACAGGAAAGTTGACACTCAAGGCGCTGATATGAAACACAATGCAACCCTCAGAAACGTTATCCAAAATCGCAAATAACACATCTAGTTTCTCCTATAAAATGTACTGGCCAACATTAATTGTAGCCAATTTCTAGAGTGTAAGAACTAGGGGCCTATATTTTATAAGCAGTCATTTTTCTTGTTAGGTTATTTTCACTGATTTCGTCGGATTATTGCAACCATTGTGTTATGCTCCCAGTGTTGATATTTCCAAAAGGTTCAGTAGAGGAGAAAAATGCAAAACAAACATTGATCAGGAAATAAAGTAAAAGTATTTTCCGAAGCTTTGAACAAATCTTCCCAGCAGAAAAAGGACAGAATAAATTAATCAACCAACAACTGAAATGAGGAAACTGTGACTTCAATGGAGAAATTTACGAAGCAAAATAATTATAAATTTCAGAATACATTTACAAATTACACAAAAATAATCAATATAATACATCAATAAAATTAAGGAAACAAGCCTTGATGTGACCTGCAGACAATACATAGCATTTGCATGGACGAATGCCCTTTTCATGCTCATACTATCGTTGGATATTGCTGATGACGCCCTTCAATGACGAAAGGCCATCAAATCAGCAATGTCATCTTGTTTCTATGTAATCACAACACTGTTGTATGATTAAAATAGAGGGACCAAACGACATGTAAGAGATTAAAAAAAAAACATTTTCTCTTGTAAGTAAAATGAACTGGAAATTTCGTCACAAAAAATGTTTCGTACACAGTTTGTTATAGAGCCCTCACGTTTCTTAATTTCACAGTGGGTGTTAGGATTCCATTGATCGAACCCCTACACAAGCAGAAGCGAATCCACGCCCTTGCTTGTTGCATTTATAGAACACTCCAACTCGGTACGGTCAACCTCACAATGGCTGAAACTGTATCCAGTGCACGAACAAACTATTGCTTTCGGGAAAAAAAATCAAACAACACAGCAGAAATCCCCCTTCTTCCCCAAAATAACCCCGATCAGGGTCCATGCTAACAGTACTTTAAAGCAGAATGTTGGTGAACGACATTAAGTGCCCTGCAAAAATCGGCTGTGGAGCAGTGTAGTTCATATAGATTGTGTACTATTTATGTTAATGTTCTACGTTTTGCTTAGTAGACATTATTTTCGTTTGCTCAGAATATTTATGTGCGCCTATCCAAGGACTATGCCAGCAGAATGGGCAACATCTGCAGTATTTACAGGGCAACTGACATAATTTTAGTAAATAATTATGATTATGTCGACATCCTTTGCCTTCATTAAGAATGTTTTTAATGCAAACGTTAATAGTCCGATCTGTAATTATTTTGAATCGTCCAAGTGTTGGGATATTTGTTAAAAGATATACTGAAATTGTGAGCCTGCAAGATATTGTGTCATGATTTTTAGTAATAGCATTTTGTTGCATTAATAACCTCGGCAGATGTCCGCCCAAAGCAGTTGCAGCCATCTCAATTTGTCTAAATCGGGGCAGTTATTTTTCTGCAATAAAATTAAAAATCATATGATTCCTTATGCACAAAGATGGTGCAACTGCATTGACTACGGGCAACTTCCAAGCAATTCCAGACGCAGGGAAACGTCAGTCTCCCATTCAATAGGCTCGGTGCGCACTGCCATAGCCGTGGACACTCTCATCGAACAGGTTAGTGACCGGGGTGTTGGCGTCAGTGTTACCAATGAACGTCTGAAATGAAACCAAGTAAATACTTTGTATTACAAAAATCGACTTTTTTTCCTGCCATAGTGCGTCTCCACCCTCCTCACTTCGCAATTTTATCAACAATCAACAAAATTGTCACTACTGGAAGATGAAATTTGTGTGTCGGGGATCCAGTCCTCCATTCGGTCGCGGCCCCCCAAGTGTCGTGGGCCCCGGGTCTGTAGATCTGCTAGAGTCATCCCGTCCTTCTTTGGGGTTGAACCCTCGACCGCTGTGGATCCTGGCTCCGTAGGTCTGTTTGGGATGGTTACATCCTCCACCGGAGTTGAACTCTCGACTGCTGCGGGTCCTGGCTCTGTACGTCCTTCCGCTGCGGGAGAAAACGGGAAACAAGAACGGTATTTTTAGCTAAAAACGTCAGATTTAATTGTCCCTGATAATTATAGTAAAATGAAAGGAGTGGTAGCACACATTCCTGCACGTGTGGCGCAAAGCTGTGTCTTAAATTAGGGGAGTGGGGAATGAGGATTTGTGTGTGGGGGTTCACTTGCCAGACTATGAGGAGGGACGGCCTAACATTATATGACACTATTTAGGCGATTATAAAGATGTGCACCTGTAATATATAGGCCTCTTACATTTATGAAAAATCTTTCATCAGAATTGCAAATTTGTGGCTTTTAATTTTTTTGACTTTTTCATCTCCACAAACATCATGTTGAATGTGCCCGAAGCCGCGTTGGCTTTAAACATATCAAAACATATCAAAAGCCTTACAAAAAAAATCCTGCACCCCGCTGGGTACGCCACTGTTTCCACTTCCTTAATATTCTGAAAAGTGACTCTCCCTGAGAGGGCGATTTGTTCAGGGTTCTGTTTCACCAAACGATTCTGATCGAACAATTCCAGACATTAACATTCCAGATATATGAACCTTTCTTCCCGGCTTCCTCCATAACCACAACAATTTAAGCCCAACAGAAAAGGCTATAAATATTTCGACACCTAGAGTTTGGGAGGTAAATTGGCCACCCAAACCAAAATGAATCTATCTGCCTAAAATCAACAAGAGAGAAATAAGAGGGAACTTCATACCACAACCAACTGGGCCGATTTCAGAAACACCTAAGGTTAACTTTTGTGTTTGTGTTGTTTTGATGACGTCATGGGGAGATAAGCACAGCAGGCATGCATGAAGCATGCGCACAGATATATGTGTAAGTTGGCATCGTTGCTGTCCAAATACAAGTTAAAACGAGGAGTTTTGATGACGTGCAGATGATGCATAATATGTACATAATGAGTGTTCTGAGACTGGCGTAAAATGGAACTCGCGGAAGTCCATTTTTTCCCCATTTTTTCAACCATAAATGGGAAACTTGTTCCATTTGATCACGTTAATTTTTGAAGATGGTCTTGCACCTGCTGTGTAAAGGTTTTAATTGGGGAACGAATGTTTCCAACGCTCTTTACTATAAATTCGTTCAGTTGTATATCTTCATTTGAGCTAAAAAGATGCCTGAAAAAGGTTATAAACTTTCTGAACGACCAACAGTAGTATTTCATTAAAAAAAATAAAACCTTTTACACGAAATCGCTTAAAAGGATTTATTTCAACATAATTATTGCTGCAGCTTAGCTCAGACATTTGAGACTCCTCAGAGTCGTCGGGGGGTTGAAGCCAGAAGACAGAGAATCTATACTTCACAAATCAAAAGAATGTAAATAATTCTTTTCCTATTACACTGCCTTTGTTGAATTTGTGTCAGAGCAAAAATTTCTGTTTCAGCTCCTGAGCAATGGCATAATTATTTCACTAGAAGTAAGGGTAACTTACCGGCTGGGATACGATCCCTGTTTCCCGGGCAACGCTCTCGTATCTCTCGCATGACTTGTTGCATCCAGTGGCCAGGGTTATTAGGGTCTGGTTTCGGTGGGGGACCGAAGTAACACGTTCGTGCTGTGCCCTCCACACCACTCATGAGGGCTTGGAATCAAACACAAATGAACATCAATTAATATCACAATGACTTTTGTATTACTGACTGTGGCAATACTTTCTTAAGCCATTTCTTTTAAACCGCATTCGTTGTTAAATTTACATTCCTTTGGACATATTCTCTTTTGAATTAGCTGCAGCGAAGACGATATGTGTTTTATGTATTGAAAGTTCAGGACGGACAATGATCATGATAACTAAAATGTCATTCGGGAGAGCTCTCAGTTGACTTATAACTGACTGACATCTCAGCAGAGATTTTCACTATTATATGCTGAATAAAAACACTTGAATTCGAGCGGACAACGTTCACTCCTGCACATTCCAATCTGATTTTGTCTATAAGACTAACTCCATGATATGAATTTACAAATGTAAGCCGGTGTAGGAGTAAGCTTGTAAAACTGATTAACGTTTTGTGCCATCCTCTTCCATGCTTCTGTCTTTTCTTAGCTATGACCAGAGAACAACTCTACGACAAAATGTTGCTTGGAAACTTAGCAGCAAACTACCAAGTTCGAAGTATTTAAAACAATTCACATTCTTCATTGACTTCACAAATATGTATGCTTTTTAAGGTTTTCTTTGCAGTGCACTCAACAATGAAACCAACCTTTATTATTTTGAAATTAGTTTTCTAACTGTGATCGTTTATCGACTTTGGCTTCCTCTTTCCTGTCCGCTGTGATTCATCAGTCAGCACCAGACAAAAACCTAGAGACGTCCCTCCAGTGCTAGTAATTTCATTTGCTTTTCCAATATTCTTCCAAAAAAGTGAAAGATAATTTTACTTTAGTGATTCATACTAGTGTTAATGTCACAGATTTGCCCAGATTGAAGAGGTCAGGTTGGCATGTAGAGCTAACGAAGAAAAATAAACCGTTCCTTTACGTCAACACTCCTGTTAAAGGACAAACATGCAAAACTCTCCAGCGACCCTCTAACGAATCGTCTAAAGATTCACTGGCAAATGAAACGGGGCCTAATTACACTTGGGCATGAAGGAAAATAGGCTTACCCGCTAGCGCGGACACAATCACGGTCAACGTTCCAGCTCTTTCCATTTTGTCAGATGCAAAGACTGAAGTTTTGATTAACAGTCGGTACGTCGCTCACTTTTATCCCCGACTCTAAAACCATCCCACTGTGTTGCGTCACAAGGCTGATGTCATTTTAGCCAATCCCAGCGAGATTGAACTAGAAACTAGGATCCCTTTCTTTGTGTCTGATTGGTTCAAGGAACATAGGCGGGATCTTTACAGTAAGCGGGAAGCGCGGTAACCAATAAGATCTTGCTGTACGTGGTGGGTCGAACATTGCGCTGTGCTTGTCTTAGTTCAACTAAGTTCAACTGCGCAGTCATTGTTTAGGCAGAGGCGCATCATTTGCGTGTGCACTGAGTTCATCGGACCCGACACCCCAAAATATTAGCTGGAACTCCTCAGAGACACGTCACCTAGCCTCTCAGTGCATTCATTTCAAAAGCAGCGCCATATACCAACAATTGACAGGGGTAGTGTGCGCCTGTGGTCCCTCTCCCGACTTTTCGCTTGCAGGCTTAAATGGGTCATTCACTAAGCAGATAATTATCTATCGATGAGGTACGAAGTTGAGTATACGTGTACATTGAACATCGGTAAAAATGACGATTTTAAAATCTTTTAACAGAGCACTAGGCCTATATACTCCACTTAGACAAGAAACTAATAGTAAAAATGATTTAATGGGATTTTCTGCAGAAAAATATGAAAAAAATCAGAAAACCTGAGATGATCATCGAAGTCTCACCGCTGTTCATTTTTAATGGCCCACTCACAAGTCTTGCCGCCAAGGCCATTTCTGCGCATGCGTACATAATAATGATTTATTAGTGAAGAGGTCTATTCTATCTGAAGAAGATCCTGGGCCTTTCCTAGAAATTCTCCTGTGCATTAGGCTGAATTGAAGACCTTAGAAAATAATGCCGAGTGACATGGGAAGTTGGTCTTGACTGCAATCTAGCAAGTGTAAAGATATCAGTGAAGGAACTCTTGTAACCGGGCTGGTGTTATTGAGATACTCTGTTCTAATTTCATGGGTGAGACCGAGCACACGTTCAGTTGTCAAGCGACGCCTTCGAATAATTCGGCCCCGATAAGCCTTGCTGGTTGGGTTGATCTCACGTGCGTACTGATTTCAGTGAATGACTTATGACCCGCTTTGTTCTTTATGCATTTCGAGTTTGATAACTGAACTGGCTTACTGACTTAATCGGGTGTACACAAAAATACAACACAACGTCATTTCAACTGAGGCAAATTTCATCCAGTTAGATGATCTTTCCTTATATTAATCCTTGTCTTGTTTGGTGATTCGGGAACCCCGGATAAGACAGGTGACACTTGTCGAATTACAATTGCTGGATAAACGGTATTCAAGTAAAAAAGAGAGAAAAAGATGCGAACCAACCAGCTGCAACTCATAAACCTTTAATCGGTGAAGCCTCCCGGATAATTAACCCAATGATGGCTTTCTAGTCCTTAATGAATGTGGTAAACATAAAATGTCCAGACGTCATTTATAATACAGTAACTACAGGGACAGACAGGGAGGGGACACCTGTAAACTGTCTACGTCCTGTCTCGACATTTTGCTAATGATTCCTGATAGAGGTTTTGAGAACCAAAAAACCCATTAATCATTTATTTGCCGCAGTAAAAAGTGCGACTTACCACTGCCGCGTGTGCCAGTGATAGTCCACTTCTACCAAGGACTGCAGCGGGTAATTGCAGCATGGCAATAAATAAATAAATAAGGGGCGGAGTGATTGCACAACAAGAGTTCCCGAACCTGTCCATAGTTGAGAAGTCTGACAGCATATTAGAATGGGCGAGCAGCGCTGACAAAAATATATTCTCATTCACACCTTGTATTTGTTTCTGTATATTAGTTTGTTTCTGATAGGGTATTCCACGCAAGAATTGGATAATGTGGTTCCTCCCCCCTTATTTTTCTCTATTCCCCTGTCGGGGTATTGATAAGTCTGAGCGAAAGGTGGATACTGTCCCCACCACTGCCCGCGGCTGTCTTTGTGTCTTGCGAAATACTTCACCTAGAACATTGGGTTCCAGATATGTCCACTATTCTGGAGCGCGCGTGGAGGGAGGATATGACAGAGGCCTCGTGTTTCGAAAGGAGTACGTCCACAGATGCAATCAGTGTAAACAGTAGTGTGTACAAAACTTTTGAATTAAGAGTAACTGAAAGACCTTCCAGACTGCATTTTTCATTACTTTGTGGAGAGAGACTATCAGAGGTTATTATCCCACTAAGTTCTTTTTTTGGGGGGAAACAGTTATTTTTGTAAAGGCGTGTAGGATTGTTATCAAATCCTGCAGGCAGTATAGACCTATTAGGCCCTTACTTCGAATTATCTAACCTCCATGCATGGTATTACATGCAGTACAACCTGCTGACAACTCGAAAGGGCGTACATGTTTAACCAAACGACGTCAACTACAGAGGACATGATGTTGGGGACTGAGTCATGAAAACGTTCACAAGTGCATTGGTTGTCATGGACACCACACTCTTGTTGCTGCGCGAGAATCTTCGGGTTACCCACTTTGAACCTAAGAGGCTGGCGTTACAAGTGACTAAATATTCCTTGTGTATTCAAGACATTTCTGGCGTTCTGTTATAGTTACTTTATTGAGACTTTACTATATTACTATATTTTAAGGAAACTGAAGTAGCAATCCGATCCCAGCCAGATAACCTATCAGGAAAGAAAGGGATCATACAAAATCAGTGCGTGTTTAAATTACATAACAAAACAATAAAACTGTATCAGAATTTAATTCAGGTACAAGGGTAGTATTGAACATTCATGCAATAATCTTCGCCTCGTGGAATGGAACATCTGTCATCGAATGGAATTATACTTTTCTTTTCACGAATCTGAAGCATTCATTTTTTATACAGTGCCTGCACAAATAAACATTCGCTAAGCATTTTTGGGCTTGGATGACAAACAAGCAAAGCATGTTATGACCTGCAAGCTTGTGGGGAAAGTATAAGGTTAGGAATGGATCTGGATTTTTCTTCACATATTTTGTGAGTACCTTCTCATCTGGTGACGATGTAGGACGATATAGAAGAAACATAAGAAACATTATACATTACATTATATATAAGAAATATTTTACCAATTGAAATTTCCATAAAAAATAAGTCCCTAAAAATAAAAAAGCTTTGCCCTTCAGTGCCTTTTCCAAAGGGCACCCGATACTGGCTGTGATTGGTCAATGCAGGATTAACCATTCAGCTTCAGATCTTGATTGGCTAATACTAAGCCGTTATTATTAACGACCTTAGTCCAAGACAAACACTGGTGTTTTTGAAAGGGGTTTCACTTTTTTTCCTGTATGCTGTAATATTCACTGTTTGTGAATATCTTCATCCCAAATCTAGAGTGCAACACTGTGTGAAGATGGCTGGAATTAGAACATGTAAAAAAATGGAGACCGATAAATGTTTTGTAGGTACACTTCTCCTATGTGCATAAAATGTATTACTTGCTCAATGTCATCCAACCAGACTTACTGCACTGCGGGCATCAAAAGAGATTCATCTTCTTAGCCCTTTCAAAAAGTCTCCGGTTTCTAGTCAGGGGCTGGCTCCAGAAGAGGTGCGGCGACTTAGCTTTTTTTTCTCTCCTGGAAAGATGTGCACGTACATGTACATGTGCTTGTACGTACGTACCGCTGGTAACAACTTTTCAATAGACCACCCTGGCCATTGCTATTAACGTAGTCAGCTTGTAGATGTACACGTGATATAAGACCACGTCGTTTGTGTGGTTGCCAAATGTAAATGTACAATACAGAAGTCGTCATCTGAAAACGATTGCCCGACTAAATGTATGCATGGGAGCCTAGAAGGACTCCTCTACTGTGTCTATTACTCAACTGTACCACATGTAAAACCCGTTAAAATTATGCCGTAGCAGGATTTCAGTCGATCAAGCAGGTTTGGCAGCTTTGGACATCGTGTCATACCAAATTATTTTCTTTTTTAATCTGCCGACGAGCAGGTATACGGCGACGCATGCGCGGACCACAAACTGGAGACTTTCGTTGGGGGCCTCATGTTAGGGAAACAACGGTCCTACAGCACACTAACGTCCACCATCTTGCGACAAAGGTTCATAGTCGAAAGTCACTAACTGGTTATGTTGTACAGTGTCAGACTGGTTACTGTCCCTGTATTGTTTTTGTCTTTTCAATGGTTATTGAAAATATATAAAATGGGAGCGGGAACTCTAGAAGTGCAAAGAAATTCTATTCAACGGGTACCGTGGAACAGAACGAATAATTCAAAGACACGGGATAAACGATTCACCAATCAAATGAGGGGGATATATGCAAGTATTATATATAATGCTTTTTATTTCGATTAATTTCAGTAGATTTGTCTACTGCTTTCTTCAAAGTGCTAACGCACGAGGTGCATTTTATTTTCACGACTATTGTATACTAAAGGCCTTTTTAATAATATCGTATCATCATTTATAATTCAATTATTCAATTAAAACAAAAATAGCCTAACAACTCTTGCCTTACAAGCACCCCCCTTCAAATCATAATCCTGTCGGAAGAGATTAAAGTTCAAAAGTTTATGAATCATCAACTCCTATTTATGAAGTACTAATCAAATATGCCATATTACACCGGCAAAGAGTTCAAACTCCAAAGTCAACTAAATTTGTCCAGTTGCAGTTTATCCATTTACTTAGGGCCGACCTTTTCATCAAAGCCACCAAGCGCCTTCAGTTCTGAGCATATCCTTGTATTGCTAGAAACTTACAGGTAAGTACTAACATGCTCATGATTTCATCTGTTTTGATGCATCCCCTTAATGACAACAGCTTTGCAGAGATTTTGGTGTACACGAATGAACTTTGTGTGCTGTAGCGGGTATCCCCAGGCCAAGCCAATAAGCTGTTAGGATGAAATCTAGCTTCGATCGGTACCACTCATAATGGGTGAGAAGTAAAGAGCTGTTTACGATCAGCACTCTCTTTTAAGACTGAAATAGCCTTAAAACGCATAGGAAGTACATAGAAGCTATAATAGTGATCACAACAAATGTTTGAAATGTAAAACCGAATGTCAGGGATTATGAGGTAATTGTTGCTTTAACAACTGATACAGATGTTGTCATGTCCCATGACCTTGAGAGTCATGCGGTTAATGCATTTTATCACCGACTATACCATAAAAAGGTCAGTTTACATTACTCAGTGGGTGTTGTTACAAACAAAGAAAGGCGCAAAAAGTCTCTTTTTCAACTTGATAAACCACACGCAAACTTCAAGACCCACAAATCATTCTTCAGTCTGACAGGCATGGATGTGGACATCAGCCTCAAAGCTGTCGGTGATTTTGGAAGAGTGCAAGGCATCAACTTCGTTCTTTTTGGTCTATGCTTGACATTGGCATCGATACAGAGCAACTCGATAGCCTTCACGATTGACCAGTCCGTGGAGCACTACTGTAAACCACCGCAGGGGTTCTCGACAAATCAGACCGCACCTCTGAGCAACGACACGGGTCGAGATATCTTCCATAGCTGCCGCATGTACGACGTGCTCAATGGAACTTTGACGGATAACCTGACAACCTGCCAAGACGGCTTTGAGTACCCGTCTGAACAGGGGGCGACCAGTGTAGTTACTGACGTGGGCAGACCTTCTTTTTTTTGGAGGGGGGGTTGGGTTGTCTGTTTTGTTTGGTCTTTTTTGTCACTTGAGAGACAAGGTTCTCTAAAGTGTTTCAATAGTCTCTGAGAGACTGACCTCCCTTGACTATAGCGTCCAGAATTGCGCACCCTTTACGGTCGTCATCTGTCTGTCTGTCTGTCTGTCTGTCCGGGCAGTTGCCCAACCCTTTCTACAGATAAGCTAAAAAGAAAGAGGCTGTAATGTATGGTCTCAGGAAGGGGAATACCGAGTGTTCATAATCTGTTTCGTACGGAAGCATGCGTATTCTTAAAGTAAAGTATACTTGATGGACTGAATAAAAATGAGTCGTTTTTAATTCTTTTTTTTTATATAATTGAAGAAACTTCTCAGAAAAAATGTCAACAATCAAACCTTTTCATATTCCAACTTTCACTACTGCTGATCCAAGGGTTGTTCCAAACTTGGGATTCTCATAGAAATGAAGATGACATTGTATACCTTTCAAAGGAACTGAAGTCCACAAATTAGCCTGGGTCAACAAGTTATTCATTTTGCTTTATTGCATTACATATTCGTTGATCTTTTTTCAGCCCATATCTTAGTGATAATGGGTTGTTGACAAAGTATGCATTCAAGCAAGAATACTTCGAGCTGTTTGGATTTTAGAAAAAAAATTTCTCTAGTTTCCTGGCATAAAATAGCTGACAAATTAGTAAGCTCCCGGATAGGATAGTTGATATGGGCTATGACATGTTGCCTTGAGGCTGATGCCATTCTCTTCTGTTACTGGCTGGAGAGAGGCCAGTGGGTTTGAAGTTCCCCGGGGAGGAAAACAAACAAGATACAGGGATCAGTTTAACTTGACCCTTTGCTTGTAAGTCATAAACACCACCCAATGGAAATCCTCATTTTTGAATAGAATATCTCTTTTTAATCTCAGTCACTGGTTAATTTAACAAGGAATTCTGATAGCTGCATGCACTCTATGTATTTGATTTGCTCTTCACCAGCTGAATCTCGTGTGTGATAGAAGCCTTCTGGGCGGCACCCTAATGTCCATGCACTTCGTGGGTTTCCTCGTCGGTTGCTTCCTGACAGGCCAAGCGGCGGACATGTTCGGTAGACGCACGGTCTGCATGGGGGCGTCGCTGCTGATCAGTCTGCTTGGCACATCCATTAGTTTCATTTGGAACCTAAAGCTCATGATGGCCGCCCGGTTCTTTCTGGGGCTGGTTCTACCGGTAAACTATTTGGAAAATCCTTTCAAAGAATTGCCCAACAAGGGAAAGTGTTTTGTCATTCGAAATAGCGCGGAGCCCTAAATATGCCACTTCTCCTATCACCACTGCATAAAATACTTCGGACAGGTGTCGTTAATTCTCAGTGGCATGGGGTGGCGAATACAGAATTGGATAATGCTATTGAAATAAGCACCCTTAAAACATTCTGGTTCGGGGGGGGGAACTGACGTCAGTGTCGGTGCTCTGTTGTGTGGAGCTTCTCATGGTGGCCTCATTTATCTACTTTTACATAAGTTACAAAACAAAGTTGCTGATACGACGAATGATGTGGACGCAAAGTAATCCGAACCGCCCTTTATAATGGAAAAGTGTATGTATAATTTCACGGAAGTAAGGTGTTACATGTGTGAGCCTATAATAGTCGTATACCTGGTCACGTGTTCCCAAAATAAGAACTCCAACAGCTTACGGATTCAACCAAGCAAGCAAAGCTCAGCTCAGCGTACTAAAACCCACTATCGTATTGAAAGAAGCCGGTAGCCAAACGTTTCTAAAATCTCACTGTCTTTATCATTCAGGGAAACACCCTCGTGTGTTACGTCCGAATGGTGGAGATGGCCTTGCCAAGGCACCGCTTGCTGGCTAACCAAATAATCCAGTATTTCTGGGTCCTTGGATTATTGCTGGTCTCTCCTTTAGCACTCCTCTTTCCCAGATGGAGGGATCTGCAACTCGCTGTGTCTCTCGCAAGCATCCCTTTTATACCATTGCACTGGTGAGGCTTCCACTGAGGTTCTTCACAACACGTACTCCGCAGAAAAAGACGTGGGTCGGATCGGATTAAACAGGGTCTTTATCCCGTTAGGCAAAACTCCGCAATATGATGTGAATCCGATAGCCTAGCCTTAATCTGAACCCACTACAAATCCCAAACGATCCCAACTTTGAGAAATACTTTCTTGTAGCTTCCTTGCTTCCTTACTCCAGTATACATTTCAAATTTATCAATAAAAGCAAACGAAGAGCGCCCTTTGGGCAATAATGTTACATGCTAATACTTTATTTTTTAACTTCATGTGTGAAGGTTATTCTCTTACGAGTCCATTCGCTGGCTAGTACAGAAAGGCCGTGTGGAGAAGGCTGTGTCAATTCTACAAAGGGTTGCCAAATCTAAGAAGATCCAGTACGAAGGGGAATCTCTCATGTCCAGGCTCAGTGACATAGGTGTGCCGACAACTGAAAAGACTGACGGCCTTGCAGACACGCCCTCTGTGGAAGACGATGGGCCGACCAACGGAGGTCTTTATCCAATAAAGCGACACTACTCTTTCTTCCATTTGTTCAGGACAAGAATTCTGATCAAGTACACCTTGATCATGTTTCTGTGCTGGTAAGTTAATACTGCGATTTGCTTGTTCTTTGTTTCTTTATTGTTGTTTCTAAACATTGAAAAGACAATTACTTCTTCATTATGTGTTAGCAAAGTTGACAGATGAAGCTCAAACTGCTTCTAAACTCGCAGTTGTTGCGCTACATGAAACTGGAGTGGAAAGTGTCTCTCTGTTTTCAAAAGGGCGAGAAGCCATGTTTTCGATTTTTTCGAACAACGTCTCCAAGACGTAGCTAGCGTTCCAAAACATAGAGCAGAACAAACTAATAAACCGCCTGTGTGTCTGGGTGTTCACAATCTTGACTACTGTGCGCGGTTTTCTAGCCTTAACTGACAAGGCAGAGCAACGCTTGCTTCTTGACTGCGAAAAATTGGCTGCAATCTCCCCATTCAGTTAAGTATTTAATTTCAAAAGTCATTATTTCTCACATTTGTGAGTGTGGCTGTCAATGTAAAGAGTGTGAGAGTTGTCAGATTTGCAGATATTGAATAACAAAATAACATATCAATTTGATTGTCGTATTATGATTTATGATTGTCTTACCGGCAAATCGAGATTCATTACCTCGCTAAGACAATAAGCACACAATACCACAATATCAAACAATAATATTCGCCATGCAATGGCCATTTTTCGCTGCGCAAAAAGAAAAATGGTCGACCCGGATGAATTCTCTCCAGCTTGACAGGGGAAACTTAATCATTCCTGATGTTTGTCAGGGAAGAGGATTCTGAACTTATTATTTCGAGTTGCAGTTTTAATTAACTCTATTCTGTTTTTCAACTGTGTAACCCTGAGTTATTGGGGCGAAAAATTGAGAAGAGGGTAAGGGAATATGGCTTTTGAGGAGTTTTATTCGGGGAAAAAATTCCAAGTCGCCACGGCAGTTCAATTTGCCTGAAGACAGATACCCGTCAAAAGTGGAGTTTGTGATTGGCCGACGTGATGAATATTAATGAATTAGCATACAAAAGGATAGCAAACCGTATATCATTATTTCAAAAACTATGTCGGAGAAAAACTATCACACCTTTGACAATTGCATGGAATATGCCAGTTGATAGAAATTTCCCAATATTGTCAATTGACATACGCTGAAATATAAAGGACAGCAATGGGGACATCGGTTTGTGTCGGTCCTAAACTTATAAAAGAATGGCCTGTCCGTGTCAACTTCCTGGTGGCACGTTGTAATGTCAAACGCCTCTCAATACCCATCAGCGCTCCAAAGTTCTTGACAAACGAAGTTGAATTCAATCTCCCTAACTGTTCTCGGAGACAAACGTTTCATTTTACCTATGAAGGTTCGTCATGAACGCGCTGTACTTCGGGTTCATCGTATATTCCACCAGCCTGGCCGGAAATAAGTACCTCAACTTTTTTTTGCTGGCTCTCATTGAGGCACCGGTTAGCGCCATCGATTTCGTCCTCATGAAAAGGTGATGAAATTATTATGTTCGTATTAAGGCTTATTTGGGGGGTCATCAGGGAAGACCAAATGTTTTTGCACTTTCACTGGGCTGGGAGATTAATGTAGAAACAGATATTACATAGACATTGATCTTCACGATTTAGGACCTGAGTATCCATGTATATAACGGGGTCTTGAACTAATCCATTGAAATTGTACGCTACTTACCAAACGTTTCCAAACACCAACTATTATGGTGGTCGCTTGAAAACTGCATGGTCAACTTTGGTAAACCGTCTAAACGTTGACGTAGGTCTTCGTGCCAATACCACAGTCAAAAAAGGCCAAAATGTGTATATTTTTGCCTCTTCTTTGCACCAAATTCTATCCAATTCAGAATGTGTTGTTAAGGTAATGCAGTAGTTTTAATTATGTAAAGAAAAAAAGCTTCCATGATGGTGTTCACCGGCTCCTCGCTCTTGTTGTCTCTTCAGGTTTGGTCGTCGAAGGCCGCTGATCTTTTCCTTCTTTGCATGCGCAGTGGCTTGTTACTTTACGGGATTTCTTCCTGGTAAAACAGGTATCACACAATACTTCTCAGCCAAATAGGATATAAGCAACAGAAAGCACTGTCAAAAGGAGGCTTTTCGACACAGAATATCTTCTACCTTTCCTTTTCCATGAATAATATCATTTTAAAAAGCAATAGTATGACCATTTGAGCAGTTTCATTTCGATTGCAAACAACCTCAAGATCATGCACAGTTAAATACATTATTTTGCTGACAATAATAATACTTTCCCCGAGGGATGCACCTTGAAAATGATTTTTTTTGTTCTAGCTAATGGCACTGAGCTAACAGCCTTGATTGTCGCTATGGCGATGGTCGGCAAGTACTTTTCCACAGCTGCGTATGAAGTGACTATGCTGATAGGAGCCGAAGTCTTCCCAACAGTTCTTAGGTAACAGCTCATTGGAAGCGTGTGTTCATTTTTTCTTGTTTTTTTTTTTTTGGGGGGGGTGTTTTTTAGGAGGGGGGTTCCCGGAGGTTTCGCATACAATGGAAATGAAATATACATTTTGGACAGATTTTGGTAATTCCACCATTAGTATTGAGAAATGAATCTCTTTTAGTTGGTCCCCTCAGCATCATTGACACTATGTCCTGCCCTTGTGTATTAGCTCGTAATATGACTGATTCTTAAACGTTCATAATTTTTTGCTGCTTTTCTATGCAGACCACACTCGTTTTGCCTACAAATTTGAAAATTGGACGGTTAGCACCGTTAGGAACAAGTGTTCATTGTTGTGTTATCATTTATTCTGTATGTATGTCAACTTCCTAAACATACCAAGAAACGAATTATTACTCGCCCATATAAAGATCCCTCAGTTAGACATTTTGGTCGATGGATTTTTGATTATGACCGGCAAAAATCCACGTTAAACTTATCAATTTCAAATCAGGCTCAAAAATATGTGAGTGATCTTACTAATATGTACAAGTTTTATTTTCCTGAAAATACATTCATTAGGCATGCTAAAGATAAACCCTGGATTACACCAGCTATCAAACAATTGATGCAAGAATGGCCAAAGCGTTTGACAATAGGTAATTGAACCCAAGTAAATGGAGATTGTTACGTAATAAAGTTCAACGTTCCATCAATGAGCAGAAATCAAGATATTATAATGATTTGATTGCATAACTCCAATCTAATAATTCTAGTAAATGGTATCAGTATTTAAAAAAAATGGCAATTTTTTACTAAAAACCTAATATTGATTTAACGTCTCTTTTTGGAGTCTTTGCAGATCCTGAGGAGGTTCTTGAACGAATTATTGATCATTTTGCTAGTATCAGATACCTGCTTTAGATAACACGCAATTATCATGTTATCTACCATCTAAACCACCACCTACAATATATCGCTGTCACGTTTTAAAGAACATGACAGCCTTAACATATTAAAAGCTGGTCATTCTTTGAATTTATCTGTTCAGTTAATCAAAGAATTCTCTGTTGAAATTGCCGGCCCACTGATATATTTGTTTATTAATTGTGTTAGAGAAAGAATATTTTCTGACCTCTGGAAAACAGCTACAGTGGTTCCTGTACCAAAAGGAAAAACAAAATCTTCTCTGGATCAACTGAGACCAACTGCACTCACTCCTATCTTGCACACGTTTTTGAATCATTGATATCTAAGTGGATTGATTTTACAGGATATTACAGCAAACTTGCATATTAAACAATATGGAAATATGAATGGTTGTAGCACTACGCGTTGTCGTGTAGATTTATTGAAATTCATTATTGGGGGCATGATAAGCCGGCTCAATATGCCCAATTGTGTACAACTGTTTTTACATAGGCTTTTGATCGGGTCCATCATACAATTGTAATTCAAAAATTAATTGATCTTAGAGTTAGGCCGTCCATTGTGCCCATCGTTTGCAGCTTTCTGACAGTACGTACTCAAAACACTAAGTTAAACGGACAGTTAATATTCAGACAATTACATGTGGGGTTGCACAGGGTACAAAATTGGGTTCATTTTTATTTTTGATTCTTGTTTAATGATGCTGCAATTGATTGCTGCAGACGATGGAAATACGTGGACGACCTGACTCTGGGAGAAGTCATTAAATTTAGGGGTCAATCACAAATGCAGTTGTGTCCTTATAGCCTTTCTCGGTGGTGTCAGCAAAATGATGAGTTACCTAAACCATCTAAATGTCAGAGTATGACTACTATTTTTTAAAACGTTATGTATCGACTTCTGCACTTTCAATTAATGGGATATACTTAAATTAGGTTTCACATTTAAAATTGTTGGGAATCACGGTCACCATACAGAGTGATTTAAAGTGGAATTTGCATATTACAGAAATAACCTCAAAAGCTTCTTGGAAACGATACATATTGCATAATCTTAAGAAAGCAGGTGTTCTTATAAGTCATATGGTTATAGCCTATATTTATAGGCTATAACCTATTATTATATTGTTAACCTATTATTATATAGGCTATAACCTATATTATATTGATATAAGTATCAGACCTATACTCCAATATGCATGTCCAGTCTGACACTAGTCTATTATTTATGTGACATCAATTGAGCAGACCTTTTGTAATTTCCACACTGTCACCGAAAGGTTTATGTTTAATTTGTTGCTAATTCCTTTAATTGATATTCACAGCAGGTCCCTCTTCCTTTGACGTCTTTGGTTTATTTGAAAGGGGATGAAACTGCACTGCACACCCAATCTTCATATTTTTTCACACATCACTGCCTGTATCATAAATATTGGGTTAAGTTTACTAAATTGCTTGTGTAATGTTGTTTTACACAGAAATATTGCAACGGGGAGCTCAGCCACAGTTGGGAAAACAAGTACAATCATAGCTCCTTTCATTGTGCTGTTGGTGAGTTTGAGCAACCCATTAAATTAATGAATGGATCAGTGACATCCGTTTTAAGTTAGGAAAATAGGAGACTGAAGTTGGGACCAAAGCCATAAACATGGCCTAAGAGGAACTTTTTGAGTCAGGCCATGCACGGCTTCCTAATATCATTTTTCCCGGGAAAGTTCGCAAAGATTGTTAATATCAATCATTCGAATGACCTATCTGCGTCAGGGAGGGAGCTATCATTCATATATTAATTTTCCAAAACGTGGACACTTCAACCCAAAAGTTAGGCCTGGTCATTCAGCATCAGCGTTATACACCCGCTTTCCCTTGGAACAGTACCATCTGTTAAAACAGACGATGTGAACAACGACAAAAGCTCACGTCGTGCACTTTTGTTTATTTCCCACATTAGAAAGATGCGGTAAGCTTCTTGCCAATGACAATATTTGGTACACTCTCGCTGGTAGCCGCCTTCTGTGTGTGTCTGCTACCCGAAACAAGGAACAGGCCCCTGCCTGAACAGTTTGAGGACCCAACCAAGTTAGAAAGACAACAAGAGGACACCATCTAATTAACGCCGATGCCCTGTAGCCACAAAAAATTGTTATAACTGGGTTTTTACATAAATGATACCTTGGTTTTACAGGGTGTCCACATAAAAGCATGCGGAGATGAAAAATGACTGTAATGGCAAAACTACTTTAAATGTGGAAAAGAGAAATGCATCTCTACAAAGAGCAGAATGTCCTCTTTGCAATGGTATGTTTGTGATGTTATTGACAGAGATGAGTGAATAAACAAGGCCTCCATTAAGGGTTCTGAAATTGGCACTGTGAAAAGTTTGCATATTTGATTAACAAGGCTCAACAATGCAAGCATGCAGAATATCAAAATAATGCCTTCGCTTGAAAACAAGGAATGTGCCTAAATCAATGTAATCTGCTTTGTTTTCGCTGCTTACCTCATAAGTTTAATTTGCTGTGCCCTCTGTGTCATGTCCTCCATTCCTGTCAATGCACATCTGACATCTTACATGTCCTTTACAGCCTGTCTGACCATTTCAGGATCTTGATGAAGATACTGGTTTTTTCCACTATTCTTGTGCGTATTTCCTGAACATTGGCTGGGAGAGTGGTGAACTTTTTTTTTTCTGCAGGTAACCCCATAAAAAGAAATGGCATTGGTCTTCCCCACACTTGCATAGTTGAGCCTTGTCAATCAAATATGCAAACTTGTCGCAGTGCCGTTTTAGTACCCTTAACATCAGTCTAGTTTGTTCACTCATCTGTGTCAATAACATCACAAGCTGCATACCATTAAAAAGAGGATATTCTGCCCTTTCTAGAGATATATTTCCCTTTCTCATGTAGAAAGTAGTTTTGCCACTGTAAATGTAACTAAGATATGTGGCTCTTCGTGAAAACGAAAATCTTACATTTTCTCGGCCATAGAGTCCATACTTTTTGTACGTGTAGGCCCACAAGGGGCATAAAGATTTGAGTCTCTCCGTGAAAACGCCAAATGCACTTGTCGAGATTTTAGCCCCCAACAACACGAATAAAATCAAAATCGTGGTTCTTCGTGAAAATGGTGACGAAAATGTGTCCAGTATTTATAGAAAGCCTCTATCATACTTATTTCTAAAATGCACCAGATTAAAGAATTTTTTGTGGCTTTGGTTGCTTTTAGAGTACGATATGCTTAAGGTGAATGGTACCGGTGTTGTTCAACTTACCGAATAAAGTATTAGGGGACGTTATATTGTTCAAAACAGTAATGGGTTTTTTCCCTAATTTTTTACTACTTTCTGTATGTAGGCCTATACGTTCCCCTTAGAACAGGCACATGTAATACATGTATGTGATTAGAGGCCATCACTCATGTAGTCTGATGAGTCGTAATTTGTGTCACTCTGCCGAGAATTTGGATTTACCCTGACTTCGGTTTCCTTTATTTTTACCAGGAATTTGTTTCATTTTCAGTCATAGTTTTGTTTGTGATTGGTGATAGCAAAGTTGTGATGTTATTTCCCAAGGTTTCAGTTTATTAAGAAGATCAGATTAATTTAGGAATTGTTACTGATTTAGACTTTCTGAGCAGGTTTTTTAGAAAGTCGGGGGAGATCATACTAACTTAGATTTTCCCTGCAGGTGAAAGTAGGGGGAATTAGTGATCATATTTACCTTGGTCAGATAGTAAATTAATGACAAGAAAGCGTACTGTGTCAGATATAGGCTGGCGTTTTTGCGCAATTTCTATGAGATGCTGATTGCAGTCTGGGTGAACGTACCATCGTTTGTGTTGCTTTGAATTCGTTTTGAGTCGCAACATTTCATATTTTTCAAATCTTTCCCTCGCATTAATTTTCCGGAGGGTTATAGAGACTTGCAACAACTCTAAGTATTTTGGTTTAGCTGCTGGGTCTCTTTATTCTGTGACCTTGAAGGCATAATTGCACGTACCCACACTCTCTCTGTATTTGATTTGGGGCGAATCGGGGAAACCTGGGTAACTATAGGCCTATGCACTTCCAGCAGAATAAAGAAATAACCATTATGCATGCCAGTCCAAGGTCGGACCCAGAACCATTTTTTTTGGGGGGGGGGCGGGGAGACTTGTTGGACGACCCTATAAAATGTTATTTTTTTCTATGTACCCCCCCCCATAGCCGCGCTTCCCAGAAAAGCATTATTTTGTGTGAGCAAGCAAATAGTTTTAGCTTTCCTGGGGAGCAAGGCTTCATGTTGGGGCTTTTTACATGCTTTGGGAACAACAAGAAATAAAATAGAGCAACACAATTCCCTTCGCTTCATTAAAAAATATCAATTTGTTTTGCTCCTTGTTTTTTTAGGGGGGGCACATTGCCCAACTTGTTCCGCCCTTGTGGTTGAAATATTTTCCTTTCCCATGACAAACAGAAACGAAACAGCACAGACAAAATCTACAGGTTGAATTTCAAGCAATGATTTTACGACGTACTTGTGTTATTTGAAGATAGAGCACCACAAAAAGTTTTGTTTTGCATAGTCTCCCTTATTGTATTGTCTCCCTTATTGACACAGACTCCGACTCGAATGCAGAAAGATTGATATCACAGCACCTGTAATCGAGGTAAAAATTGGCAGCTGGTGTCCTATATAGCCACACTATTGTTGGAGTGTCACTTGTTAATTTACGAAGCAAAAATCCCTAAATACGACTATTGTTTGCCTTCAAAAATGCATGTTTCTAGTTATGTCTATGTCTCATAGTTGGATATTTATCGGAGAATGGATTTTTTTTCATGTTGTATGATTTTGAGTTTTAAGCTTGTGGAATAGACATTTGGTTAATGACTTGATCTTTTTAAAGAGCTGCGGGGGAGTTTGATCATATCATAATTGCAATAGTTTTCTTTCAGATTTACGTGGAAAACCAACCTTAGGCAAATCGAATTACATTTACTTTCGGCATTCTGAGATTCAAATGAATGTCCGTTTCGAGATCTTGCTGTTTGTAAGTGCTGAAAGCGTTTCATTTTGATGTATATATTAAACACATATATTGTTATATAATTTAAAACGGATATATTGTTATATATTTGTGTATGTGTTGATTTTATTTGTATTTACATTTTGTCGGCTCGAAATGATAACAATCACTAAAGGACAGGTTAAGCACAATACGTATACACTCCAGGGTCGAGTTCGAAGTGCATATCATAATGTAGATAAAACATTGAATGCACCCTGTGAACGCATTTCAGCACAGATATCATTTTAAATATCAAAGGTTGTTTTCTTCCTCGTCTCTTTCCGACACACTAAATCTTTATCCAAGTTCAACAACGTCTGTGTAACTGAAATAAAAGCTCGCTCTGTCGTCATCATAGTTGCATTAGGAACTTGTTGGGCAACGGAGCACAGTCAAACTGCACGTGTGGATCCGCATTTGATATAGCGGGTCTCTGAATTGTAGAACTGCGTTGTGAAGCTTTTTATTTCCAGACATGGATGTGGATTCAAGCCTCAGGGTCGTTGGACTCTACAGCCGGGTGCAGGTTGCCAACTTCGCCGTCTTCGGCTTGTCGCTGTCCTTTGCAGCCATACAACTCACCTCGGTGGCGATCACGATCGACCAATCAGTGGAACACTACTGCAAGCCTCCGTACGGCTTCACAGCCAACCAGACAACACCCCTGATAGACAAAGAAGGCCGCCAGGTTCCCGATAGCTGTCATATGTACGATGTCCTCAATGGAACACTGACAGGAAATATTACAACCTGTAAGAATGGTTGGGAGTACTCAGGTGCTGAACATGGAGAGACTAATATCTTGACTGAAGTAAGTAGAGTTTCACTTTATGACAAATAAATAAATAACACAAGTATGCTTGGATACATTTATCGAACATTTCTTTAGGTAAACTCTGCGATTAGGCACGCCAAAAAATAAAACCGTGATTTCGAAGGGTGATTGTCACTCACCCGGTCAGGAAAAGGGAAGAGGGTCAGTTCCTGGTTATGCCTGAACCTGTACGACTGTTTTATGATAGCAAAAAGATCCCTCAAGTCCCCTCTCTGACTACATTTCGTTATGCTGCTGTGGAAGTAGCCACGCTCCAAATAACTCCGAGCATCGAGATGGATTTTGTTTAACTCTCAGTCATTTCCCGGTCGTACGGGCGCCTTGGGATACTTTTAACAGGCTGTGCTGTGCAGTGGATACAGCTAGGTTAAAGGGACTTTGAAGTCTTGAAGTACATTTGTAGCTTGAGGATTACCTGAAATTTCAGCCTAATTCAGCAAAAACGTAAAAGTTATTCAAAAATGCGAAAATGTGGTGAGTACTCACCAGGGAACATTCAGATATTCCCATGATACAATTTGAGGGAGGCATGAATTTTGTAATTGTATCATATGTGTTCAGGCAAATCTTATGCAATGTCCTGACTCAGGCAACCCGAGTCCTCTTAAGCATCTCTGACGTCCGTCCATCCGTTCGACTGGAGATGTGCTGGAACGTTTTGGTTAATGGATAAAGTGTCATCCGACTTCACAGAGTACCGAAATATTACGTCATGTAGAACCTGTCCATGCTGTACAAACCAATGGAGTACGCGCGTTCATGGTTCACGCGCTGGTCCTCGGGCTAATGCCTTTTAAACTCATAATAGTAGTACGTGTGACGTACTCACTTCGGTAGTCTTTCCGGTTCGAAAGTGTGACGTCACTTCAGTTTAAACCACGCCCACTGCACGTGCACTGCACATAGAGTTATATGCATTGATTGCCGTTTACATGGAACCATGGAACCGGAAGTTAACGCGCAACTTCCCCGCAAACCGTGGCGCGTTCGCCTTTGTGACGAAGTCACTTACGAACCGGATACTACTGAAGCTACCATGTTTCCTGAATCGAGAACGTGACCCCTACGGAAGCACGTGTCTGCGTGTGATTCAAACAAGAAAGTGTGCTTCTATTTAGTGTAGGCCTATGGCAAAAGCACCACCTACAAATACAAGTGACTCCAGCCCAACTACGCGTTTGTAGGCCTAATTACAAGTCTGCATGGGATGACATGGATCGTACCCTGGAGCATGCACCATGTTTTCTTTATACGTCATGGAGTTTGCCGGCAAAGCAACACTCATGCCTGCTGATAGTTCAGATCCGAAGGTCAGTTTTGCATAGTAATTAGTAGCAGGTCGTGTTCGGATATACATTCACGAAGGGCCTGTTTGTTTTACACGGATCTGGATCGCAACCAGTGATCCAAAGGCTAGTTCGTCCTATCCAGTAGGCACAATAGACACCTTCTGGTGTCAGTGAATCAAGGTTAGATCGCTGACTGCGATATAGTCTTGGGTCAAGACGGCAGAACTTGATCGAGCATGCGCCGCACGCTGATTTCTATTGCGCCCTCTCGGGACTTCATTTCACCAATCGAAGCCACAAGAGTGCGCAATGAAAATTGGCGCGCTCGACATATTTTATGCTCGATCGAGTCCGCTATCAAGTTCTGCCGTCTTGGCCCAAGACTAACCGCGATCCAGATCAGCGTGAAATGAGCAGGCCCTTAGCTATGTGTGTTGTTCAAACTTCTCTTCCACAGACTAGGGTAGAGCGCTAAAATACAAGTGAACTGTGGAATTAATTGTATATTAACTGGTGCACAATGTGTAAAAACGTACTTATTACGTCCCACACCTGCGAAAATATGTCTTTGGAATATGTCTGCTGAACAGAGTTGAGCTAAAGCTGTTTTGTTTCTTTACAGTACACAGCCTTCGACTCATTCAAGCAGGAACAAGAGACTGTAAAATCTCCTCGTCTTGGAGTATTATCCTTGTTAAAAAATTCCATTTTTACCCCACCAGTTCGATCTTGTGTGCGATAAGAGCCTATTGGCTGGGACATTGATGTCTCTTCACTTCAGTGGATCCCTGGTCGGTGCGTTCTTGACGGGTCAGGCGGCGGACATAGTTGGCAGACGACCTATTGCAGTTGCCTGCCTGGGTTTGATGAGTGTTTTTGGTACGGCCATCAGCTTTACCTCGAATTTTCAGCTGATGCTGGCCCTCCGGTTCCTTCTTGGATTAGTTTTACCGGTAGGAAATTCAGTAATACCCACGACAAAATAAAGAACGATCCCAGTACCCATGCACAACGATACACGGTATACTGATTGAAATTTGCAACTAACAGCAAACATCTAGTATCGCAACCAGTCATTTGTCAAGATGTGCTTTGGGTGAAAGTGAAATTTTATTATTACTTGCTATATAGTTTATGTATAGAGCGCTGTTGCGATTGCCTCGTAAACCTGGCGTTACTTTACTTGTAACTTTCATTTTTTTTATTTGTGACTTGACTTGGACTTGCACATTATTTGCACGCAAGTCACAAAAACTAGTCATTAAACAATCTGACCCATTTAAGTTTTACATTAGGCTTATCAAGTTGTACCCTCCATCTTAAAATAATAATAGTAACTAAGACTTTGTTCGGCTTGCGACTTGTACTTTGATCTTGTCTGCCTAAGGCTACTTCTGAATCACTTGGCTATGGCTTGAAATCACACATCGCGTGACTTGACTTGTTCTTGGACAAAAAGACTTATGACTTGCTTTTAACTGGACCAAATTGAGTTTTGACATGACTTGTGACTATAGACCAAAATTAAAGACTGATTAATGACTTTTGACTTGGCTTAGACTTGCAAAAATTGATTAGGGACTTGACTTTGACTTGCAAAAATTGACTTGCTACTACCTCAGGACGAAACTAGCAATTCAAGCCTAATACCCAAGTCTAAAAGTTAAAAATCGCCTAATACCTGTCAAAGATTTAGCCCAACATCAAGTCTTGTTTTCCACTGTCAATTTCAGGGCAATACAACCGTTGGGTACAACCGTGCGGTTGAAATGTTCACACCAAAGACGCGTATTGTTGGCAACATGCTCAATCAGTACTTTTGGACATTTGGCGTGATAATGGTTGCTCCAATAGCATTTCTCCTTCCCAACTGGCGAAACTTTCAGCTTGCTGTCTCCCTTGCAAGTCTTCCTCTGCTACCACTACATTGGTGAGATATCAAATGATTTTCCCTTACACTGTAAAAAAAAAGAACATTGTTTATACGCCTTTTAAACGCATTCCTCACACAATAATAAAGCAAAAAAAAGCATATCACGTTTATCGGTTGGTTTCACTTTCAGAAAAACGAAACACATTATTTCCAAACGGCGTTTAATTTTGAACGGTTAAAACAAAGACCCGTTCATAGTGGGCGTTGGTTTTTACAGTGTACCCTTGCTGAGTAGTTTTCTCGACAAAACTTCAATGTTTCAAGAAACAGGAACTGAAACCAGAGTTGCACTTGGGCAATTATTGACACCCATTTTAACAAAATATTGATTAATTAATAATAGTTTATTATGTCGTCTGATTCGGGGAACAAGTGGCACCACAATCCCCTGGTTGCTACTTTGTCTATCGTAGTCTATGAAGCCTGTCGTAGAAAATGTTCACAGATGTCACAGAAAACGCTAAGCGGTAGTCATATATAGGTGACACGTAGCTAACACATTACCGTTTGTAAGTCTGTGTGACGAGTCTGTATTGCCTTTGTATGCAGGTTCTTTACTTACGAATCGCTTCGGTGGCTGGTACAAATGGGTCGTCTGGAGAAGGCAGAAGCTATTCTACAAAGCATTGCCAAATCGAAGAACATCAAGTACGACGGAAATCTGCACGCAACTAAAAACAACGAGAACATTCCACTTGCTGCATACGGTACAGCCGAAGACGAATCGGCAGCCACACCCGAGAAGCTTGACGGGAAATCATCAGTCCCACTTGTTCCAAGACAAGGAGATGGCACACAGGATGAACCGCCTCTGGAAAATTCCAAAGAGGAACGCACACATCGTAAGGGTGTATACACAGAAAAGCTGGCCACCAGGTACACCATTCTTGACCTCTTTAAGACGAGGGTTCTAATCAAGAATACCTCCATCATTTTCTACCTATGGTAAGTTATGACATGTTCCGTCTTTTAAATAGATCAACCTGATAACATATTGGATATCAAAGGAACACTCCAAAGGAAAATTAATTGCAGCCTGACCAGTCTTAACAACCTTCCATTCTTTTTTGACGACACTTAAGGTTTTCTACGAACATTATGTACTTCGGGCTCATTGTCTACGCAACAAGTCTCACAGGAAACAAGTACCTCAACTTCTTCCTGTTAGCGCTAGTGGAGGCCCCCGTCTATTGCCACGATTACTTCGTTGCAAAAAGGTATCTATCCAAAATGAGTAAATTGCACTGTTATTTATCAGTAATGGTCGTCGCCAAATTATATAAACTTGGAATCAAATCTGAAATGTCATTAAACGTCTCTTGAATTCCAGTTGTTTTTTTATGTTACAAACAAAAACAAACTCGGTGATATTCATTAACTCGAGGATATTATTTTTGTACCGGGTTTTGTTTGTCTTTTATGACGTAGAGTCACACTGTTTTGCAGCAGTCTGTCCGAGGGTTGCAACAAAATAATAAATAGCCTTCTTGGGTGAGATTTCAAACCACCACTAACTTTCAATTGTCGAGTGGTTAAGACATCTGCACTATTAACGTTAAGCATTAAGTCCTGGCCTCGAATCCAGCAAGCGCATGCTGGAATATTTTTGTTCAACTCTCGGACCACGCTGAGAATACAGTGTAAAATGTAAGCACAAACCCTGGTTTAAAAACAAAACCTTGTTCATCTGCAGGTTTGGACGCAAAAGACCGATTGCTTTTTTCTTCTTGGCAAGTGCCATTTCCTGCGTTCTGCTTGCGTTTCTGCCTAACAAAACTGGTAAGCTGACAGCTTGCACGGGTATATTCATATATATATTAATATTCAGTTTGAAGTGAACATTTTTAGGTTGTAAAAACTATGGTAAATTCCCAAGATATTTTGCATTACAAATGTTGAAATGGAACCCCTCAGCTGCTTATTTTACAGTACACGCACACAAAATCATATCGCCAACAATGTAAAGCAATACATTCCAATTTTGTCACACTCTACAGACAAATTGGTTGAGATAACCAAGCGTGGAGAGTAACCTACCAACCGCTTTTGGTTTGACACATTTCCTGCAATTATTGGTTGTTTCGAATCATTTTTATGTTCGTTGAAAATCATTGAGATCACGGGTCGAAATCAGTTTGGTGGAAAAAGTCATTATGAAACTTCGAGACTTAGATACATGACTCATAAAACTGATTGTGTCAATACTTGAAAAACGGTACCAGAACACTTATTTAAGTTAGGGGAGGGTTCTGTCTAGAAGATTCTCTCCATGAAAAAAAAACCCACCCTCCAGTCCGAAACCTGTATAAGTGTCTACTAACATTTTGAGAGCTTCAGAGTACACAAATAACACTTACACAGTGTTTATTTTATTTTTCAGCTGATGGCACGGATTTGGCAGTGTTGATCGTTGTCGTTGCAATGATTGGGAAGTTTTACGTCAATGCTGCATATGAACTAACGATGCTCGTGGGGGTGGAGGTATTTCCGACAGTTTTGAGGTAATACGTTTTGCTTTTGACCTATAAAGTGAAATTATATATAATGTGACTGGCTCTGCAAAAATGGCCCCCGGGGCTTACGTGTGACAAATTGATTTTAAGTGATGCCCAAAGATAGAGAAGCATTTTAATAAGGATTAAATTTGTGCATTTTTTACCTCTGTCGCACATTCCGTTCCCGAAATACAGTAAAATTTAGAATTGACCTCTGGCAGATATATGAAATGGTCTGTTACATAGAGAGGAATAGCATGACTTAAGGGTCTTGTGGGTGGGTCACAAATAGAATGCCGTTCCGAGCGTTGAGGTTTACCGACGCAATTCTGTCATAACTAAAAATTCTAATCAATTATCGATTGTAGTGTTGTATACTGGCTTTAAACTATGTTTTTGCGCACTTGCATATCACACGCCGCGTTCGATTTGAATTTGCCTTGATAGGAACGTCGGACAAGGAAGTTCAGTCACGGTTGGCAGAATTGGCTCCGTCATCGCACCTTTCATTACATATTTGGTGAGTCAAAATGTGGAACGTTTATACTTTAAAGAAGGGAAGTCATCAGCTTTTGTTTATCAGTAGCTTCCTAATATTTTTCAATGTGTCACAAATGTGTGGCAAAATTAACACCCTGAAATAGCACCGCAAGTATGAAATACTTTAGGGCGTGGCCAGGCACGAAAGAAGCAGGGGGAGGCTGATGGTAACCAGCTTTGTAACTCGTCACACAGGAGGATGTAGCGAGCTTCTTGCCCATGGCTATATTTGCTTTGCTATCTCTGGTGGCAAGCGTGGGAGTGCTGTTTCTGCCGGAGACCAAGGACCGACCGCTGCCTGAGACGTATGAGGACGGCAACAAGCTCGCACGGGACGTCGAGGGTACCCCTTGATGGGTGCCTGCCTGAGCAGGTGCGTTGAGCAACTGGTCAACTACCCATCTGAGGAACGGTGGACACAGTAAGAGGGCGCTATTTGGTCTGGGTAAACTGTTTTCTCCAATCTTAAGCGTGTTTTGGCGTCCCCGAACAGGAAACATGTTCATGACGGCAAAGCCATCAGGTTGTCATGTTAAGGGTGACCCACAAATTGGAAGAAACAGGAACGGTATACGTCATCTGAAAGAGGTAAGCGCGGGGAAGCAGACGGCACTGTTGATGAGCATCATTTGATTCAATATTCGACACGTTCCTCAAAATTGCTGCTCTTTCTTTTCACGTACGTTTTAGTATCTTAGTATCTTTTTGATTCGCTGCACCTAACGACGAATTTTGAAATGTATAAGTCACTCATTTGAGGGGCGCAAAAATGGTCTGGTTTATATTCCGCCATTTTGAACCGGCGCTGAGCCAATTCCAAACTTCGGTTCGCGTTCGATCGAAACAATGACGTCAAACAGTCATAAGGAAGTCACCAAAACGCTTAACCAATAACCAAAGCTGAAACAAGTTCATGGTTCGGGTTTCCCAAACATGCCGCCAACCCACTTCAAGTAGCCACCTCCAATTGTGTTTGCCATGCCTCAAAAGGCTAATGCTGGTGGCCCTACCTGCATCCTCAAAACAAAAGTCGTTTTAGACCATTTCTGTCCAAGCCCTTTAATTTCTTCTTTCTTTGCTGCAGATAATGTTGCAGCTGATGCAAATGCAGTTGTTTGTTACTAGTTTTACCGTTAAAGGCTAATGCTATTTGCTGCATTATAGGGATAACATGGTTGGTTCTGTGTTGAATACACTAGCCATGGTAGTACATACTTCTGTGAAGTCTTTCTCAACATTTCCAGAGTTTTAATCAATTCCTATAACGCTCAAGGATCGGACTTAAATCAAGCAGCAAAACACATAGCTTGTTTAAATAAACCCTCAAAAGATAATCCGCGCACTGGGTGATGTTGAAAAACTGAACTCCAGGAGTTGTTTTGAAGAAGTAAAACTCTGAAGGCTGAATAACATCGCTTCGTAACATAGGTTTTTTCTGTTCACCGCAAAAACTGTGGTGTTAAAATCAACACTTTTTGGTATTATCGTATGGCCACACCGTAGGGTGTTACTTTAACACTGCTGGTGTTACTTTGCACACCTTAAAGTGTTACAATACCCTGGAGGGTGTTAGAAGTAACACCAAATAACACCGAAATGATTAACACCAGTACAAACACCGGGGATGTTAAATTTAACTCCCCAGTTTTTGCAGTGGTTTTATTGTCGAGCATGCGTGGTGGAATGTCTCAAAAACGATGACTCAACATTAAAATGTAATAAAGTTGTGCATGTATACTAATAGCGTTCATTTGATTGGTTTAGTGTGGCTTAAAACCTGCGTCTATTAAGTAGTGGTGCATTTTCTTAAATCATTTGAATGACAGGCATCATGATGTATTCTTGATCAGAATGGCGTGTTCTACATGATAAAGTAAATTTTGAGTTTTTGATGTGAACCATCAAACCCTTAGAATAGCTGGATACTATGCAAATAAAACAGGCACCCCACTTTTCCAGGTGAGGTACTTTTCATTTGTGTTTACTTGTCTCCATGATTAAATACAGTTGCTACACTGGCCCTTTGCTTTATTATTCGTTAGTTTTGTTTTCTTGTTTGATTCGTTCGTGCGTTACAGCCGCCCCGTACCCGGGCAAGCTTAAGTGGCCGTTTCATGACCGCGTTGTCCAGGGCGACTTGCAGATGAAGGTAGCCGAAAAGAAACTTATCTATAGAGCCTGAAAGTTGACCCCTTATGGCGCACTTCCGGAACCCTCGCGAAAGGAAAAAAAAGCCAAGCAAAAATTTAGAAAATGCAATGTTTTTCTTCCAGTTCCTGTACTTAAAAACTGAACTCATAAAAATGGCTTTTTGTAAGATATTAGCTTGTATATTAATTTATGAAAGCTGAACAAAATTATCTGTTCAAAAAGAGAAATACCCTGCCAAAAATTGACCTATCACTTCCAAAAATCTAAGATACATGAAGAACAGTCAAATGTGGTGTCATGCAGATGAACAACTACAGAATTTGTACACTTAGTAGTCTTTCAAAAAGACAAAATAAAAACAGACCAAAATATTGTAAGGTTTAAGAATTTCTAAGAAAATAAATAAAAATAATTATCCTATTCTACCAAAGATGTTAGTGTCTAATCTTACCTACGACCACAACCTCTCTGGTGTACAAAACACCATTGACCCCTTGCCAGCACTAGACAGCCGTTTTATTATATCACAGTAAAAGATTATACGAATGCGAAGTATAAGGTACTCATTACAGTAAAATACACAGTGCAATTATAAGTTTTTATTCTACGAACCACTTGCAATTTAATCAAAGATAAAAGAGCACCTCTATCAAAGTTGACGTTTTTGTGCTTGGTTCATTTTGTGACAGATTATACGACAGCGTCCGATCACCGTCAAACTTAGATTTGGTTCTACACCTATGTTGGAAACAGTTCTGGTTTCTTTTATGGTCAGTTTACTTCAATTGGTTTGGGTTCCCCGAGATACTTTTGGATAGTCCTTGTCGAATTTCTGGATTTAACTACACAGTAGTTTCAAAGTGACTAACGGGGCATTGCATGTTTTGACTATTTATACCTCGCATAAATACGCCATTCCCCGCTCGTTTTGCTGAGCTCCCTGTGTCATGCGCACGCTCCTCTTCCATGGCCGACGCTTTAAGTACAGAAGGTCTGACCTTCCGTCTGAGATTCCATCAACTTTTTTGCCTGCTCAGAGGCTCCAGGCCAGGGCCTGCGGACCATTTGTTTGGGACTTGGGACTCATGGTGTCCAGGGTTTTTTTTCTCTTGACTGACCAACTAGCTCTAATACATTACATCTGTGATCAAGGCCGAATCATCCAATTTATCCCTTACCGGGAGTTCATTCTCCACCCTGCGGAAACCCAGGTTCCGCGCCCAGCCGGCATGCAAGCACTGCCGCTACATTAACTTGCTTGTAAGAAGACATGCATCACCTTTACTAATATTTGTTAGGAAAAATGTTTGAAGTCACTGAAAAGGAGGTAAGATCTTGTTGCATGTTTCGTTCTGAATTGAAGTTCTTTTCTACACATTTATTTATGAGAAATTTTTATAAGACTTTGTAGTCATCATCATTTGCTATTTGTGAATCATTTTAAAGCATGTATGAAACTCAGTTCATCACTGAACAACCACTTCTTGATAACAATACTCAATTCAGTTCAATTGCCTTTCGTCTATCCAAACAGAAATGTGCGTGAAACTTTTTTTCATGGTCCATTTCCATTCCATCAATGTGTTTAAATAAGGGCAATTTCATTAATTAGGGACACAGTTTGTGACATTTTTGGTGTTTCCTGGGAATTTCCTGAATATTCGAGATACGTCCACGCTGTCCCTACAATCCTTGCAACACGTTGTAGTGTTTGTCCCTGGGCGACGTGGTACCATTTGCAACCACATCCATTAAAACAAGACTCCTTCTCTACATTATTTCTGTACAAGTGACATACATCCCTAAACTACCACTAAGGACAAATTAGTAAGAACAACTACCCTTCTGCAAATTTCATCTCCTTCAGTACAATTTGCTCTCAAACCAATAATCAATTTTTTATAGAGATAACCTCCCTTCGCCATCACCTGAAGTTCTATCTGGAGCTGGATGGTCTGACCTAAGAGGTAAACCATTCTAACAATTCTTCACAACAACCCCCAAACTCACCTCAACAACACATAGAAATTTCGCTCTATCTTAATCACACAGCTTCTTCAACTCGAGTTCAACCACTGTTTTCGAACTCAGTTCTTTATTTAACCCTACAGATTTTCCCGAAGACAGCTTCGGCTCATTTCCATCACCTACGCATACCTCGACTGAAGATACACCGCTGTGCAGACTCTACACCCGATCCAACTAAGCAAACAAAAAATTAGAAATTTACACTCCAGAGTAACCTCTTTAACCTCACTTCAACCTCAATATGACAAGTGATCACTGTCAACACAATAGTCAACCTAACTGACTACACAACAACTTTTAGCCTTTCATTACTTTCTTTGCAAATAATAAAAAAAAAAAAACAAGGTTACAGCAACAGAATTCAATAACCATCACTCTTTCCACCTCCTGTGCATGGTAACCCCTTTAAGAAGCGTGGTATTCATGAATAAGGAATTATAGTAATCAACACGTTAATACTCGCTATAACAAACATGACGGGGTCCACGCTAAGTGTTCGGTACAGCGGTCGTTCGGTATGGCGAATTTAACTGCCGAAGGTTTCGTTGCTATGTTGAACAGTGCCCTCTCTTGTCTAAATGAAGTGCACCCTCTTGTGATACTATATGGTTCGCTGTTTTCGTGATGTTTTGCCATTGCATTTAAGTTTAAGGTTTCTAGAAATGTATCTGTTAATTATTTTTGTTTTTTATTTAATCTTGAGTCACAAAATTGATATCAAGTTTATCGTAAAAGTCGTGAAGCTATCGCTCAGGATAGATCCCTGATGCATGTTGTGGCGAATCTCGGTTGATTTGTGTATCAGCGGCGCCCTCTTTAGACTAGACTATTGTTAGTGCAACGCCACGCTGCGCGTACGTGCGGTTCTGTATTACAAAACGAACCTTTCTCAAAACACCGCGCCATTAGGCAAATAGCCACTACATTTCCATTACAGTAAAAGGCCACTGTAGAATTCTACGTTCACTTAATCCAAATGTTCATTACGATGGTGTTTATTATTATAGTCTCTAATGTATCTTGCAACTAAATCCAAAACGATCTAAAAAATGTCAACCACATCACCCATTTTTAAGACCGCACAGTGATATCCATCCGACCCATCAAGTCTTTCGACCATGTTATGATTATACATTATTTAGTAACATAGTACGTTACTCAGTACAAACATAAAACTTAACAAACGTACTTAAAACGACTTCATAACTACATTGTAACATTTCCAATGTTTTACTCAATGAACCATTTCTTTCACTACGTCCACTTTTGTTTTGTCTCGTAATCTCAAAATATTCCCCCTTTCCTTCTACAAAGTCACCAATGTTTTGCACTTAAAAAATAGCCCCTGTCTGTCAACAAAGAGATCCACTTACTGCCCGACGCCATAATTATGGCGCCCTTAGAAAAACTGTACTTTCAATGAGCCGTACTTGACAGTGGTTCGGGCTAGGTTAGAGGGACTTGGCAGTCTTGAAGCACATTAGTAGCTTACAGATTACAATTTTTTCCAGCTTAATTCAACTGCAGTGTTTATCTATGCCGTTCATGTGTATTTGTACTTTTCTGTTATAAAGGGGCAGTGAAAATCATGCAAGTGAAAAAGTTGTCCTCCAAAGAACTAGGGACTTTGAAAGGCCCCCTCTGGAAACCAGGCAAGACATGTGGCAAAGAATTGTTGAACATCCGGTACCGATTTGAGGGCAAGTCTGTCACGATTCTAATTTTCTTGTCTCCCTACCCCAACCAGCGCCAGTTGCAAGTCTGTGTAGCGCTGACGGCAGCTTGTTATAGCAAAGAGCAACGGTTATGGGAGGTGGCCGGTGACCTTTTGTAAATCAGGAAGCTTTTAATTCACATTTATTAGAGGGCACACAAGTTCATGTACGACCAAGTACATGACAGAGCTCCTCAGTCTAGTCGATTTTCTTGTCGTGACGCGCTGTGCCATACAACAAGCCATGCAGGAAAAGTCTCAAGGTTTGCATCACGTTAAACGAAAGAGCCTCATCCCCAGACTTCCGAGCAGTGCAGTCCCACGTGATAGTCCTTCATTAAAGCCCGTTAGGGCCAAATTTTTTACTTTTTCTTTTTCTTTTTTTTTATTTCATTTTTTTACTTTACGAAACGAAGGATGGTACACGGGCATTGCCGTTTGTAACAAGCAAGACAGGCAATTATTTCGTCACAACTAAAGTAATCCAAGATCAAATGCAGACTCCGTGTGTCCAGAGCCGCGGCAGCCATGATATCTTCCGGAAATTAGAGGGGGGTATGAAGAAGGGGGAAAAAACAAAACTAAACAAAACACCCCCCCCAAAAAAAGGGAAAAAAAATGTTCGCCTTCTGTACTTGCAATACTTGCAATAGGCCTACTTATACGCCCCTGCAATACCTACAGTTTTATTTATATGCAAGTATCCACCCCCTGTGTGGCAGAGAAGATGCATTTTCGTGTTGCAAGTCAGAAACCAATCGCTTGGACTTCTTGCTGCATAAACAAAATTTGCCTGATTTACTGCATAGCGCAGGAAAATTCATTTTACATGTGTTACTTTTGGAAGGAAATCCGGAAATAGGGAAACCAAAAGGTTCTCAACGAAATTCGCACTGAATTAATAAGCCGTCATTACTCTACAAGTAAACTTGCATTAATTTTAAACAAAACATAATTTCATAGACCGAGCCGTTGTTATTGATCACAGATTCCCAAAATAAAGAAATCCACATCACTTCAATTTCAGGTGGTCGAATATAGTTACTTCACGTGTCCTTGAGTTTACTTATAAAGCAACTCACTGAACACATTCGCCTTTTATGACCATTTTGGTGACATGTAGGCCCAAAGAAACAACAACTGGACCCGCAATATCTTGCTCCAGGTAATCCAGATCAACGATGGCACTGTTGAAGCCTTCACTTGTAAAAATTAATTCATTCCAAGAGTGCTCTGTCCCTGTATTATAACAAGTGTAATGACATTTGGATCAGACCCAACAGAAGGTGGCAAGCACAAACAGAAGTGTATTAATGAGTTGACAGATATACAATAACAGCAAAATAAGTCATGCAAATAGCGACGGGATACGTGGTATCTGATGACACAAAGTCGTTTATCTGCCAATCAAGCGCCTTTCCCGTCTGTGCAACTACAGAGTTTCTCTGTTAAACAGTACCTTATCAGCACACCTCGGAGTTATAAATAAACTTCGAGAAGTCAGCATTTCACATCGCAAGAGAGAAAACCGAAGAGTACATTTATTACCGGTACGCGACCAGCAGCCTGACAGTCAGTCATCAGTATGCGTAAACTCATTCTGATCACTTGCATTGCAGGTAAGAGGACATCTTTTTTTATCTTTGTGCAGTGATTCGTGATCGTGTAAATTTTTCTTCAGAGCCCAGGGTGACGGAACTCGGCCCTCTCAACGCAAAGCAATGTAACTTTATCGTTTGAATTTTTGAGGAAAGGACATGTTCGGTTTGCTCTTTCCATTGAGCAAGTTTAAATCTCCTATGATATTTCTGTGTCCTAGATCGCACCTCCTGTCTCGGGCATTTTGGGGTGTGAATCCCAAAATTTTCATTTGTAAGAAGCAACATGGCACTGTTAATTCCCAGGTTAAACCCTCTACCTATATCTGATCCCCGAATACGTACTTTTTATTTTAAGGAAAGCTAATTTTTAACTTAGATTAGATGATTTCAATTTCCGACTGTCCTGTTTGCAACGCATGCGAGCTTGCCTCATTGGTAGGTTTCACATATTACACAGTGGTAGCTGTATACCGTGACGTTATCTATGATTTTCTGGAATAATGCAACCTCATGTGTAAATTTTATTTCCATTTAATATACTTAACGAACACTTGATGATAAAACCTTTTCTTCCAATACCGAACACGCTGAATACTTTTCTAATGAACATACGTTGGTGAAGACAAAGACAGAGCGACTTTGTTCATGAATTTTGTTTCGTAGACATGTTTCGTAGGCTTGTGCTCAACTTTTGTTTTGAAAGTTTTATTACTTGCCAAGCGGCATCTTTTTGTTAACGAATTTACTTCAATGACAAAAGGTGAAATAACTATACGTCCCACGAAGTATATGTCAATGTAACATTTCAGATACCACGAAAACACAAGATGCATTGTTTGGGCATGCAGTTACTACGTAAACAGTTTCCCACAATTGATGTGAATAATTGGAAATATGTCGTTTTCAGGTGAAATGTATCGAGGAAAAAATGGAATTGTTGCAGTATCAAAGCATAAAAGGAATTGTTTGCCCATGAAACTTGTTCGGTCTAAAAAATAAATGCAGAACAGTATAATGCACACTCTAAACCACCCATCTGAAAATAATGAAGGGCAAAAAAGACGAAATATGTAATAAATTTCTTGTAAACCACGAATGAAACCAGATTTATGAATCACATGTAGCAGCCGCTGGATCGTTGCAGACGTTTTCTTCGAAAAGGTCACTTTCAAGGTTCATTGCTTTACCTTGAGAGGGACGAGCTTTGGACGCTCAAAAATATTAACAATGTCATTAATTAACGACCTGGAAAATCGTTGCTAGTGTAGTTGCACCTTGTGTTCTCTAATGGAAATCGTTGAATTAAATTTGTGTTCATTTGCAGACTTGATTTGTGCTCATTCCCCAAAGACTAAATTGACTCATTCCCAAGCCAATGGAAAACAACTTGTTTGTACATGTATTGGGATTTTTGTAACAAAACTAAGCTTTGATTTCAGAAATATTTTCTACAACGAAATATTCTGCAGCTTAAATAATTGGCAAAATGTGTCTGCAACCGAGGTTGAACGTGTCTGATAATGCAAGAAAAATTGTAATTGTGGCATTAAATTTTAACTTGTTTCCTCCAGCAGTTTTGCTGTGCAGTGTCTATGATGCAAAAGGCGAGCCCGATCCTGTTGTGAGTATCTCGGAAAATGTACAATTTTTTTTCGTTGCATTTAATCTTGAAGGGTCCACACGATGAATGTCACACCAAAATTTTGCACATTATCTGTACACTCTTTTTCGATCAGGGCATGCTGTCTACTTACTTCAAGGAGCAGAGATTTTCACAGTTGAAATCAGCGTTTTAACATTTAAATGAAAATTTTGGTTGAAGCAATTGCTCCATGTTTTGACCCCCCCTCCTGTTCTTCCCGCTTTTCAAGTTGTTAATGAGTTACACACACCAAGCAAATCACTGCCTAAGGGCTACGGTTGTTCATCTACCCCGATCATTACAGCTATGAAAATACAACTCTAGGCATGAAAAGTTTGTTTGTTTGGTTTAAACAAAGGAGAACCGCTCCCTCTCTACTTTCTCTGTTTAGCTTCCTGACTTTTGTGGAAAGTATGGAATTCTGCCGGCGTGCCCCCGCATCTTATGGCCCGTGTGTGCTAGCACTGGGACCACCTACGACAATCTCTGCCTTATGTGTGCCGACATGTTAAGAGAGGAGATTCCGACTTCAGTTACCTACACAACGGGTCGCTGCGCCACCGATTAATTGCTGTGTGGATGACGACTTGGGGGAGGAAGTCTACGAGCTGACGACACTTACTATATAATTCTATTAATAAAAATGTCGCGTTGGACTCTTAAAAAATAGTTAAAAAAAAACATTTTAACTTTATTCGGCGCAAAGTTTGAAAGAAATTAAGGTACATAATACAGACCTTTAATTTCTACTTCTTGCAGGATTTCGGTTTCACACATAAAACTAGATCGAATTATTTCCTTTTCGTGGACTAAATAACTCGGTAAATGCAGAAATTCTGTTATCTACCGGATGTTTTAGTAAGGATTTTCCACTGAGTTCAGTTAAATTAACGCGTAGAATTATTGGCATTGAGCTTGAATTCATACTCTGGGGAAGATGATGTTCACACTGATGATTAATGTCTGTGTGCGTTTCGTTTATTTGTTTTTTTCGATTTGAAACGAAAACCGAATATTGAAAGCAATTTTTCTTTTCTGTTTTCAATGTGAAACGGAAAGCAGTGTTGAAAACCGAGTCGTTTCTCGTTTGTAATTTGAAGCAAAACGATAGAATAAGGTCGTTCCTCCTTCAAGAAACTTTAAACCTTTTTGTTTCTTTTTCAATGTAAGAATTAACAACATTGTAATCCATCTATGCACTTTTCGAAAATTAAAGTGTAGTTGCAATGAAGTTTTACTAGACACGATTTTTGTACAACTTTGCACTCTTTTTCAGTGTATGAAAACTCCTTTAATGCACTGAAAATTGCACGTTTCTAAATAATTAAAATCATCTATGCTTTTCCACTGTGAAATTATCTAGAGAAGACATGATTTAGTGCATAAGTGTTTCTGTTGAAATTGTGAACCCAGAATCTACTGACTCAAAACGTTTCTGAGCGAGAGATTGATGCTTTCTTATTCCTATGCACATGAACAGCTATGAATCAGCAAAAAGGAGAAAAATGAGTCCAGGAAACTCTACACAAAGGCAGGACTTTTTGTGTACAAACCAATGTATCACGGGCTTCGTCCTGAGATGACATCACAGTTTTGCTCATGAATATGGAAATATCATAAGCATGACCAGTAATTATATTCCCTATTTTGTTCCTATCAAGACATATTAATTAACACTCACCACTTCAATGGAACAATCATCCATGATGAGAATGAGTATTAAACACGCGCGCTCTTTGAACTTGTTTTCTATGGTTCTCTTTTGTTTTCCAACAGAGGAGGGTTGGTTGGTCAAAAACGAAATAAATTCCTGAAAACAGTTTCATACCGCTGCCAAATGGATGACTGAATAAACCAGGCAAAGTGCACTATACATGCTTGTCACTTTATTTCATATTGAGTACAATGTGTATATTTGTTCATAGCTGAGTGCAGTTTTGGGGTTCATTCGTTTAAATATTTTATTGGTATAGAACACAATACCTATAAAATATTCGGAGGTACAAAGTTGAAATCATGCTGTATCTATTTTCTCTGTCACAGCAGATTTGCAGAAAGCACTGCCATAATGTGGTGTCAAGTCTTCCAGTGATGACATATATCTGATACATGTACATGAAATTATAGGATACATTTCTCATTAAGACAATTAAAAACAGAGTAGCCTTTATAAAAAAACCCAAGTTGTCACTTTTACTTCAACATGAAATTACATGAGAGACAATGCTTTAATTTATAAAAATCGATTGAGAAAAGAAATATGAAAAAAATCATTTTGTCATTGATACCTCATGTTAGCAACCTACATATTCCAAATTGTAAAAATACCTTTGTACTGTAACAATGTTGGTACTGAATATTCTGCTCATGCCAAAATAACCATCATGACCATACAATTATGTACTTTCATGTCATAAAATAACCAAAATAACCATCATGACCGTACAATTATGTACTTTCATGTCATAAAATAACCAAAATAACCATCATGACCATACAATTATGTACTTTCATGTCATACATGTATAACCATGAGCAATCAAAACAGGTCAGTTACTAGTTTATTTCAATAGATTCCTCTTACGTTCTTGTACCATTCTTCCTTTCCTTCAACATGCATGCAGATTACCCATCGTGTAGCCTTACCCCCTAAAGGCAATACAAGGTTGAAATTAAAAAATGTTTGAACCTTTGAAAACGACCTCCCCAAAAATACTTATTTCTGGATCTGTCCTCAGACATGACACTTCTGAACTTAGTATGATATAAAGGAAAGCAGCTATCCTTGGACGAGCCTTGGCCAGTCACCTCTGAATACATCAGCAAAAAAGTCAGTTCAAATTCCTGATGAAAAATTCTTATTGCTGCAGATCAGCATGTCACTGAGCTGAAAGAAAAGCAGATTTAAAAGAACTTTAGACTATTGTGATTCCAAAACAAGAAATAGATTTTCCGGCTATACAGGAGATATGGCCAGGCTGAGCCAGAGATTAAAGATCAAGTCTTGAAAAGTGAAACAAAGTTGAGACCGAAAAGATCAGCAAAACAATTTGTTTGGCTTCAGCAATTTCTACATTGGGTATGGAGAACATCTTCAAGTTGGCAATGAATACATGCAGCAGAGCCATTGTCAGGCATAGAGGTGAAAAACCAAAATGAATTTAAAAATGTTTCAATACAGGTGATTCACAATACATTGCACCACCACAAGTTTGCTGCAGACAGGCCCCTTTTCCAAATTTATTGTCAGTACACTGCCCTGATTAAGCACATTCTGGTGCATAGCTTGGGGATATTTGATTGATTGAGTTGTTTCCCTACACCACACAAAACGACCATTTTGGCTACCTAACACAATAAGCAATTTCGAATTTGCAACCAATATAAACCAACAATCTGAAAAATGCAAGGTTCCCATGCACAGCGCAGTTAATGAATGAGATTTTGGCAACTATATAGCCCATAATGCACTATGAAAAGGCCTCTCCATAAAAACCTCTTGGTGGCACACTGCATCATGAATCGCGTATATTTTTGTTGTAAAATGTTTCCCTTTTTGTTGTAAAACAGAATATTTGTAAAACAATTCAACTGAATTTATCATATCATTCAATTCATTAAGGAGGTTACAGTCAAGAATACTTACAATTTTCTCAGGACAACTTCCCAACAAAAAGCGTACCTCTCCATATGCATCTCGTTGAAGGGTATGTCATCCCGTGGATCTCAAGCAGGAAAATTGGCCTTGGATTCCAAGGCTAACAGGGTGGGGAGTATGTTATGCCAGATTGAACATTATCAGATCAGACATCAAATTTGATAAGTGGAAATCCTCAAAAAACAAAATTTATATGTGTACCATTAAGCATCACAGTAAGTTCAATCAATTTAAAAGTGACGAAAAACTGACGGATATAATCTGAAGGTTTACATAGTGAGGTGACAATATGAAAACATGTTTGTAGTCATAGGCCTACGTGTATCAGAAAGAGTTCTATGCATGCATACATATACGGACGCTATTTGACACCCTGTGAATATATCAGAAATGGTCAGAAATTTTGCAAGTGATTTTTAAGTAAACGACTGGTTTTTCCCTTCCAAATTGAACTTTTCCTGACATGTTTTTGCTCTGTGATGGCTAACAGGTCACGATAGGGAACAATTACTGGCGCTATATAACATGCCTGGCCCACATGAACTGGACAAGGACTGTGAGTACGACCATCGACGAGGCCACTCAAGTTCCCAATTCCAGATCTATAAAGCATGACCATCTATCTTTAAATAGTGCAGTTTCAAACCTCTCTTGATCGACTTACTACACATCTGGTGCAGCTCCCCTCACCTTGGCGCGGTTTGCCGCTGTGTGGATTTAAATGATTTTTTCTTCTTTTTCGGTACGTACATATACATTGTGAGGAGGGCGCTGCAACTGTTGAAGACACGTAAAATAAAAACTTACCGCTCTCTTCAACAGGGCTTCTTGCCCTTATGAATTTCATTCCACGCCTTAGTTTTGTTTTTCCAAACATAGTTTTTTGGTGGCAGGTCCGGGAAAACTGGAGAAATATGCTATTATTCACCTCAAAAACTATTGATTTTTGCATTTGTATCAATAACATTCGCAGTAGACGTCGCCGATCAAAGCCCAAATAAGAGAGATATTGGTCGTTTTGAACTTATACTTTCACAAATTAAATTGGAAAGTCTGAAATTCAAATCAGTTGGAAAGAAAAAACGAAAAACGTCAATTTAGAGATGATGATACCCAAAACATTCTGATCTCAAAACCGCGATCACTCGGCGCCATCTTCAGTTCGCACGGGCACGAAACAATTTGGCGCGCATGCGCACAAACCAAATGTCCCGCTGAAACATAAAGAGAATAATAATATTTTGACATGAAGACAATAAAAAAAAATGCTGGATTGCCCCAAAGAAAGGTGAAGTCGCACCTCTCCTGTCATTCACTTTGCTGTACCTAAGTGATCAATTTCAAACGAACCAGAACACAACAGCTTCAGTTTAAGCGTAAACTCGACGACCCACTGCTGTTAATAAATTCACGGGGGTCAGAATGACGGTGCTGTTTGTCGAAAATGGAAGAAATCCTTGGGTGATCATGGAGGGAGAGAGATTCATACGGTCTGGGAACCAGGCTATGATTCGATTTCAGTTCTGTTCGTCTGTTATGGATAGGCACCCTCTGCCGTTTCTGCCATTCGGCTGTATTTGCCAATGCAGGTAGTCTCCCGCGTGTCGTACATAGACAAAATATTCAAATCCGGCTCTAGCACATAACTATCTAGGTAGAGGCACAAGTAAAGCTTGTAGTAAAAGTCAACTATAAGAGTGTTTTCTTGCGAAAGAAGTATTATCTGTTTAAATGTCGAGCAAAAAGTGCACTCCCTCATCTAGTTGGTGTACTATATTACTTGCAGTTTTTAACTGTGATGCGATTGATATGGACGTTGTTCAGTGATGTTATTTTTCATATTTCAAATTAAAGTGATGCTGGTTCTTACTGTAGATTTAGTCTATCCATTGTATTACAATACGCTGCACTTTTTTAACCCAGTGCTGTCTGAAGGACGTGTCGATGCTGGGGTTGAGGTTGAGTTTAGGTCTTTGGGATCCTTTCATCTCTTTTGTGGAGTCTAGTTTGAAAGGATTCATGCTCCAGTGGGCCTACATAATTTCTGGTGAGGATTACCATACCTACATGAAATCCGATCATCTAAGCGCCTTCCCGTGGACCACACATCTGTCTCTGTATTTATGTTCCATTTTCCGATGTTATCAAATTTGTTATTGGCACCTCTAGGTTTACATAACAAGGCATTGCAGTTGCCATGTCCGGGCATATTGTATCGCCTTTTGCACGATCGACAGGTAATGACTCCGCCAGAGTGGCAGACTGGATGACGTTTGATCACAAGTTGTCCTTGATATGTAACATTTGTGTGTCACTCCACTTCGGCTTACATCTGATCACATTCCATCCAAGTTTATTTACGAACTATAAACAGTGGTAATAAAAGGGCTGGGTTGCCAAGACATAAACTGCATCTTCATGTCAGCCAGTGAATACTGAACACAACATTGCTCGATATAGGTGTTCACATTGTCAACATTTTTCACCAACTCTCTCAAAGATTTCCACTGTGAAGCCGCCATGCATTTTGTAACTTGGGTTATGTGCATAGCTGGTGAGTAAATACATATATGTATTTTTTTTTAATCTTTACGATAGGACTATATGTCTCTTCAAATAAAAACATTACAAATCCATTACTGCAAGAAACTGAATGTTCATTTTAAAAGTTGGGGTCCCTGCTCCGTCACGGTGGAGTTTTGTTCCTTTGCCCAAAACAGAATTCAGTAAGATATGAACTCAAAATAACACAAGAATTATACGAAATAAGAATTGCATGAAACCTTGTCTCTGAAAAACGTATTAGCAATTTTTTTTACTTTACAACTTTTTGTAAAGTGATAGTACCTGCACTTTCGGAATATATGAGTGCTTTTGGCAATCGCTTAATTATATTTTGATCTTTTTAATAGTTGATGTTAATTTAGTAGTTAATGCCGTCTTTCTCTGTTTTGAAAATTCTCATGCTGCTACTTGACCTTTTGAAATTCAAAGGCAGTTCTTCGATAAAACCGGAAGAACATGGTAGTAATGTCCTTATAGCAGTAAGTTTAAACTTAAAATATCTTCCGCCTTGTGCATAATGAAGAAACTTTGCTGAATGGAATGAGTTTACGTGTCCAGTCATCACCATGAAGTGATAGTTTACTGTTTGATAACCGTAATTTTCAAGAAACCCATGTTGATATTTCCCCACCTTTCTTCTTAATTCTGACAGAAATGTATGGAAGAGATAAAACATTACAAATTCTTATGAGTCATTGTTTCGCTGACTCTCAGTACCTGTGTGAGATTGCAAAGTCGAGAAAGAAAATTCTCTTTGTAATTGAAGCAGACCGTGCGAGTGCACAATTCGTGAAATTGTAGAATGTGGGTAATAGATTGATATCATCTCTTAATTTGTAACTGATAGCGATTATGTTCTCTCCTTTTGCTATTTAGCTGCATTGACAGTGCTTGTCCAGGATGTGGACTGTCAACACCAGGTAAGTGCAGAAGGTGTGATTGATAAAAACTCAAAACAAACCACCAAGAGTTTGACGTTTAGTTTTTCATCCACCAGTCGGACGCTATAGGTCCACGTGTTTGCTGCTACCTAGTTTTACTTTTTCAAGTCAAATCTGAAAATTCAAAATTTTAGTCAAACTTTGGAGAACATCATGCACTTGGAAATTCAACAACAAGTATTCGAATTCGCGCGGGCACGCCCGCAGTATGTGTTTTGGCGTTCAATATCGTGAATCGGCAAGCATTTGTGAGATTCGTGCAGTGTTATTCATTAAACGTTAAAAATCCTCCATTTCTTTTTTTTTCTTTGCGACTTATTTATGCAAAATATCCAAGAAAGAAAACGTTTGTTTCACGGGTAGAGATTTTTTTATAAAAATGCGATGTTGTATATCACACAAAAAGACAATGTGGCGAGGTGTCGTAAAAGGTTGAGAAGAATGGAATAAAACATGCAAGCAAGAAAAACATATTTAAAAAATACTGTGACAAAAAGAAATAAGCAATTGTTTTAGAGAACCCCAAAAATCTTAGCATACATGCACATTGACGGAGAGGGCGGTCCTTGTGTATGAAATTAAAAAAAAATTACAAATCCATCTTTCAGCCTTCGTGATGAAGGTCCATGGAGATTTTAATCTCTACATTTTGACGGGTAATCAGTACTGGAGCAAATGTGCTGTATTCTTGATTTCTAATTTGTTTGAAGTACCGGTATAACAGAAATACACCTTCAAGTTAATACGTGGGACACACTTCTCGCGTATTTTTTCATGTTGTTATCTCCCTATCTGTTTTAAACGCATTTTAATTTGCCGTATATTCCTCTTAACTCGAAGTTTCCAATTTGAATGCTGAAAACGCGAACATGATTGCCCATAGACGAAGACGAAAGTAAAATTCGGGAGGAATTTCTCATTTCAGTCACCAAGCTCGAAATCGACTCCTGGTTATGCACTGTTCAATTGAATGAAATTAGTTCTAATTGAATTAGTTACATACACTGTTCAACGCCTGTAAACGAATTTGAAGATTCTGCCGGTTAAAAACTTAACATGGAAGCAGCCAGCTGTAAAAAAAATTGTTGGAATACACTGCAGCAGCTAGGGTTTAATTTACCCCATGGTGTTAAATTGAAGATCACTTTTTTTTCCCTGTCCGGCGTGTTTTGTAACAGTGTACCGGTATACTCAGTGTTACCACCGAAAGCTTGAGAAAACTACCACAAACGTACTCGGGTGGGACTCGAACCCACGACTCCGTGCTTATCGGTGCAGAAATACCAGTGCAGCCCATCCTCAGATATAGTTGGGAATCAGTTCATAAATTAAAGTTATTCTTATTAGTCGTAAACGATTGATAGGCAACATTTCGCGGAGGCACGCAACATAAAGCTAGAATGCATGGTGTTGGGGGAATGAAGCAATATTTGAAAATTTATGAATTTTCACTTTTTTGACTTTGACCTAATAAAATTAACGAAGAAGAAGAAACTTTGTGTTGGCATAGCGCCAGACGTAAACGTTGGTATCAATAAATGGATGCAATATCCCTTGCCACCGGCTCATTGCGTTCTGCGTCACCTCAATTAGTAGATTCCTTGTGTGCGCCTGTAAGGCGATGTTAATGACCACTCGCGACAGGAACATACGATAAAATGGCTAGATGAGTGCGTAAAAAAGTGAAATATTGAGCCAAATTTGGAATTGATAATTCACAAAAAAGTGACTTTCTGACACGAAAGGTATTTATGACATGGAATAAATACGTGTGCTTGGCAATCCCAGAAGTCGTGTCCTTTCTTCTGAACCGGTCTGAAGGCCGGCCAGGCACATATATTTATTCCCTTATTGCAATACGACAGTTGTTTTGTGAATTCTTACATTACCCTATTTCACGTGTACCGTCAGTGGTAGAAGATTTTTTGCTCACCAGCCCAATTGTGACCGTTAAGCTGTCATAACAGACGCTGTTGTCGTCGTCGTCGTCGTGGCATCTGTATGGAAACCCCGTGTGCGCTTTTGACAGCCCAATGCATGGGTGTAGTCGCCTAGTGAGTCGGGGTCTTAAAATCCCTTTTTTATATATATTTCTTTAAAGCCTGATACCGCTGATTGCAGTCTCTACACAAGTGGCATCTGCACGCTCATTTGGGCTCCAGTGTGTACCAGCACGGGAGTCACCTACGCAAACTTCTGCGTATTTTGCGGGGCTTATAATAGAGGTGACGAGCCAGCTTCGGTGACCGTCCAGAACGGCGAGTGTAAACGCTAGAGGCTTCGGTCGTCATCATGGATCTATCGCTGCTGCTAAATGACACCATTACCGTTAACTTTCATCAACAAATTTCTTATTGCCTGTAGGGCGGGATAATCCGCCAGAAGTATATTAGACGTTGTGCCCCGGGCTTCAGAAAACCAGTAATTCGGGCCCCATGAAAATACAACTGTCAGAAAACATACCATCATTTCTGACGTTAGAATATTCCTGCTTGCATTATCGGTCTCGGGAAAGCTTGATCAAAGAAGCTAGATAATAGCGTACTGCAGTTTAGCATCAAAACGAAGTATAAAAGGCCCACCGCTTTCCAGCACCAAGAAATAATCGATGCAGGCAATTTGTTCATACAGAGCCTACCTAACACTTAATACAGTTCTGCTTAACCTACACTTGCTGGAATTAATGTGTTTGAGCGCTCATTTTAAGAATAACTGTTTCGTGCCATTCTTCTTCGGGTGTGGGTGTTTACAATGTAATTTGCCCTGTGTAAAATAAACTAAACAAATTGAGATACTTTCCCACGAGAAGTCCTTTGTCTAATATTATTTTCCCTTTCAAGGTTGAAAATAGAATAGACTTAAGATCCCTGAAATGGATAGAAATCATACGCAAGCCATTAAAACTGTAAGCCTGGATAAATTTCATGTTGAATATTAACTGTTGTTATTTGGTTACAATTTCGTTCCTTGTCTATGTTCGTGTGTGAGTTAAACGGGCGATGCACAGTGCAGAGCACCATTTTTCGCGGGGCTTTGTGCGAAATTTCTCACAAATTCTATTCCCTGGCCTCTGGCGGGGAAATTTGATTCTTTCCAGCGTTTGTCGTGTTTATTTGTTAGAGTAGAAGAACTCCGAATTTGATGTGGATCTCATCTGGAGGCTACTCGTACCACAAAAGTCTAAGCAACTCAAACAATCCACGAATTCAATTGCGTTCGGTCTTTCTACCGCTTAAAATCTCAAATTCTTGCAAAACCCTAGTCATTGGGGTACGACGGACTCCATTTAAGAGGGCAAATGGGTTATTCTATAGATTTTGGGTCCAGTTTTTCCTTGTTAAGTCTGCCCTATGATTTTTTTAATGTTTACAACTCATTGTTTAATTTCAAAGACTGAATAAGTACTGCAAATTACCTTCCAAACAAAAAACAATAGTTTGAAGTCAATTGCAGTGATACATTCCTTACCAAACATGTCAGATGGTATACGTGTCAGAGGACCACTAAATTTATAGAACGAACTAAAAACATTTTCCTGGTACATTCTGCGGCAGGTGGAACTTTGCTTTGTCAAGGAAAGTAATTGTGGAGTCTGTAACGAAGTTGCAAGCACTTATTCACTCATTTTGGTGAGGCGATGAGGGATAGCGCTCAACCAGTGCCACTCGGCATCGTTCACTGGATTAACCAACAATGATTCACACTCATGAGGGAAGTTGTTGCGGCAACCAAAGAGCTAATCTGTGAAGAATTTGACCAGTTGCTTGGTCATTTGTTTCTGATTCATCCTAATCTTTCATTAGAATGTGCTGCCACTGTTGATTAATTAACATATTACTGTAGGGAACCGTACCTGCGTAAGGCACACTTATCTTTCCAATACGCGTCACGGAGGTAATTAACATAAAGTTTATACTTTTAAGGCGCTTCTTGTGCACGTAGGGTGAAGGTGGTTGCAGGGAGCATGGCCTCGGCCATGCTCCCAAGTGTGGGAAAGTGTCAATGCTAGAAATCCCTAGTAAGTACTTATCATTGTTTAAATACTTTACACGATCTTCTGTCGGACAAATTGTACGATTGTGGTAACTGCTTTCTGTGTTACAACGTGCCCCAGCTGTATTAGTGTCAGCCTTTGACCATCCATTGTATTGTTATTTACGGTGCCATCTAGCCATTACTATACACCAACTGTTTTCCTATTTAATAAGCTGTAGTTCTGGAGTTAGACATCATTTAGTGTTTACGTGTTCTCCAAGTGCTCGTCCGCTTTAATTAGGGGACCGTTCCTCCTTCCTCCCACCGTCCAACTGACGTGGGGCTTTGTCTGCTACATTACCATTTCACATCGGTAGTGTTTGACTACAATAAAATAGTGTTGTCATGACCAACCATGAATTGGACAATATTTTTAGCAATAAGATTCGTTTAAAGCTAATTTATTTTGATCTTTTAAACAAAACGTTTTGGTGCGTTCCACGCCATAATGTGCACGAACCTGCATGCACACGTGATGATTATCAGTATAAGACGGTTTTTAATCGAGGTTTGGAGGGCAACATGTATCGAGAAGCTCTTGGACCGAACTGACCTGAACCAAATCAAACCCCAAACAAAAAGAAACAAACTTAATCCAAACCAACAAACAAACAACAGACGAGGGAAGATAGTTTGAGGTAACATTTTCATCAAACTTACCGCTTGTGTGGTGCAGTTCCCACCCCTTACAACCACTGACAGAACGACTAAAATAATAAAACAGTGAGGGTGAAATTATATGTTGTAAATAAATTGCAGACACGAAAATAAATCAAATATTTTGTGAGCTGCCTCTGCGATGTGTTTTATAAATGTGCGAATAAAACATTTTAAAGACAACTGAGTGGAGGGCCGGATCTCTAAATTGGCACAGTAGGCACTGTACTCGGAGCGTTCGAAAATTTGGGCGCTTACAAAAACTCGAGGGCCTACTCAAGAAACCCGTAGATGTATCGTGAACCTTGCCTTCAGCCTTTGATTTTGGTTAAACTTGTGCCCAGCTAGTGCATTACTTATTCTACCGCATGTAACCTGATTTTGGTGGAAACAATGCCAGTCCAATAGCTTGAAAAGGTTGAAGGAAGGTTCCCTTACATCTGATGGGCAATATGTGACAAAGGGCGACCCCCTCTATTGTGTCTTCTTTTGTGTTGACGGAATCATTGGAATTCCTTTCAGATTTTCGGGGGGGGGGGTAGTCTTAGGGTATACAGCTTTGGGGTCACTGTTTGCCACATATCGTGCTGGGTATATTCCCTTGGCAAACATAATGATAAACTAAAGTACTCTGGCATTAAAAGTTGGTTAATGACGAATTTAGACATATAATACATGTCGAAATCTAAGCCCCAATTCCCTCCCCAAACCTAAATCCCATGCTCCTAATGATTAAACCTGTCAATTTTGCCTAGCCAGGGATCCTACATTCCAGATATTCAGTTGACTTTCTGAGACAAGGTTTATATAATACATGTAATTGACCTTTATGTGAGGTGCGTAAATTCGTGTCTATTTCAGACTTTCTTGTATGCCTAAGCTACAGGCAGCGCTACTGCCCTGCTGAACGTAATTCAAATAAGTGTGGCAATAGCGCCGCAGTTGCGCTCAACAGTCGCCGTGCCACTGCGGTTCAAAACATCCTGTCGAGCTGAAGGAATGGCCGCATCTAATGTAATATTGCAAACATAATTCATGCTAAGGGCATTGATCTGCTAAATTTATAACGAAATGTATGTAAGTTCGACATGGCATAAAATAACACGGCACATAACCAAGGCCAAAGCCACTAAACCTGAATGCTTTCACTGGGCATACTATTGCAAATTAGGCTGCAATGACCTATACATCTGGGGTATCGGTCCTATTTTCTTAGTTATTTGGACAGCTTCAGTGTAAGATAACAATTTGAAAGAAAAGAACGAATAACTGTAACCTACCTGCCAAGCAGGCAACCCAAGCAGCAGAATGCATGGTGGCTTAAAAGTGGACAGAAATCGGCTAAATATGAAAATATGTAACTGCTCAGAATACCAAGACCGAATAAGATCGAGTTTTTAGTATTCAGCACTTGGCCTGTACATGTCTAGGTAGAGTTCAGTGGTCGTAGCCTGCTGTTTTTCTCGGAGTGGGCAGGCTGCACAATAGCATGGGATGTAATACGTTTCCAGAAAAAGTAATAGAATTACAGACAATATTTCATATAGATGTAGCATAATTCTGTTTGACACAGCCGGACGGACACATAATTAAGTGTCTCTGACAAGATATGTCACGAAGGACTGCTGTTGTGTTCCCTAGAAACCCAAAGAGTGATGGCTTCAGATTGGCCTGTTGAAGACGCGATCCTGCTAGAATGAAACAAAAATAAGGAGACAGATGTTTTGTCATAATGGAGCAGTGTCGTGCTACTTACTGCCAATCAGAATACCGACAGCATACCAAATCGAGCTAAAGGGATTGTCGTATCGAATGCATTTTGCCGAGTCTTGTCTGCCTCTTGGACTACCCCAAGCTAATATATTCCAGCTTAGAGACAAAACATACCCTGCAGTGCATTCTATTCTACATTATTCAGCCCACTGGAGTCCAAAACTTACAAAAGTCTAGATTCACCATGGCCTCACTAATCCTTAGATGCACTGAATGAAGGGAAGGAAATTCGTCAACTATTGGCTTTCCGCACCTGAATCTAAATAAATCAGCTGGGGAGAAAGTGACTGAAACACTCTACTCCATAGACACACACCAAAATAAGTATACCAAAGTCTGGGAAAGGAAAAGTGTAAAAGGAAAAAAAAAATTGTCTCATTATATACAGATATTGCTCAATATGTTCAAATATAACAATTCTGAAAATTATCCAAATCTTGCCCCTGTGGTGATATTGTAAAGGGCACATTTTTCTTTATCAAGGAAATTAAGTTGCATACCGATACCGATTTAGCATGCAAGGGAAATGTCTGTTAGAGAAGGTGAGACTTGCTATCGCCCTAATGCTTCGTATTTTGTGCGATTCTCCCTTTGTCCGCACCTTACAGGACCTCTTCCTGCGCAGATAGCTGTTCTAGCATAAAAATCAGAAAATTGCCCAAATTTGGCCATCTGATGATGTAGATGTCCTGTCCATTGATATGTTTTTACTCTCCATATTTGCAGTAGCCAATGGAATGAAAGCGTAAAGAAGACAAGAGTTGCTCTCTCACTGCTTCGTATTTCTTTGCAATTTACCTTAGTTCACCACTTACACGGCCTGTTCCTGCATCAATCCTTCCCTTCGAACACAGAATCTGAAAAACGTCCAAATTTGGCAATCACGGTGGCATCTAGAAGGACATATGTTTCTCTATCCATTGATGTAAGTTTCCTAAAAATATTTGCCAACAGAAGGGAAATATCCTCGAAAGAAAGCAGATGTTGACCTACTACTTCGTATTTTGCGCAATCGTTCCTATGTGCACTCGGAATACTGGCCTCTTCCTGCGCAAGGGGTGGCTTTCTCTATTCGAGCATAAAAATCCATCTAACTGCTCAAAACCAAAATTCTTGGGGGCATCTAAAAAAGCCCTTGTTCTTTTGTTCAGTGATGTTACTTTCATATTTATATTGCAGCAGTTAAGGACATAGCCGAGAATGATGGTGAGGGTTTTGATCGGCCCTGTTTTCAGTTTCAATCGATTCCGCATTGTTACCATATGATTCGTTTGATTTTGATCACTCTTTGGACTTTATACCTGAGTATATTCTGATAATGGTCAAAATCGGCCATCGTCTTTTATCATCGGAAAAAGTACATGTTTCCCTATTCAAATGATAGATGTTTTGTTTCCACCTCTCGAAATGTCACAGAAATATTCGGATGAAGGTTGAGAGTTTTGCTTCTTAGTTTGTTCGCACGTGGGATCGTCTGGGCATGGTCGGAGCAATGTTCGGTCTCAACATCTGAGTCTAAATGGTCTGAAATGGTCCAAACGAAGTGTTGTCTTGAAGTCATTGGAATGGGTAAATGTTGACATGAGTAAACCCGAAACGCAGTCGTTCATTTTTAGACGGTTATTTATGTTGTCCATAAACGATCTATCCATCAGAAAATGCTTCATTTCAATATTTCCGGATGGAAGACAAACATCCGCAAATGAATGTGGTAGTTTGGGTCAGCCATGCATTCCTACCTATACTGCAAAAACTGGGGTATTAAATTTAACAACCCCGCTGTTATCAAAGGACTTCACCAACAATTTACACCGGTGTTAAATATTTTGGTGATTTTTTTCAAAACTCGTGGTGTTACTTTGTACCCTCCAGTGCACTTATTGGTGTGCACCAGCTTGCCATGCCATGTGAGATAATAGGCTCACATTGTGCCTTATACTATAGGCCTGTTGCCAATACATGTACAGGCAAAAGCTCTATAATCATACCTCAGACATGTTACAGATTCTCGTGCGCAAACATACGAACACAACACGTCATTCCACGAATAGCCGCGCTGAATTAATACATATATTCCAGTGGCAAAATGTCATAGCACTCCACGAGGCTTGAACTTCGGTCAAAGATAAGTACAAAATACACATTAGTTCTCCTCCGGTTCTTTGACGTCTTTCCCTTTCTTTTGGTGTCAAACCCTGCAGTTTAGCCGGCGACACTGTTCTACTTTGCAAATTTGAATACAAAGGCAAAGAGTACACTGCAAAGACTGTCTAGACAGTAAACACTTTAAAATTGTAAACAGATATTAGATATTTAATGGATTGTATTTAGCCACTGGACATTGATGTTTAGGACTTGAACACTAAATGTTTAGCCTCCAAACATGTTTGCGAAGTGATAGCAAAATTGTGTTCAAAAGCAAAACACACTTTTAGAGTGTACCATTTTTAATCCGTCAGGTGAAGATTTTGCTTTTGTTCGCAGTATTTTTAATGGTGCATGTATCCCCCCATGTTAACAGCAATCTGCACATCCTTCACATGTTGTCTTTAAGGGAGATCCTGCTCGGATGACACTTTCGGCCCCCTGTCCCTTTCAATCGGCATAATGCGGGTCATTATAGCCAGTAATCAGTTTCAAACAGTAAATACGTTGAGAAGAAGTTTGTAAGTTGGGATCACTGTGTAGGGCTGAATTTCGGTGGGGAGAACAATGAGAGTACCAGGATATGTTGTTTGTTGTTGTTGTTTTTCTTTTCTTTTCTTCCAAATGTCTGGTGAAATGGCTGATGGATCAACTGTTCACGTGACAGTATACACCCATCAATGCTCATGACAGTCAGGTATAATACATGTTAATTAAAGCTCTAACGTAGAGGGGACCGACTGGGTGATGCTATCCTCTTGGTTCTCTCAGTGGGTGGAGCAGACTAGCTTGACCTCTCGACTCCAACGCTGACGGTCTTGTGCTAGGCCCTTGGCAATATCTCTGTCCACTTCCACTGGATGAAGGTCAGCTGAGATAATGTCACGTACGCCACCTATAGTGTGTGGCCTGCTTTGTGGTTTGAACGGGATTGAACGACATGACGCGCGCGTGACGGCTCTCGTGGGGTGATCAGAGGATAAGCGGAAGAGATGCCCGAGCCAACGAAGGCGGTGCTGTGGTGCCAGACGTGACGCAGGAGGCTGAAAGGTTCGCTCTCGAAGCTCCACATTGGAGACATGCTATGACCATGCTTTTAACCAGAGTGCTGTTAAAAATTGGTTGCAATTGATTCAAGCAGATATTTTTGCTGTGGTGGTAATCGTTATCGTTCCTATGCTCGCAGGCCTGAGCGCTTTCCAGCAATCCTTGGGGAACACAACATCCCCCCGTTTTTGTCAGAGCGGTATGTCAAATTTTGATGTTTACCAAGGTACTAACATGACGAGCCTTCAGCTTCAAAACCCTCGTATTTTCGGCATGATGATTAATAGAAACTGATTTAGAACACGACAAAGTAAAAACTCAGCACTGATAGTATGTATATTTACATATTCCTAGCTAAAGACTGCTAAGAAACTGCGTGACGTAGTAATTTGTTGACATCGAGATACGGAATTGGACAGCCGCGATAGGAACTGTGTGTAACGTGGTAGGATACGTGACGTATGTCAGGTTTATGCAACTTAAAAACAAAAAGATTCCTTGAACACGATCCTGAAATATTTCTGTTGCAAACATGGACGTGGACTCGAGCCTGAAGATCGTCGGCCTCTGCAGCTGGGTACAACTAATCAACCTTGCCACCTTCGGCCTTCACTTTTCGTTGGGAGCCTTACAACTCACCGCTATCGCCCTCACGATAGATCAGTCAGTGGAACACTACTGCAAACCCCCGTCTGGATTTACGGTCAATGAGACGGCTCCTCTGATTAACAGAATTAACGACCAGCCGGTTCGCGACGGATGTCACATGTACGTTGTCTTCAATCGGACACTGACAGATAATGTTACCTCTTGCCAAAACGGTTGGGAGTACCCAAGAGTAGAGTTGGGAGAAACCAATACCTTGACGGACGTAAGTTGATTTCTTTGCCCCAATTGCTTGTCGGTAGTGAATTGTTTTTTCTAAAAAGAAAAAATACCACTAATAATAATCACAGCCCTTCAATCGTGAAAGGGATTGCCATCAAGTTGTTAGAAGATACAGACTAGTCAGATACTGACCAGTTTTATCCTGCCGGCGCCTTGCCCGTGGGAACATATCGGTAAATTTGTTGGGAATTGAAAGTAGAAAAAACAACTCGATTTCCTTGGGTATGCAGGGGAATCATCACCACAGGGAAGTACGGACGACTGCTAAAAGGATTACTTCAAGACTCAAACTCTGCACACGCCACTGGTTCTGTCCATGCTATATTCTTTTCTTCTCAGTTTGACCTTGTGTGTGGTAGAAACGTTTTAGCAAGTACTCTGATGTCCCTCCATTTCGCTGGTTCCCTCGCCGGTTCCTTCTTGACTGGTCAAGCGGCAGACTTGTCTGGCAGGAGACCTGTCGCCGTCATCTGCTTGGTCTTGATGATTATACTCGGCACAGCCATCAGCTTCACCTGGAACTTGGAGCTCATGCTGGCACTCAGGTTCCTTCTAGGACTAGTTTTACCGGTAAGGATCGGGAACCAAAACAAAGTTTTCTTGCGCTAAAAATATGCGTACATAGGCAGGGTTAAATCTTAGTGTGTAGTCACTTTGTGTCCACGAAAAAATACGTGTGCCACAAACGCCTTCCAATGAAATTGTCAGGGGAAATTGTTGCCAATTTTACAACTCCTATAGCTCTGTCAAAATTGGTCCAAAACACATCCCCAATCAAACCCTCCTACACACAAGCAAGCGCAATTTTCCCCACAGACCTTTGAGAAATACGCATCTGCTGTAGCCTCAGAAACCCGTGCTACACAAGTTTTAATTTGGTCCCATCATGAACGCACCACATGGTCTTCAAGTCCCACATGACATGGCATGAGGCAGGAGTTGATGATTATTGCTACATGTACAGCTGATAAAGTTGGTGGTAGGCAGGCAGGCACTAGTGGAATATAAATACAGGTATGCACCTTGCTTATAAATGTTTTCGTGTCCTAACGTGCAACTTGACTTGAGTTGTCCAACCATGCACATAACGCACAAAACCCGTCACAAAAACTTCCGAATTAACCAATTAAAATCCCATATGTTTTCACCTTAAATGAATCTACAGACTCACTGATTGTGTTGAACCAAATGTGTCAAAATTTGGGACCTTAAAACCCTGTTAACTTATGTTACATACGAATTACTTTGCGAATCATGGGGAATCTTCACCTTTGACTTAAAAGTTTGTGTATCACCAGAGGGCGTCCTAACAGATTGCTGGTGAAATATCCTGTTGATCAAATCACTTTCAATCGCTACATACAAACATTAATTAAACCTAAAACCCCAACCTCAAATGAAGAAACAACAATTAACTAAAAACAAAAAATAACATTTTGCCGCTACATCTACTTTACTATATTAACCCGATATGGTTGACATGAAGCTTGCATATTGTGACGTCACGCCCCTCCGGCTTTGAGGAGGGTACCCTCCCCCTCAGAGCATGACGTCGGACGACACGAACCGGCATGAGTCCGTTGCGATGGAAGTATACCATCCAAGTCCAAAACTCTGTTAACTGGGGTATTAGGCACCGGAAGGTCTGACGTGATTGGCCCGGTGCCTCGTGACGGAACTAAACCAATACCGTATATGACTCAGAAATAAGTAACCCTTGGATGCCTGACTTATTTAAAAACAACAAAATGGTAGCTGACTTATTCATCAACACTCATGTCCAGAACACTAGAAGAGAGCGCCATTGACGGGAGGACTGTGTGACCCGACTTTGCTGCACGATCACTTAGTACTAAGCCCCACAATATTAATAACTACCGAAAATGGTTCACTTGGGAGACATTCCCATAAGAACATGCTCAAAATTTACTGTCCCATAATTAAAAAATCCCTAATCTGATCTGAAGCAAACATTGTAAGTTTTCAATTTAGACCCTAATCTATCATCTCTCAAAATTTGGACGGTAAAATGTGGCCCCCTTCTGGTAGCTGGGGCATTAGGGAGACATTGAAATGTCTCCCTAATGACCGATGTCTCCCTAAGGTCGAAAAATTTACCGCACAATGTCTGCCTAATGACCCATTTGTAAGAATACTTGTGTGCATGGTTGGCACTACATGAATAAGCTGACGGGGTTATCTCAGGGCTCTGTCACTCACAACTCAGAATTTTTAATTTGTTTGTATTTTACAATGAACATTTCCAAGCTAGGAAAGTGATCGGTGTATTTATTTATCTGGTATTGATACCCAAACCCATAAGAAGACAACCCATAAGAAAATAACACCATGAAATAAGAGTAAGGATGTTGGGACGGCCAATAAGGTTTTAAAATTTCCTGTTTATTTTTTTATTTATTTATTTTTTTTACTCCACCAACATAACTTTGAATGATCCGAAGCCGCATACGCCTTCGAATTTGCCTCCCGGCACCAAAAAGCTGGAAAAGCCACTGCCTTGCTCTCTAGCTATGTGTTCATCACTTTTAATGCATGTACGTGAAAACAATCTAAGAAGATGTTTTTATTGATAAGCTGCAGATAAAGCATTATGTTCAATTGAAGGTATTTATTTGTGTCTACAGGGAAAGAACAATAAATTCGGCGTTTTGTTTACTTACATTTAAATTACTCATTTATAATTTTATCTCTGACACAAACAGGGGAACACGATGGTCGCTTACAATCGCATTGTTGAGATGTTCACTCCGAAGAAGCGTGTAATGGGTAACATGGTCGCCCAGTATTTCTGGACCTTCGGCGTGATTATGGTCGCTCCGATTGGAGCTCTCCTTCCCAACTGGAGAAACTTCCAGCTTGCTACCTCACTTGGCGGCGTTCCGTTTCTCCTGCTATACTGGTTAGATTTGCACTGACGATCGTTACTAATGTACATTCTGTTGTACAGCCAACACATAAACCACTGACGCCTTTCGGCACAAAATCTTGCTGTCAACGTAGTTACACAAGTGCTTATTCACTGGTAATAATAATATAGATATTTATAAAGCGCCTTTAACATGGATCAAAGTGCTGTACATCGTGTGCCCTTGGGCAAGGCACTTTATCACCACTGCCTCTGTCCACCCAGGAGTAATTAGGTACCCTGTGATGGCAGAGATGGTTATTGTGGTTGATTTATTTAGCTGCTTTGCGCTGAGCTGACTCTTCTGGGAGCTGAGATGGTATTTGGAATGTTTCATGGGCCCAGTGAGCAGGGGTAGTGGAAACGGAAGTCCACCCTGTTAACTGGGCCCACCACAATAACCATCTCTGCCCTCAACGGATACCCGATTAATCCTTGGTGGAGAGAGATAATGAATGACAAAGTGCCTTGCTCAAGGGCACACGCCAACAGCTTTACCCCGCTGACGACGAATCCGATGCTGTTAACTACAAGGCCACAGCACTACCTCATAGAGGGATTTCACATTAGCTCCGTCTGCGCATATCTGCATCGAAACCGAGGCTCACTGTGTTGAACTCCGTCGCGCGCGCCCTCGGAGTCCACACAGTACAAGCAGTATCCGGTTCGTAAGTGGACGCCTTTTCACTGAGTTGAAACCACGCCCACTGTACATGCAGATTGACAACCATCACAGGTACATTCGTTCGCGGTAATTTTTTTTTCTTTTGATTTTACGTGTTGAGTCATCCTGAGAGACTCTTCCACAAAAGTCTGAATTTATACCTATAATGTTTTTTGTGTCTTAACTCCTTAAGAATTGAAGCTGACAAAGACTCGTTTTCAAACACGGAAGTGCGCAGATTGACGCTAAAAGCTTCGTATTGGGATCCCTCTATTGCTGTCACCAAATTAAAAGATTTAAAAGCCACAACCCGGTAAGCCCGTCACAACTGCGATTCTTCCGGATTTGCGTGTTGCCTGTTTCACTAACCTTGGTCAAGGCGTTTTGACGGTCATGCTCCCATCAGCGGCTGGCACTTTTTTAGTGGACCCGCCACGAGCATTGTGTACCATCGTAAAACGCCTCAACCAGGCCACTGAACAGGTAAGATTGAAAGGTGCGTAACAATATTTACAATAACTTGTTTGGGGGGTTTTGATAACTTTTCCCCTCTGTCTCGCATTTCACAGGCTTGTTACGTATGAATCACTTCGATGGTTGGTACAGAAAGGACGACTGCACGATGCAGAGGCCATCCTGAAGAAGATTGCGAAGTCGAGAAACATAGCGTATGAAGGAAGTTTTCTGGCACACCAAGAAGAAGAGGTCCCGCTCTCTAAGAAAACTGTCCCCCGTGAAGAGATGCTGCCCGAGGAATCTAATGGCCAGATAGCTTTGTCTTTGCAACAGGATGACAAAGAAGTGGAGGGTGCATTCGGAGGAATTAAAAACAGATCATCTGTAATTACAGCAAGCGTAGAGGATGTTGACGGAAATTTGTCATATGGATTTATACCAAAACGAGAAGATGAGAAGAAGGATGAACCAACAACGGGGATTATGACAGACGAAAGTCCATCATCTAAAGAAGGCTCGACAGTGGTTAGCAAGGACGAAGGAAAGTCGGCAAGAAGATACACCATTTTCGATCTTTTCAAAACCAGGTTGCTTATGAAGAACACGTTGATCATTTTCTACCTGTGGTGAGTAATAAACATAGGTTCACACCTAAGTAAACGAAAAACATGTTTGAAGCAAAACAATGTTATCGCGCTTAACCGATCGCTTAATATGGATACATTCTCCAGTACCAGATGTTTTGCACGACCCATTGAAATCGTCATGACCTTTCTTTCTTTGATTTACCTCCGAGGTTTGCCATGGATATCATGTACTTTGAAATACTTGTCTACGCCACAAGTTTCACGGGAAACAAATACTTAAACTTCTTCCTGTTGTCTGTGGTGGAAGCACCTGTCTACATTCACGACTATTTCTTGGCAAGAAGGTAATTTCACTACCATTATAGTCCACATGTATTTAGATTTTCAATCACATTTAATCTAAACCTGCAATGCACTGAAGAGAAATTTCAGTATTAAAACAGTCGAGAGGTCAGCATGGACTCGATTTTTGAAATGAAATGCATCTAATTGGGTGCCAGCACAGTCAAATCTTACCACGAAAAGAAATTATACTACAACCATTTAACGCACACACGTGCACACGACTATAACATACCTTTTGTTGGAGCCTGAAAGCCTTTTACCTTGTCACTCTGCCAGATTTGGTTGCAGGAGACCCATAGCAGTTTTCTTCCTGGCAAGTGCCGTGTGTTTCATCCTGATTGCTTTCCTGCCTGCCAAAATAGGTACCTTTCAAAGTGTATTTGGTTTATTGTATGTTCTTTTCAGCTTCCCAGTTTAATATATTTAGCTTTGTGTGATATAAGCCTCTGCAAGTTGAAATTGAATAAATTCGGTAGTTCTTCAAATTTGCGTGAACACACAAAAATTGAATTCTCCAAACTGAAGACACTGTTACCATACCTACAGATAAGGGGCGAGCTTTTGAATACTATAACAGACGCTTTGCACCAATAGACTGTTTCCGATGGATACGAAGGGCACAAAGGAACTAGTCCATTCCAGAGATGGTGGTCGCTATGCAAAAACTTGCGCCCAAAGTATGGTTCCATCCCATTTAACCCAATTTCATGCCATCCCTATTTGAATTTATCAGCGTCCCGATTTTGCTCTTGAACTCTGCAGCTAGCCTCAAAGTACTGTGTTCATGTCGATCCCTTTGCACTTGTAGCAATTATGTCCCAAAGAGTTATCGTAATGTGGAAGTCAAATCAGCAGTAGAGGCCACCGCAAATATACCTGTTTTGACAGCTGAGGAATGGGTGTATGGTGAACATTGAGCGTTCCTGACATTCTCCATGACAGCTCCTAGGATAACTCTGGTCCACATTAAGAGTCAATTATTCACCAGGTACGCACGTTTTTTTGTTTTTGTTTGTTTGTTTGTTGGTTTTTTTTTCTTTTGACAGCTGGTGACACAGATTTGGCGGTGATGATCATTGTCGTTGCAATGATTGGGAAGTTTTACGTCAATGCCGCATATGAGCTGACGATGCTAGTGGGGGCTGAAATATTTCCAACAGTGTTAAGGTAATATCTATACACACGGTAACGGCAAGCAGGCATTCGGTACGCAACATATTAAATGCAGACAAAATGGAAGAAAAACTCGAGTGAATGCTGAGCAATGAGCATCTGAATATTCACTGAAACAAATTGGTCTCATCTACGTATACAGAAACATCGGGCAGGGTAGTGGAGCTACAGTCGGCAGGGTTGGTACCATTATCGCACCGTTTTTTCTGCTGTTGGTAAGCTCAACACCCTTTGAAAAGCTGCCATTTCATTTAAATCCACGATATTGCTTGTCACACAACATTCTTGGGTAGTAGCAACAAAACTTTTACCTTTAAACTTTAAATGACACTATTTATCCCCGAAGGCGAGAGCAAACACGTACACGAATCTGTGACGGCAGTTCAAATGCGGGGCCTTACGAGTTCGTAAAAGTTGCACACATTTCAACTTGCGCGAAATTCCAACTGCATTTTTTTTCGTGATGTCAAATTCGCTTGGCTTTTGCAGTCGCCTGCAGCGAAGAACCTACCTGTGGATGTTTGTCAGGCAGATAGCAAATACCCAATGGCTCTAGTCAATGAAATGTTGGCCACACCTATCTTAGAAGAAGTATTAAGCTAAAGTTGGTATCACAGTTTTGCGTGCTCCGAACGCTGTTTTTTTACTATTCGCACATTAGATACGACAATCTTTGTTAAAAAGAAGGAACAAATACCCCTAAGCAATGAACGAATATCCATACTGCTCACAGAATAACAACCTTCTAAATACCAGTCCAAGTAAACATATACAAATGCGTCAATGAGGCAGTGATTTAAGCTAACAACAGTGGGGTGAAAATTTCGCGCGAGGCTGGACATTTTATTCTAGGGGTATGCGTAGAATATTACACATTGTATAATATAGCCTGAAGTGAAATTTGACTGTCTTCTTTCCGAACATTTTCATTACACAGTCCCCGAAAGGATTTTCATGTTTGTGTTGATATGTTTGGCATATGGGAAGCAATAAACCATATTTGCGTGTGATTATTCTGTGGGACAGAAAAACGTGGTGAACTTCTTGCCAATGACCATCCTGGCCTTGATGTCGGTAGTAGCCAGTTTGTGCGTTCTTCTGCTGCCAGAGACTAAGAACCGACCGCTGCCCGAAAAGTATGAGGACAGCCAAAAGCTCGCAAGGAATCCTTAAACTGATTTGAGTCCTTTTTGTTTTAGGTTTTATAACTTCCTTCAATTTGATTAAGCCCAGAAAGAGTCAATTTACTAAAGACATCACTGCAGCAGTGTGACAAAGTTCGATCAGTAAGCGATCACAATATGCCCATTTATGGCGACGATTAATATTGACTTTTCGGTGGTTATCAGCGGTTTTGCATAGTTTTCACTTTACTGTCCATGGTATGTCTAGGTCTTTCTACAATGTTACCAATGAAGTTCGCTGTTGGCATCCGACGTCCCGTCGTTTGCTTTATTTTTTATTTTCCTGCTTCAAAGTTTTTTTGAACCAAATATGTGTGGCACGCTGAAGCATAGCTTATAGTACTCATGCTTTATTTCTCATGTAAATTTTGATGCTGCTCTATAATCGTTTTCTTACCTTTTCGCTGTTTTCACGGTTGCTGATGTAATACATGTAGACTGTTTGTACCTGAGTGCTAAATCACGTGACCTATAGTGGGCAACAACCCCATAGGAAAGTATGTTTTGAGTGTTGTTTTCAAACAATACAGCAAAGTTACGGTATGGTGCCAGCGCATCAGTATTAGTCTGATATTATGAAACCTCTGCTTTTGGTGGAATCCGTGTTTGTTGATATTTAATACCCACTATAGGTCACATGACTTAAGCGGGCGCAATCGGTCTATTGCAGATTTGATTAACGATTAATGATTCTGCAGGCGTTATGGAGTCTACATGTACAATTATATACCTCCTCCACGTATGGTCACGTGGCTATGAGGTGTGATTGACGTGTGACAGCGCGTGAAGAGAAGTAACAGCTGGTGAAGCAGAAAGAACGGTGAATACTCCCGTAGTCATTTTACAAACAGTCCTACTAAGGCTATCTCTGAACAACGTTAAACCGTAATCTTTATTGAGTTTCGGATGCAGTAAATTGGGCCTCAGTTTTCAACATTCCTTCAATATTATGCCACTTCGAATATATGTGAGACTTACCTTTGCCAACGCTTTGACAGAAAAACATCAACGATAATGCAAATTTAGGCATGTAGCTAAAATGGAAGGCCTAATTTCTTTTATAATCATAGCAGATAGAATGCTTCCATTTCGACCGTTGAGAAAGATCAGGCAAGAAAAGAAACTGAAAATCATTATGGATCAATCCAATCGGGAAACATTTTGAAGCAGCATTATTGTTTTATTGTTTTATTCAACTGAATAGTTGCTTGTCTGTATAAAAAGCAAGAAGTGTAATTTAGTTGTTTTACAAGCAGAATTTCGGTACAATATAATAATGACATCGTTTTAGTGAGTCGTAACTTATTAGAAATCCACTTCATGCTCCCAGGAAGAAGTCATGGCTACTCAAAACACAGTCATATAACTCCTTCACCATGACAAACGTCATTGGCGTATTAATGTTAACGATACATTTTAATATCGTTGCAATTTACAGTGAGGTTTTCAGCACGTAATATAATCATGCTATCGAAATTAACTTACTTATAAACTTACTTATATATGAGTATATAAAGAATATCTTTAAACGGTTAAATGTGCCTTAACACAGAAATACTATAACAAATACTATAACTTAGATTCTACTTCGAAATGCATTAATGAATTGAAAAGTAATAAAGTAGTTTTGCAATATGCTTATAAAATTAACTGAATGTTTTAATACTCAGTCAAGCCTTTCCATATAGGTTTGATTTTTACGGATTGGGGGGGTGAAGGTGGTCACGTAAACAAACAATAGCTGACGATATGGAAATGCATCGTGCTATATACAGGTAAATGTACAACACATACATTCTAGTGCAAAGCCTAATACCCATATCATGGACTTTTCTGTACCTTTCACAATTTCTTGAGAAAGGGACACCATAATTTCCTCACGAAAAAAAATAATCTGATCAGTATTTGTCAAATCCTTCCCCCACGACAAGCAAGAATTTAAGGGAAAAAATCGAAATGGCTGATGTCCGATTTTAAAAAACGGACAAGATTAGCAAAACAATTGTTTAAAATACTAGTTTAACACAGTCAGCTGTGCGTGCTTTTCTAAATATTTCACTAAGTATTAAAGACTGCTTGTCACTAGCTGACGATCTGTCAATGTAATGCATTTTAAACTACAAAAAAAACCGACGACGCAATGTCCTCTACTTGGCCGTCCTGAAAGATCGTTTTACAATAATACACAATACTGTAACGACAAAGGCTTAAGTCGACAAGAAAATCGATCTTAAATTACTTACTTTGTTCCCCACAGTGCATCAATATATTGGGCTATTATCCTGGGGGAATTATTGGGGACTAAGTTTGGCCTGCTCCAATTCATTATCATAAAAGTGCCATATAGCCCTTTATCGCTGGTAACGGAACAAAATATGTTCTGATATGGTAATTTCATGCAAAGATAATTGTGTTTCCATGTGAAGAATATGCACACAGCGTTGATCACTCTCACACTTTACTGATTAGCGTTTCAGACCGTTTAATGTGACAGCATTCGTACGTGCTTAGAAGATTTCGGAGAAGTAAGCACGGAATTATCAGGCCACTGACCGCTTGCAGGAAGCAATAATAAAATTATAAAGCAGTACTGCTGTGCATCTAAGATGTTATTTTTACGAAGTACGTACTGTCGTACCATTCGTCACAGGTCGCTCACGGTATTTAGTACAACACTTTCAGAAAAAAATGGAAATTAATTAGTGTTGTCTTTTGTTTTCAGATTTAAAGCATCAAAGACGAAGTAAAAAAGATTATATGCATTTTTTCAAGCAGCTGCCGATATGCTATATTAACAATACTGTACATTGCAGGTAGTTAGTACTTTACACAATCGTCATACATGTGGTTCTTTAAAACTGTACAAATCCAGAAATGCTTTGACCAACTTTCCCCTAACTTTTTGCAAACCATTTCAAAAGAGAGTCTGGACATTAATACTGCCGAACTAGCCGTGCTCCCTTGCAATAATTTCCGAGGAATATTCTTACATGTAGGCCTACTTTAAGTAGGAAGACGATTCAATATCCTTGGTCATACTGCGGCACAGTATCTTTTGTCTTCCCACTTCCAAGAAGAAAGACTCGTAGATGGATGTGGCACCGTGTTCGGCGCCTTGGTTACGGTACTGTATACGTGTGCCTCAATAACCAAGTGCTCACCAATACTTCACCCTACACTTGGACGGGTGAAGCCTCATCTTTTGCCGGCTCCTTAGTAGTGAGTTTGGCTCCGTCTTCCAGAATCTCCGGTAGTGATCGGTTGCTGGTCTCGGGAAACGGAAGGACAAAAACTCCAGCCAGAATCGACACCACTCCAAACACGATCATTGGTAAGGAACTGTGGATAACATTCTGTTGCAGAAAATTTTCAACAAAAATAACTTAATATTGTTCATATAGTCGTGCAGGGAAAAATGTTGGAAATTCTTCAAAAGGGAGAAACACGACCTAGAGTCACTCTCGAAACACTTTATCCCTTTCACTACCATTGTGCCAAATTTGCGCTCAATCGTGCATTCCAGCTGGCTACCACTTGTACCAAATGTGCTCAGTCTATAATGTGCTTTTGTTACCGCTGAGCCACTGTGGCTCAAGTCCCTGATGCTTTTCACTACGGGTTCAACAGCGCCCTCTCTTCTGGCGGTGCCGTATCTAATTGGGTGTCGGTGCATGCGCGCGTGAAACAACCCGCGCCAAGCAACACGAACAGGATGGAAGTCGATAAAACGGCCGACATTTTGGACGAAATCTTCGCTGACATCGGGTCAAAAGTGTCATCAGACGAGGATACCCCCATTTTATTTGGGAAGATATTGATGGAAAAGAAATTGAAATCGTCAGAAAAGCCTAACTTTCGAGCTGGCTGGCGTGAGGTTAACTCGAACTCGCTCAAATGCCTGCCACCGTTCACTGAACAGACCGGCTGCACTGAAGACTAGTACGTTGTCCCCCGTAGAAGTCTTCCAATAATATTTCTGTCCAGCAGTTTGGGAACTGTCAAAGAAATCAATCGATATGCCAACGAAACTTTAGCTGCAGATGAAGGCAACCACGGTCAGCTTGCATGGACTCCCGCGAACGAGCTTAACATAATGGCCTTCATCGCCCTAATTCTTTGCAAGGGCATCAACCAAAGGCCTAGATATGCCATGCACTGGTCCAGATCTGAAGTTCTGCGAAGTCCCTTCTCTTCTTCAACCATGGCTTGTAATCAATTCACAGCAATCCTTCAGTTTTTTCTCACCTTGCCAATAACAGAGCTCATCAATCAGACAACTCGACCCAGGACAAACTGTTCAAAGTTTGCCCTCTCCTATAAAACACTTTATTACCATCCTTCCTTCGGATCTATCGGTCTGGAAGAAACCTCTCGTCAGACGAGACGTTGGTGAAATTCAAGGGACGACTCGGCTTCAAGCAATACATGCCACGAAAAGGTGCAAAATGGGGACTGAAATGCTTCTTTCTAAATGAGTCAGAAACCGGCTACACTTGCACCTGGAACGTGTTCACAGGGGCACAAGCCAGATCACCGCAAAGTCAACCCTATAATGCTTCTGGTAAAAAACACTACCTCTTCCCCAACTTGCACAGGGCAAGCCCGGCTTTAGTCTCCAAGCTATCATCAGCCAAAATTTTTACGAGAAAACAGGCCAGCTATGTGCCATATGGCAGGGTAAGCGTGTAACTCTTCTGGCAAACTATGACGACTGCAGTGTCACCAGTAAACAGATTCGCTGCAAGAACAGTGCAACTGCATGAAAACCGTGACACGTGCCCCGACCTTCAATAGTCAGCAACTAATCAGTTTAATGGGTGCAGTGACCTGGCCGGACAAATGTGCAGTTACTAACACCCACCACCACAGATCGCTGAAAATAATGGTGGAAGAGAGTATTCTTCACCATCCTGGACATCTGTCTGCTGAAGGGTGCAGACCACTAATTCAAGTGAGAATTTCTGACCAGCTCA